AGAAAAACGGATGTCAAAAAAGTTATAAATTGATTTGCATGTCAATGAGTAAAATAAGTATTTGACCCCTTCGACTTACTTGGTGGCAAAACCTTTGTTGGTAATCAGAGAGATCAGACGTTTCTTGTAGTTGGCCATCAGGTTTGCAAACATCTCAAGAGGGATTTTGTCCCACTTCTGTTTGCAGAACCTCTCCAAGTTATTAAGGTTTCAAGGCTGACATTGGGCAACTTGAACCTTCAGCTCCCTCCACAGATTTTCTATGGAATTAAGGACTGGAGACTGGCTAGGCCACTCCAGGACCTTAATGTGCTTTTTCTTGAGCCGCTCCATTGTTGCCTTGGATGTGTGTTTTGGGTCATTGTCACGCTGGAATGACACATTTTCAATAACCTGGCTGAGGGAAGGAGGTTCTTAGCCCGTCCATCGTCCCTTTGATGCGCTGCAGTTGTCCTGTCCCCTTAGCAGAAAAACACCCCAAAGCATAATTTTTCCACCTCCATGTTAGATAATGGGGATGGTGTTCTTGGGGTCATAGGCAGCATTCCTCCTCCTCCAAACACAGCAAGTTGAGTTGATGCCAAAGAGCTCGATTTTGGTCTCATCTGACCACAACACTTTCTCCCTGTTCTCCTCTGAATTATTCAGATGTTTATTGGCAAACTTCAGATGGGCCTGTACATGCGCTTTCTTGAGCAAGGGGACCTTGCCGGCACTGCAGGTTTTTAGTCCTTCACGGCGTAGTTTGTTACCAATTGCTTCTTGGTGACTATGGTCCAAGCTGCCTTGAGATCATTAACAAGATCCTCCCATGTAGTGCTGGGCTGATTCCTTACCATTCTCATAATCATTGAAACTCCACGAGGTAAGATCTTGCATGGAGCACCAGACCAAGGGAGACTGACCGTTATTTTGAGTTTCTTCCATTTGTGAATAACTGCACCAACTGTTGTCACCTTCTCACCAAGCTGCTTGGCGATGGTCTTGTAGCCTATTCCAGCCTTGTGTCTACAATCTTGGTCTACAATCTTGTCCCTGACATCCTTGGACAGCTCTATGGTCTTGGCCATGGTTGAGAGTTTGGAATCTGATTGATTGCTCTGTGGACGAAGAGAGTGCTCCTAATCTCAGCTTGTTACCTATATAAAAGACACTTGGGAGCCAGAAATTTTGCTGATTGATAGGGAATCAAATACTTATTTCACTCATTGATATGCAAATCAATTTATAATTTTTTTTGACATGCATTTTTCTGGATTTTTTTTGTTGTTGTTGTTATTTTGTCTTTCATTGTTAAAATACACCTACCATTAAAATTATAGACTGATCATTCTTTGCCAGTGGACGAACGTTCAAAATCAAATACTTTTTTCCCTCACTGTATATGACACACAGTCATTGGAAAAAGAAAGTACACCCTGTTTGAATGCTATGGTTTTACAGATCAAGACAATCACAATCATCTGTTTTTGTTTTTTTTAGCAGGTTTTAAAATTAGGTAAATACAACATAAAAAAACAAACACGACATATTACACCGTGTCATGATTTATTTAACAAAAATAAAGCCAAAATGGAGAAGCTATGTGTGATAATCCAAGAACACCTTATGATTCAATAGCTTGTAGAACCACCTTTAGCAGTAATAACTTTTCTGTATGACTTTATCAGTCTATCACATCATTGTGGAGGAATTTTGGCCCACTCTTCTTTGCAACGTTGCTTCAGTACACTGATGTTTGCGGATGTGTGTTTATGCACAGCTCTCTTAAGATCCTGCAACAGCATTTCAATCGGGTTGAGGCAGGGCCGGACTGGTCCACCGGGATACCGGGAAATTTCCCGGTGGGCCGCGGCACCTGGGGCTCGGCTGACAGCCCTAATCATTGCTCAGGTTCCTGTAATCCCGGCCGGCTATGTGTGAGCTGTGCGGCCGCACAGGACCCCATGGGAGTAGGTGGAGCCAGGTGGCCGGCACAGCTCACACATGCGGCGGGGGCGGAGTAACCGTGCGGCGGGGGCCTGGCTAACTGCAGCATGGGAAGCAGGAAGGGGTCCCTGCTTCCCTAACAACCAGCCTCCAGGAGCTCCAAGCAGGAGGTAAGAAGGAGGTCAGTGTGATTGCCTGTGAGTGTGTAACTGTGTGTGTGACTGTTTGTGTGTGTGAGACTGTCTGCCTGTGTGTAACTGTGTGTGTGGCTGTCTGCTTGTGGGTGTGTGTGTGTGTGGCTGTCTGCCTGTCTCTGTATGTGTGGATGTTTGCCTCGGTGTCAGTGACCGTCTGCCTCTCTGTGTGTGTGTGCATGCCTCTGCTAGTGAGGGAGCCTCTGTGTGTGTGTGCCTGCTAGTGAGTGAGCTTGTATGTGTGTCAGTGAGCTTGTCTGTAGGGATCATATGTGTGTATGTGTGTGTTAGTGAGCCTGTCTGTGGTGAGCATGTGTGTACAGTGAGCTTGTCTGTAGTAAGCATGAGTGTGATCGTGAGCTTGTCTGTAGTGACCATGTGTGTCAGTGAGCGTGTCTGTAGTGAGCATGTGTGTGTCAGTGAGCTTGTCTGTAGTGAATCTGTGTGTTAGTGAGCTCTTCTGTAGGGAGCATGTGTGTGCCAATGGGCTTGTCTGTAGGGAGAGTGTGTGCGCATCAGTGAGCTTGTCTGTAGTGAGTGTGTGTGTGTATCAGAGTTTGTCTGTACTAAATTTGTGTGTGTGCTAGTAACCTTGTCTGTGTGTCATTGAGATTGTCTGTCAATTAGCCTATTTGTGTGCATCAGTAAGATTGTCTGTGTGTGAGTATGCTTTACTGTATAATTTAATTACCCTAAAAGAACTAATATTTTGAAATAGAAGAATAAATGTATCAATAACATATATATATATATATATATATATACACACACACACACACACATACTGTTGCATCACCAGTATCCAGGCAATTGAAATAGTTGGATGCACTCTCAGATTTCCTTAAAACTTAACTTTTATTGAAATATTTAAGAGAAGATCAATGTTTCAGTCCCTCTTGTGGACTTTCGTCATGATCCTGATGCAAGTCCACAAGAGGGACTGAAACGCTGATCTTCTCTTAAATATTTAAATAAAAGTTACATTTTAAGAAAATCCAAAAGTGCAGCCAACTATTTCAATTGTGTGTGTATATATATATATATATATATATATATATATATATACATATATACATATATACATATAAACACCCTAAATAGCACAATGACTTATGGGGCTGGCATAGATTTTTTTCCAGGGCTGCTTCGTATTCCCAGCCCGGCCCTGGGTTGAGGTCTGGACCTTGACTGAGCCATTGCAACAGCTTGATTCTTTTCTTTTATAGCCATTCTGTTGTTGTTTTGCTGGTGTCCTTGGGATCATTGTCCTGTTGCACGACCAAATTTTGGTCAGACTTTGGGGTGAATTTGCTGCGACGTCCACTCTTGGGAAGGTTTGAATAATCTTTCCAACTCTAGAACGATGGACTTTAAATTGTTTAGAAATGACCTTATAACCCTTCCCAATTTGATGGGCACAATTGCTTCTCTAAGATCATTGCTGATGTCTTTCCTCCTTGGCATTGTGTTAACACACTTGAATGCACCAGATCAGCACACTGCAAAACCTTTGGCTTTTATAGAGGTGGTCACACTTGATGATGATTAATTAATCAAGCGCATTTGATTAGCATCACCAGTCTGCTATTTAGCCTCTTAATTCCAATGGAAGCATTACAGGTGTACTTTGTTTTTCACATATGGCTTCATGACATCTGAGGTTGTATTTACCTAAATTTTAAGACTTGCTAAGGAACAGATAATTGTAACTATGTTCTGATATGTAAAACCATAGAATTCAAAAAGGATTTACTTTATTTTTCCAATGACTGCATACAGGGTAGTATACTTTGTAAAGGCCGGTGCTACTCCGCAATGAATATAAGCCAGCTTTGTATGATAGCACTCCAAGGACTTCTGGTAGTAGTTAAAAATAAAAACTTTTATTTATTGTTTGCACAAAATAAAAATATCAACGTTTCAGTTCACACAGTGAACTTTCATCAGGATAAACCAACAACAGTGACCACAGTGAATTTACTGTATAACCAAATCGTATCTTATGATTTTTTTTTTACATAAGTTATATGTAATTTTCTATTTCCTTCTCTTTCCCATCATTTGAAATTCATAAAATTTGCATCTTCAAACCCTTCTCTGCTAACATTGCCGTTATTTATGGTCTCTGTCAGTCCTTACATTGGCTTCCTGTATCCAATAGGAGTCAATTCAAAAGTGCTAACCCATAACTATAAAGCACTGAACAATTCTAGCCCCTCTTATCTCTTCACAGATTCACAAGTTGCCCCTTCTCGGTCTCTCCGCTATGCCTGTGACCTTATCCTGTCCGCTGCTCGCACCCGTACGGCCAACTTGCGATTGCAGGACTTCTAGCGGGCGGCTCCCTTCCTATGGAATAGCCTGCCAACCGCCATCAGACTCTACCCTAGTCTTCAATCATTTAAGAAGTGCCTTAAAACCCATCTCTTTAGGAACGTGTATAACCTCTACCTCACATACATGTCTCTTGCTCTTTCCTAAAGGGCAGCACTCTACTCTCTCCTCCTGCTATGCTTCACTCCCATCTTATTTGATTGCTATTTCCTTTCCTAATGTGTTTTATACCCCACCTCCTATAGAGTGTAAGCTCGTTTGAGCAGGGCCCTCTTCAACCTATCGTTCCTATACGTTTTCTTGTAATTGTCCTATTTATAGTTAAATACCCCCTCTAATAATTATGTAAAGCGCTACGGAATCTCTTGGCGCTATATAAATGCAGATAATATATCATGGTGAAATTTCCAGAGAAGCGACAGTAACCCTTTAAACCTAATATAATATACCTGCCTGAATATCAAAACATTTAGATTCCATTGGAAGAAGACGACAAAGAAAAACGAAATCCTCAGTAAATAGAACAGTGAAAATATGGGCCATTATTTGTGGAGTTTATGCTCTAGTGAGCACGGATACCACTGAAAATTGGATCAACTTGATTCTGTTGGGTGTTTAGTAAATAGGGTGCTGTGTTGAGTCCACAATCAAGTTGCAAAAATTAGGCAAACAAGTGAAATTGTAAAAAAAATCTGTAGAGTTTTTTTTGTTTTTTTAATCTGGTCTCATCTAGTTTAACCTAGTAAATTTTAACTTGAGTAGATTTGACAAAGTTTTGAAGCTGTACAACTTGTATTTCAAGTTGTGGAGTAAAGATTGGAATCTTCTATTTATTCATTTTATAGTCCACTTAGTGGCATATAATTACAGCAGGTTATTTGGACCATGCCCATAAAGTTTGAGTTAAAGGACCACTATAGGCACCCAGACCACTTCAGCTTAATGAAGTGGTCTGGATGCCAGGTCCAGCTAGGGTTAACCCATTTTTTAAATTTATTTATAAACATAGCAGTTTCAGAGAAATGGGTTAAATGGGTTAATCCGGCCTCTAGTGGCTGTCTCATTGACAGCCGCTAGAGGGCTTCCGCGTTTCTCACTGTGAAAGTCACAGTGAGAAGACGCCAGCGTCAATAGGAAAGCATTGTGAATGCTTTCCTATGGACTGGCTGAATGCGCGCGCAGCTCCTGCCGCGCATGTGCATTCAGCCGAAGAGGAGGAGAGCTCCCCGCCCGGCGCTGGAGAAAGAGGTAAGTTCCTCTCCCCAGAGTCCGGCGGGAGGGGTCCCTGAGGGTGGAGGCATCCTCAGGGCATTATAGTGGTACTTTAATCCATTTCACTCTAGAAATATATTTTAGGACCGTTTAGATGTGAACACACAAACACGCAAATTATAAAATTTAATGAAGGCAACACACACCAGTTTATATCAATAATATTTAATGTTACAAATGCCAATTGTGTGAAAAGGCCAATGTCTGAAAGTATGATTACCTCCAAACATGTCACAAAATAAGCAATGGTATATATATATATATATATATATATATACACACACATATACACACATATATATATATATATATATATATATATATATATATATATATATATATATATATATATATATATACACACACACACAATACTTGGGCAACGTACTAATCAATAGCTTGTATGCGCCCTAGTGCTCATCTATAGGTACCTTGAAAGAGAGTAGTAGTGGGACGTTCTTAGCATACAAAGGCAATAATAATGTTCAACATTTCTGTCCAACAAACTTTCCTATAATGCACAGCAAGTGGAGGTTTAAATAAAGGCAGAATTACAAATTATGTTGTCATCAGTGGAGATGAAGTGCAGTTATTGTTGAGGTCTGTTGTCCTCTGCACACAACCTGGTTCATAAAACTGTGAATCAGGTTGTGTATAGAGTGATAGCTGCTGCAATATGACTCCTATCAGCTTATCTTATGCTATAAATTGAAGTTGGGGAATGGGTTACACATCCTATTAACATCAAACAAAAAGGTGGAACCTCTTCCTGGTGAGTGAGAAATCTGTCTGTATCTGCACACAAACACTCAGTGATGGGGAGGAGGGGACACTAACTCCATTAGAAAGAATAGCATATCTAAAGATATCAAGCAACCCCCCAAAAAAAAAGTGTGTGTGTGTGTTTTTTTTTTGTAATAAATAGCACAATTGGTTCATTTCTACTACTCCTAGGGGAAACGTATTAAGAGTACAGATTCAAAACACTGGGATGCTCCAGTGATAATGCCGGTGAAATGTGGTGAAGTTAAAGTACTCACTGCTTCTAGAAAATGCTATGCTGTAATGTAAGAAGTTCTGTCCCAGGAAATAGTTTGTAGGGCAAAATTATACTCCCATATTCTCTGTTTATGGTTCTAGTGTTTCTCTTCATAGAAGTGCAGTGTGTCGTTCTTAAACATTAAAGGAACACTATAGTCACCTAAATTACTTTAGCTAAATAAAGCAGTTTAGTGTATGGATCATTCCCCTGCAATTTCACTGCTCAATTCACTGTCATTTATGAGTTAAATCACTTTGTTTCGGTTTATGCAAACCTAGCCACACCTCCCCTGGCTATGATTGACAGAGCCTGTATGAAAAAAAACTGGTTTCACTTTCAAACAGATGTAATTTACCTTAAATATTTGTATCTCAATCTCTAAATTGAACTTTAATCACATACAGGAGGCTCTTGCTGGGTCTAGCAAGCTATTAACATAGCAGGGGATAAGAAAATATTAAACAGAACTTGCAATAAAGAAAGCCTAAATAGGGCTCTCTTTACAGGAAGTGTTTATGGAAGGCTGTGCAAGTCACATGCAGGAAGGTGTGACTAGGGTTCATAAACAAAGGGATTTAACTCCTAAATGGCAGAGGATTGAGCAGTGAGGCTGCAGGGGGCATGTTCCATACACCAAAACTGCTTCATTAAGCTAAAAGTTGTTCAGGTGACTATAGTGTCCCTTTAACATTATATCTGTCTGCTAACAAATAAGGCAACTTTATACTCACCAGTCCCAGGAGTTTTCTCTTTCAAGGTACATTGTATAAAAATAGTCTACAGGGTATGCATTATTACTCAAAACAAATACAATACTCCTGCCCCCTGGAAGGAAACCTATGAAACCACTTCTTCGGTCATGCACTGCGAGGTACACAAATACAGGTGCCTGAAACTAAATTTGAAAGTGAGGACTGGATAAATTAAATTTTTCAAGCTTGAGAACATTGGAGAGGTGTAATGGATATTTTTCATCAAGCCACAAGTGTTGTAAGAATGGCTGTTTCTGGTCAATGGTACAGATTCCTAACAGGACAACATGTGGCCACGTAAGTTTTAGACGGCAACTCCTTACTTAGAAGTATTCAGAATAAAGACTAGAGAAGTGAACTTCGGTCTGGAACTAATTAGGTCAAACAGTTTGAGAGGGTAGTCTACTTATGGCAAATGTGAAGAAAACATCCGATAACTCTCCCATGTTCTGGCTCTAGCTTTGCATCAGTACAGTTCAGTAGAGTTCTTTGACTTTCTGGATTTAGAAAGAACCTAGCATCCATAACCATGTTTTTTTTTTTAATTTTCTTTTTATTGGTGGGCACCTGGCTTCCGTCCCATGTTTTCCCTCCCACCCTACTTTACTTATCCTGGGTTCCCCATGAGATATAATCTGGGCGGGTGGCTGCATGATATTCATCAATTAGTTGTTGCACTATCTCCCTGGAGTTGTCCAACTCATCAAAGTTGTCCTTGAATATATCTTCCTTGCGGAACTGCTCCAGAAAAGCCTCACGCTTACGCAGCTTGTCATACTGTCGGCAGGTCCTCTCGAATAGCTGAAATGTAGAGAAAAGACACTAGTTGGAAAACATTAAATAAACGATGTACATCAGTGAGAAAATATAACAAGCATCCTAACGAAAATATAGGGCTACCAGCTCAGGCATTTATTCAGCAGTGCCAAGCTCCTGGCACTGCGGGGGTTAAACCCAGTATGACCAGTACAGCATGCAATGTAAAAACAAAACTAGTGAAAACTGTTAAAGATTAAACCGCATAATCAATAGCCAACTTTTAATTAGCTATTCAGGTGTGCAAACGTTTACAGTTCTAAATGTCTCTTCAAAAGTAACAACAACAAAAAAAAACACAAACAACAACAAACAACAACAACAACATTAGAGGACAGTGTAGTAAAAGTCTGCAGCCATTAACAGAGCTCGACATTCCATTTTTCAAAAAGATACATAAAGAACAGACTGTTATGATGTCAAGGAGAAAAAAAACATTAAGGGGTTAAATAAAGGATTTTCAATACTATTCTAGGCTATGTGCCTAATGGTTAGATTTTGAAAATTTGCAACAAACAGTGGAGTTCTGATGTGCCAGATTAAACTTTGTGTTGTGTTATTCGGTCTTGTATAATCAAGATGACTGCATTTTACCTATTGCTCAGTGACTGATAGCTTACTGGAACAATGCTGAACCAGGTCCAATAAGATCCTGCAAGTTTGAACTAGAGGCCCTGACTACAAAAACGGGGAATGAAGCCAGACTCTATTAAGTTCAAGTATTCACAACAAATCTTTCAGTTTGGGGGTAAAGGTGGTTGAGAAAAAGAGAGAGACAGGAAGAAAAAAAAAAAAAAAGCAAGCAAACAAAAAATACATTTGAAAAGTTGCCTTAAAAATGGCTAATAATGGGGGCAGCATTACAAGTGTGTGTTCTCATAGAGGAATCAAACTAATTAACTATGTAAAGTGATATATAAAGTGAAAACATAGATTATTAAAACGGCCTTCTCTAACTAAACTGTATTTCATAGACTAGAGTCTAGTCTATGAAATACAGTTTAGTTAGAGAAGGCCATTTTCTTCTTATATAGCAATAGATGTATTTATGGCTATATAAGAAGAAAATGAGCGAAAAAAGGCAGGATATTTTTATTTCCTAAATATGTTTGTGGAGTCATCCATTGATGATAAGTTACTACATGCTATATTACATGCAAATAAAGAACTGTAAGGAATACATTGATATACCTGTCATTGCTATCACTGGGCTCATTTACTTAATACATAACTGTTAGATGGACATATTACATATTACTCTAACTGCAGAACAAGACCTCAAATTAACAGATTAAAAAGAAATTCTAAAAATACTATCTTGAAGCAGTTGCACCATCTAGTGTCCAAGTAAGGAAGTACAATTAAAAATAAAGGTTGGGAGTTAAAGGGACACTATAGTCATGCAGCTTTCTGGCTGTAAACACTGTCTTTTCAGAGAAAATGCAGAGTTTACATTACAGCCTAGTGATAACTTCACTGGCCACTCCTCAGATAGCTGTTAGAGGTTCTTCCTGGGTAATGGTTGCCTAAAATGCATCCAAACATTCAGTGTCTCCTCCCTCTGCATACAGACACTGAACTTTCCTCATAGAGATTCATTGATTAAATTCATCTCTATGAGGAGATGCTGATTGGCCAGGGCTGTGTTTGAATCATGCTGGCTCTGCCCCTGATCTGCCTCTTTGTCAGTCTCAGCCAATCCTATGGGGAAGCACTGTGATTGGATCAGGCTACCACTTCTGATGATGTCAGCAGACTGCTTGTTTTTTTTGGGGGGTTTAGGCAAACAGCATGCAGATCTACAGCTTCTGGCTTGAATACAGTAAGATTTTGCTATATTTAGGGAGGCATGAGGGGCCCAGGCGGACTAGATAGTGGTTTTAGCATGTTTGTGTTCCTGACCCTATAGTGATCCTTTAAATGAGCCAAACACAAAAAGTGACAAAATTATTATTATTATTGCCATTTATATAGCGCCAACAGATTCCGTAGCGCTTTACAATATTATAAGAGGGGGATTTAACCATAAATAGGACAACTACAAAAAATTACTTACAGAAATGATAGGTTGAAGAGGACCCTGCTCAAACGAGCTTACAGTCTATTGGAGGTGGGGTACAAAACACAATAGGGGAAGGCATATTTTACTCTCATAATGCATGTTCCCCTATTTTACACACATACATATATATTTCTCAAATACTGAAGTGCAACATTCTGCATATCATAAGGCACAAACTTTTTGTGCTACAGATTTATTAGATCAGTTGAGGTCAGTTTTTATGCAGTTTTACAGGAAATGTCATAAAAAAGGGCGCATTGGAGGCACAACCGGAACATGCATTTTACAGTAGTGGTGCTGCCGTAAATTCCAACATTTATACAAAATACAGATTAAGGAACAGCGCACACAATGCAAAGGTCAGACAGACTATGAGTAAAATAACTCCATTGCTCATAATCTTTTATAACAAAAAGTTGCTCTCTCTTTTGATATTTCCTTAATATTTACTTTACAAAAGATCCCACAGCTCACATAAGCAAATCACGTAGGTGGGCTACTAGCTTTAGTAGACATGAAAGTACATACCGAGGAGATGTTTGTATGATTGGCCATCATGAGCCCACTCACTCTGTGTGCAGATGGGAGGTAGGGAGATTTTCTGGATAGAGCAACCTGTATACTTGCAGGACCCCATGGAATAAAGTTAGCCAGCTTCCTCTCTCTGATCCTTTGCAGGCTCTTGTGTACCTATAAAGAGAATATAACTATTCAGTAAATCCAGTACAATTTATGAAGGAATTTGGCTCAATCTGACTCTTTTAAAATGTTCTACCAATAACATGTTTGCACATGACGAAATTTTTATTACTCATCATAGTATAGTGGACAAACTGGAAAAAATTCCATCTTCGCCTATGGTGACGTGAACTTTGCAGCATATACTGACAAATGAATATTCTAGAATAGCATTTTCAGGAACTGCATAATTTACAAGAATGGTACATTATACGGAATGCACTGTGCAGATCTCATTCCGGGACACTTAAATATACAAAATGTGTACAAACAGATAAAACGGGATTCTGCTGTATATTCTACAATATAGTATTACCAATATATACTGAAGTAATTGTCAAACATCACAGAAAATGACAGTTATACATGGCACTCACAAAATGCAGTGTATAAAATCGCCTTAAAGATAAATATGCACCTGTGTTGGATCCACTTCGCCTTGGATGATGTTCAGTATAGCTATGTAGCAGTGGTTTGTTTGACGGTCTCGGCCCGTGGACACCATAACATTTTTGGGCTGCAATAATCTCCTCATGACATCCAGAACTGTGGTCTTGCGCACACTGGCCACCTAAAAAAACAGCAAACATTATTAGGAGTTGTCACATTGAATGTTTAAAGGCTTAGCAAAATTCTGCGACTATGCCAAAGTGAAACCGTACAATTTTGTAGTTTCAAACAAAGGCACTTCACTTCCAAACCACGGAAAATACAAGTTTCCAACCCACAAGTCAGCTAGAAGAAACACTCTGGTCGTCCGTATACCTCAGTGCATTTGATAGTTTTTCCATTTTATATACATTTTGTGGTTTTCTTCCTGTTTAAATCTCTTCAGGTATGCTAAAAAAACCAAAAACTAAATGCTTTGCTGTTTTTATTGCTGCATAACCCCAACACCTTTCTCACGCCTCCCCTTTTCACAAAATGTTTTTCTGATTGGAAAGTAAGCAGTGTAGCTCAGCCAATGAGAGATCAGTGTGTCCTGAGCTGCTGATTTGACTCGGCCCCCACAGATAATCACTGTCTTCTTATTATCTGTAAAGTATTTCAAAGCTGTGCAAAGAGAACAATGGAAAATTAATAAGAGGACAGATTTTGGCTGTGGTGCAAAATTAAGCCAGCAACTCAGAAAGACAGCCACTAGAGCACAAGTTTCATTGGGAACTAAAGAAGGGCATGAAAGGATAGTGAGAAACTGAAGAAGGACACAAGACAGGATATGGTGCGACTGAAGAAAGGCACAGGAGGGCATAACTGTAGAGGGGCAAACTGAAGAGGGGCGCAGGAGAGAAGAGGGAAACAAAAAGGGCAGATGAGAGGAGGGTGGACAGAGGAGAGGAGGGTAGACAGAGGAAGGGCAGAGGAGAAGAGGGTGGACAGAGGAGGGGCAGAAGAGAAGAGGGTGGACAGAGGAGGGGCAGAAGAAGATCACAGGAGAAGAGGGTGGACAGAGGAAGATCACACGAGAGGGGGGACAGAGGAAGATCACAGGAGAGGGTGGACAGAGGAAGATCACAGGAGAGGAGGGTGTTGACAGAGAGAGGGCACAGGAGAGGAGGGTGTTGACAGAGAGAGGGCACAGGAGAGGAGGGTGTTGACAGAGAGAGGGCACAGGAGAGGAGGGTGTTGACAGAGAGAGGGCACAGGAGAGGAGGGTGTTGACAGAGAGAGGGCACAGGAGAGGAGGGTGTTGACAGAGAGAGGGCACAGGAGAGGAGGGTGTTGACAGAGAGAGGGCACAGGAGAGGAGGGTGTTGACAGAGAGAGGGCACAGGAGAGGAGGGTGTTGACAGAGAGAGGGCACAGGAGAGGAGGGTGTTGACAGAGAGAGGGCACAGGAGAGGAGGGTGTTGACAGAGAGAGGGCACAGGAGAGGAGGGTGTTGACAGAAAGAGGGCACAGGAGAGGAGGGTGTTGACAGAAAGAGGCACAGGAGAGGAGGGTGTTGACAGAGAGAGGGCACAGGAGAGGGGGGTGTTGACAGAGAGGGCACAGGAGAGGAGGGTGTTGACAGAGGATGGGCACAAAGATACACACAGAGGGGGCACAAAGATACACACAGAGGGGAAGTGGAAAAAAAGATATGCAGAAGGGAAGTGGAAAGAGACAAATACAAAGGTGTTGGGGGAGAAACAGATACACAAAGGGCCTGGGGAAAGAAAGGCATGCCAACCATCCACGCCAATTACAATTGCCAACCACAGCCATTTTGCCTGGCAACCAGCCAGCAACAGTAAATAAGGTAAGAAGAGCTAACTTGTGCTGGGTATGTTATATAATGTTATATCATGTTGTGAATAGGGGCCCTAGTGTTAGAGAGACTGTCAAGAGATCATACATGTATACTGCACATGCACAGCACGTGGAATCGTCCGCAACTGAAGTGAAGTGTTCAAGAAACAGAACACTGTCTCGACCGCCGCGTCATGAAATGATGCATGTCTAAAAAATGTTTCACCAACATGAAAAGTTTGGAAAGCTCTGCAAGAGAGGCACTTCCTCTACTATAACCAAGACAAACTCTGTTGTAGATCAAATCTGGCTCATAGAGAAGCATTTAATGGGCACAGCGCAGTGTTTTGCCTATGTGGAAGCATTGGTCGCAACCAAGAAGGTGATGTTCTCAGTCAAGAAGATAAAAAGATTTTGTAGAGAATGATGTGGCGAAAGCTGAAAAGTAAGTAAACCTTCACATCTAGACAGGTAACAGGAAACTAAAGCGTTAAGAATACATGCCTGTTAGCTGGGGGTGGTCGCAGCTGCACATTGCCAACTATGCTGCCACCCCTATCCCAGATAAATGTATTTAATATTTTTTCCCTTCTCTCCTCCTCCTCCTTATACCCTACTTCTACATGCCTCCCTCTTCCTACCTCCTCTACACACCTGCTCCTCTCCCCCTTACTTCTACCCTCTAACTAAGCAGGCTCTCTTCAGCCGGTTGAGGGCCTGCCAGGCGGGTCGGCAGGAGAGAGACAGGACCTTTGGATTCAGGATGCTCCTTTCTTTCTTAACAAGCACATAACATGATAGGCACTGAATTACACACTGTCGGCGTCATATGGTGTACAATGCTGTCACACACAGCAGACCAGCGATTACGTAAGCCACAACCCCATACCTCCAACAATACGAATTCAAAGTGATGCACATTGCTAACCCCCAAAGATTTACATGGTTACATATTACATTTTATGCCACACGCATTGCTTGTATGTTGCTCTTTATGTATGCTTTGCTATACCTGCTGAGTGAAGTCTAGTGTGCACCCTTAATGTCAGTCTGACTGCTGTGGGCTGTGATATTATAACCTCTGCGCCTTAAGACTGTATGGCAGTATTTAACTAGGGTGACAGTGTAACCCTGTGAAATAAAATGTAAGTTGGGGAGCACGGCTGTTTGAGGTCAATAAAATAAAGAAAGAGAAAAATAAATATACAAACATCCTTCTGTGAGGTGCATGTCGCAATGGCTATTTAGGCAATAGCTCATCATGGTGATATGACTGTCTTCCTTACACATGCCGTAGCTCTTACGGGGAAGCCATTGACGCTGTACTAAGGATGAAGTGTTTTGACCGTCTTTAAATTGGCTAGTGGCAGGTTTAAAGGACAACTATAGTGCCAGGAAAACACACTCGTTTTCCTGGCACTATGGTGCCCCCCACCCTCAGGGTCCCCCTCCCGCCGGGCTGGATGGCGAGGAAAGGGATTAAACTTACCTTTTTTCCAGCGCCGGACGGGGAGCTCTCCTCCTCCTCTCCGCCTCCGATCCTCCACTTCGGCTGAATGCGCATGCGCGGCAGGAGCTGCGTGCGCATTCAGCCAGTCTCATAGGAAAGCATTTACAATGCTTTCCTATGGACGCTTGCATGTTCTCACTGTGATTTTCACAGTGAGAAGCACGCAAGCGCCTCTAGCGGCTGTCAATAAGACAGCCACTAGAGGATTTGGAAGCTGGATTAACCCATTTATAAACATAACAGTTTCTCTGCAACTGCTATGTTTATAAAAAAAAAAAGGGGTTAATCCTAGAGGGACCTGGCACCCAGACCACTTCATTTAGCTGAAGTGGTCTGGGTGCCTAGAGTGGTCCTTTAAGCCACTTAGTCTGTACTTGTCTAGCGTGTGAGAGTACCCCTAACCAAGAGGGCTGTGGGGGGGGGGGGAGGAGGGAGTCTGGCTTTAAGTGGGTGCGGTCCTACCGCCTCAGGGCCACAAGTAAGTGGATCTTTGGTTTCAAGTTACATGGTTAAAATAACAAAGAACTGGGAAGTTTGATGGATGTAGAGGACAAGTAAAAGAAAGATGAGAGAAAGGTTTCTCGTGGCGGTTCTGCTAGGCCGTGGGTTGCCAGGAACGTGGGAGCCTCTACAAGTGACTGCACTTCGTACGTCTTGTCCGCTGAGTTGACTGTCAAGGCCCTAGGAGTGGACCAGCGGTGATAGGCCGCATGGATTGTCGCCATTGCAGAGTAGTGTCGGTAAGATCCTGATAGAAAGTCAGGTGGTGCGATTCAAAGACCACAGGTGTGGTCTTTGGAGGAGCTTTTGCTTGTCTGCAAAGGATTGGAATCTGACGATAATGTCTCTAAATAAGAGGCCGCAGGCACTCTTGGTGATTTTTCAATCCAGTATACGCCATCCAGGACAATATCCTTTGCTAGTTTAGTGGGTAGTAGTGAAGTTAAAAGCCTTCTCATCAGGTGAGATAATTCTTCTGAGAACACTGCATCAGGCACTCCTCTGATTTTTAGATTCCTTCTTCAGCCCCTGTCGTTGAGGGAATCCACCCTTAGGTTCATGGCGTTGTGTGAGGTCTGTAGGGTGCCTACCGTTTCCTCTAGGGCCGATAGGCAGCGTTTGAGGTCGGACACATCCTCTTCAGTGGCTCAGACTCGCTCCGTGACAGCTTGTACTTACTCCTTCACGAGGGCTATGTCCACATCAAAAAGTTTGCCAATGCGGTCATATAAATCGTCAATGTCCTGTTTGGTGCATGGTGGGTGTTTCCACGGGCCTGCCAGTAGGTGAAAGGGTAGGGTTATTTATCCCATTGTGGGGTCGACTGACCTCATCGTCTGACTGGTCCGTGGAGGCCTCCCCAGGTGCTTTCAATTGCGGGGTGCCGGTAAACAACTTGCCAATGTCTCTAGTTCTGTGGGACCCAGTAGACGGGGTCTTTGGCTTTCTGAGTTATATCTTCATAGGCCAGAGTGCCGTTTCAGGAGGGGGTGAGTATAAGGCCCAGTTGGCAGTTGCGTGCTCCGCTGCAAGCCGTTGGTCACACAGCCTAGAGGTCCGCTGGGTCTTGTGGGTCGATTTGGCATTAATATGTTCCCTGAGAGTTCCCCTGAGCCGTGCCACCATTGCCGTGGGTCGATGGGGCAGAGGGTAGGTGATAATCGTTGGATTAGAGTTTTTGAGCCTAGAGTGATGAGAAATGGTGTCTGATCTCTCTTGGTGCCTGGCCCGCTTGAAATGAAAGACATTAGATGCATTAAAAATAAAACAGGGGGGCTGTTTTATTTTTAATGCATCTTATGTCTTTCATTTAAAGCTCTGTTAGGTATTATGTTTAATTAAAAATGTGTGCCTCACAGCCTGAAATTGTATATAAAAAGAGACAACTGGGGAGCTTTAGCGACAACATTCAGAGCCCTTAAAAAAAAAAAAAAAAAAAATTAAAACAATGTCGGGTGCCTTCTATAAACACACACACAGGTACCCAATGTTAGACAGACACACACACACTGATAGCTAAACAATCTGTTAGGAACACATACACATATTCCATCTGTCAGATATTTGTCTAGGTTGACCAAAGACTAAATTCAATCAAGTTCAACCATGCAACCCATTATTTTATGAGGTTTATCTAAAAGAACACAAACAACCCCAATTGTAGCCATTTCCAATTATGCTACAAAAAAGGTAAAAAGCCATAAGGCAGTCAGATTTAGCCTTCTATCAACAACCTGTTCACATACATATCCATTATATCCTTAGACAGCCTTTTTAGTTCGAGAATATCACATATAATTAACTATACACAAAAGCACTTTACTAGCTTTTGCAACAGCAGATCGGCATTGCATAGTATTGTCTACCTTGTGATCTATTATTGTTCTCAAGTCATTTTCATTTAAAGGGATACTATAGTCACAAAAACAAGTTTTGCTTAATGAAGCAGTTTTGGTGTATCATGGTGGTGGATCATGCTCCTGTAGTATTAGTGCTCAATTCTCTGCCATTTAGGAGTTAACTCGCTTTGTTTATACAGCCCTAGTCACACCTCCCTGCATGTGACTTACATAGCCGTTCTAAACACTTCCTGCAAAGTGAAATCTTATGTTTAAACATACTTTTTTGTACAGTCGGTTTAATTTATTATTTATCTCCTGCACTGTTAATAGCCTGCTAAACCTTGTAGGAGCCTCCTGTGTGTGATTAAACTTAAATTTAGAGAGCGGGAGATAACTTCTAAAGCAAGTTAACATCTGATTGAAAATTAAACCATGTTTTCATACAGGCTGTGTCAGTCACAGCAAGAGGCAGTGTGGCTAGGACAGAAACAAAAGCGATTTAACGCTTAAATGGCAGGGAATTGAGCAGTGATAGTGCAAGGGCATGACCCATACATCAAAACTGCCTCATTAAGCTAAACTTGTTTTGCTGGCAATAGTGTCCCGTTAATGTGAACCCCAACTCAAACCCATTTAAAGTATAATTGGATTGAGGGTTTGGTATTTCAAAATGCATGACCTTACATTTATCTGTATTGAATCTCATCTGCTACTTACTTGCCTAGTCCCCCAATGCATCCATATCCCTCTGTACAGAAATTATATTATGTTCAGACTGTATTATCTTACCTAGCTTTGTGTTATTTGCAAATACAGACAAATGTCTTTCCTCCTCCTAATACTGATCTCCCTCTCACATTGGCTTCCTGTATCCTATAGGAATCAATTCAAGGTACTAATCCACACCTATAAAGCACTGACCAATTCTAGCCCCTCCTATATTTCTTCACTGATCTGCAGGTATGCCCCTTCTCGGTCTCTCCGCTCTGCCCATCACCTTCTTCTGTCTGCTGCTCGCACCCGTACAGCCAACTCACGCTTGCAGGACTTCTTGTGGGTGGCTCCTTTCCTTTGGAATAGCCTGCCTACGACCATCAAGCTCTCCACTAGTCTTCAATCATTTAAAAAGTGCCTCAAAACCCATCTCCTTAGGAAAGCTTATGGCCTCCCAGAGTATTCGCTCTCTCAAATACCTGTCCCTTGCTCTCTCAAAGGGCAGCACTCTATTCTCTCCTCCTTGTTTGAATGAGTCACTAATGGCCTGACTGCTCTGCAGAGCACTCGGAAGCGGAGACAAAACCGACACAGAAGCAAACTTCTTCATAGCTCCTCACGTTACCCTCGGAGGTAAGAACCAATGTGCCCCAGGAGAGGTGAAATCGGTCCTTGCGTGTGTCTGGAGGGGAAGAAGCGAGCAACACCAACATCAGCCTGTAGACATGCTTGCATAGGACTGCCTTGCAGATTTCCTGCGCTTCCTGATGTCAGGAGTCGGTTAAACGTTTACTTACCTCCCCCTGTAGACGTTCTGCCTAAGTTACCAGACCTACTAGACACCCATAGATGCCACGTTACATGAATATGCATATGGTTATGTGTTTTAACTTTTGATTCATCTCTTTATCTTTACCTTTGTTTTCTTTTACTCTACTATATTCACCTTAGCCTTAGAATGGCAATGTTGGTGCCAGTGGTATATTAACTTATTCTTGCCTAGCAAATGTGTTATACTACGTTCGCTGTTTCTATAATTAACGCACAAGTTTTATAGCACATATCGGACCACTCATGTACTAACTAAATAATCTAAACAGTCAGTTCAGTTTATTCAGCCTACTGTTCTTGAATTCTCTATCCTGACATATCTATGGTGAGCATGTTCAACGTCTTAACTATATCATCCCATACATCCGTACCACTACATGTCTGCCTAGCTCAATTGTTAACAAATTATTCAAAAAATAAATGCTGAATCTTGGAATGCCACACTGTTTTATGTCATGATTAAGCTTGTTGATGCGGTTGTGGCAAGGCAAGCTTGTATTGTTATATGTGCACAATAGAAGTAAAGAATTAAAACATAGTAATGGCCAATCTTGGTGTAACGGACCGTTTTGCCCACAAGAGGTTAAAAAAACAGTTTAGGTGACATTCCCCCTTTTTTAGATGCACAGACAGCTACTGCAATCACCACTCTCCCGAACTGCAAACACACGAATACTGGAAATAGCCGAATAGGAAAAACCATGCAAATAGGTTTACACTCCTAGCAGTCAAACTGGAACAGTATACAATAAATCCTCCCCCAATAATGAGACGACACTTCACTTTGAGGGTTAAGCAGGAACTGTCTGTAATGGCCACACACTGGCTTTTATGCAAGTCCCCATTCAAGGGGACATCCCACAGGGTGGGACACAGTACAACCAATCGTTTACAGGAGAACTGTAAAACACACCCACAGTTACATCACAATCCCTCCTCTCTGTCCTGGAGATAATTGGGAAGTAATCCACTTATCTCCCAGGACAGAGGCAAAGCTCCATTAACCACATGGCAGTAACAATACAATAAAAGACATAAAATTACATACAGTTACATTTATTCCATAAAACATAGACATTCTACATATCCCCAGATAGCTTAGATCTGAGCGCACATTACTACCGCATGACGCTCAGATCACATACATACAGTTCAATCGCCATGGATCCAAAGTCTTTCATACAGTCTTTCAGTATACGGCTGGGCTCCATGGCATAGCTATCTGGGGTAGCATGGCTTTAACAGTCCGCAGAATGGCACGAATAAACCTTTCTGCCAGTAAAATAAAAGATTAAAATGCAGGACCATAGTCTAAAGGGAGCAGGCGAGCAACCAGGCCTCTCCAGTGGACAGTGGCGAGGTTGGTTCCGCCACACTTGGCATCGCAAATGTTTGTGAAGTATGTTTGCAATGTTCAACTACCCTACAAAATGGCTCAGCATTACAGGAAATGTATGTCCCAATCACCTGCAGTTTCGAAGTTAGCCATTACTGCCTTACACTTATGAATACAATATGAAAGAGCAAAAAGAGCACACTTAAAAACCAGGGGAGAAAGAAATGAAAGAAAAAAAAAACTACATAGATCTAGCAGATCAGAAACTGAAGCACACAGAGGTACCCGCTTATAATCCATGAGGCTCTTAGATCTGCTTCTCCTGGGAATATCCTTTGTGAAGGCAAAACGTAAAATAAAACATTGCATAAATCATCAACCATAAACACTTAACTTGTTGGTAAATCCTGACAGTTTCATAAAAGGTCTTAAAGTGTATTTGCTGCAAAAAAAACTATAAGCAATATGTTTGGAGCACTGACAGAAGCAACATCTGACAAAGAAAAAAAATGTATGCTATTGGCTGTGGAGTTGCAACTCTGTCATGTGTCATTGCCCCAATACAAAATAAATCGCTATATAGTCGATATACCTCAAATGAAAAACACACATGCATTGAATTATGCATTTTTTTCCACTGGAGGTATATATAAAAAAAGCTTGCAAAAGCTGCAGTTCTCTTGTCTGCTGCCTGTGCAAACCCACTTCTTCCCCAGACTTTCTGTTGTCCAATTTCCTATGAATGAGAAGTCTTTGCAAGGCAGGTAATCTCAGGGGTGGAGGAATTTGTCAGAGGGCCATAGGAATATCTGCATACTGATCAACCAGTAAAGACTTTGTCAATTTCATATAAGGAAATGCAGAATCATTGTTAATTTCATCTTTCATATCAGAATATTGTGCAAACTTGGCATAAGGACTTTTTCCTTGTGCAGTCAACTCCACATCCACCTCTCCTTGACAGATGCCTGCTAATAATATGTGCTGGTTCCTACATTGTCTGCATAATGTCAGGCACTTGGTTTTAGAAAATGCACATCAGTCCTTCCTCCTGTCCCTCACTTGGTAAAGCAAATGAAAATAAATAAATAAAAAAAGCACAAATACATTTCCCCATGAAATGTTCACCCTCCTACACATTTTGTTTGGGTGTGTATGGCAAACCATGCAGACATGCAAGCCAATTAAACTGAGGTGCAAGTGTTTTTTTGTTTGTTTTTTTAAGGGGGAAGAGGGTATGTGCATGTTTAATTTGTGCGCAAATTCTGTATTCTTTTAGTTTAATGTTAAATTATGCATTACTAAAATTAACAAAAATGGAAAAAAAACTGCCCTGGAAAGACTCCTAAACACCTGGAGTTTATGTTTCTATTTAATAGTGAAGGCAGAGTCTCACAAGAGCCTTCACTCTGCACCAGTTTAGTTAATGGACGCATGCAGTGAAGAAAGTCAAAATAGATGGGTTTTACAGCAGCTGCAGGTAAACCCTAAATTGTTATTTGATTTTTCTGGAAACTAATGGTCAAGAGGAAGGATAGAAGAAAACCAAAACACGAATAATTGCAGTTGGTCCCTTTAAACATTCTCATGGTGTATAGTACATGCCACCTATGTAAGCAAGTCTCATGCACTTGTGCGCATACACATTGCTTCTTATCATATAGATGCACTACAAATGAGTAATGTCATTATGTAAATACTTACGGATTGGTCAGTTGTCAGCGGTGTATATCCAGTCATTAGAAAGTGCAGACGAGGTGTGGGGATTAAAGATGCAATAAGACCAATCAGGTCGTTGTTCATGTAGCCTGGGTATCTTAACGTAGTGGTGCTAGCGGACATAATAGTGGACACCTGACAAAGAAAACTGCATTGTTTTACAAAGACAGTAAATAATGGTTCAAAAATGCTATGCAAGAGGACTTTCAGCATCACCGTAATCCGCAAAGGGGAAATCCTAAAGTGAGTGCAGCCATTGCCGCGGATGTGCATTAGGTCTCCCCCAGCGATGGAGAGAAGGCAGGCCCGATCCAGCACCGAGGGACATCGACAGTGGACCCAGGTAAGTGACAAAAGGGGTGTTTAACCCCTTCTCCACCGTGCGGAGGGCCTTGACAGGAGGGAAGCTAAAGTGCTAGTAAAGGGCCAGAGCAACTACACTGTGAATAGAGCAAGAACTGAAAAATTCTGTCAATAATAGTGAGCTTTGCATTTGAAAATCTTACAGGGTTATTTACCCAACCTGAACAAATCTACAATAGGTGGGTACATTTATTGTCCAGTTTAAAATTAGTGCTATGCAAAGTATACAAAGTATAGGATCCAATATTAACAAAGCACTGATTGATTTAAAAAAAAAAAACAACAACAAAAAACACACACGCACACACATCGGGTGGCTCTAATTAAAAGTGCAAATGAAGAGTTGTATATGCCGTTGTCTACCCTTCAAGTTGCAATTAAGTCCCACCGAACGCCCATAGGAGACGAGACAACCTCCCTATATCTCCTCATGCAAATAATCAGATGCCTTCTTTCCTCTAAATCTTTTTTTATTCGGCTCAAAGAAAGCAAAAAAAAAAAAAAAAAATCCTGATGCAACTAATAAAAAAATAAAATAGAAAAAGCCCAAATTACAAAAAAAAGATGATAAATTTAAAAATGTGATGGATGAGAGAAAAAAAAAAAAAGGAAAACAAAAGATTTATGTGAGCCCATCAAGGGCTCTGCACAGAATGAGTTTAGAAAGACTTTCCCATGCAGCGCTCAGATTGGAAGGTTTGTAAACCATCGTGCTCAGACAGGCAAGTTTCACTTTTCTAGAGACTTGCCATGAGCCTCACTCGCCCATTATTTCACAGACCCCCTTTCCCATGGCTGTCTAGTCTCTAATTTTTTATGTTTAATTAGTGTGCCCCCACCTGCCACATGGCAGAGGTAGAATAACTCCCTTGCAGAAATATAGGGGGTCACATTGACAACCATTGGCTCCCCCTCTCCACTACATTTTAATATGCAGTGGTGAGCAAAAGTGCGACTATTTTAGGTGGAATCTCACAATTTGTTTTATATTCACCACAGCTTGATGTAGTAGTTATGGTGCCAATAGTGCTCGGACACCGTTCCATGGTAAGTAGTCAAATTGTTTAAGTACAGTTTGACAACTTACCTGGGCCCAGCCAGGTGCCTGCATTTGGTCATCGCTTGCAGGAGCATCCAGATGGCTGTGTAGAGCAAAGCTGAGCCATGCAGCTGAGCCCTCTCAGCCAATGAGCGTGGTCTTGCATTAGACTACTTACTATGGGACAGCGCCACAACATTCCTGGCACCATAAACACTACAGCGGACTGTAGTGCTTATAGTGCTTGGAGTATTCCTTTAATGGGAGACTTGTTTTCTGAGAAACTGTGAAAATAGCAGAGCCCTTGTTTACCGAGAAACAATTATGTAGCAAACTGGATTACTGATATTTGTACACGAAGTACTGCATATCAACTGTTATTTGTCAACATTTATACAATTACAAGCTTACCAACTGGTTAATCTGAGAGAAGGATGGATTTTGTATGTGGAGTCTGTCAGTAGCAATTCTATTCAGAGCTGTGTTATCTAAAACAACCTTGAAAAGACAGAAATAAAAACGAAATGACAGATATTAGAAATCAGTACATTAAATGCCAAAAACACAAAAGCTCAATGTGATCAGCCACAAAGTGTTCCCTTACCACACAATCTGCATTCTGTGTCAGCCGCTTAAGTGTTAGAAGTGAATTGTAAGGCTGCACCACCACATCGCTCATTTCATCTTGATTTGGGAACACAGAGTACGTCTGCACCAGCTTCTTTGGGTATCTGGTTTATACATAAAGAAGTTGCTGTGTTAAAGAGCAAATATAGTGGTGCACAATTTTGGTATACAAGATTTTTGGATATCATAACCCCAAGAAAATCATAACTCAGCAACTTCAAAAATGAAATTCTTTGTAAACGACCATGCAAATAATTTTAAGACGGCGTGACAGTGAACCATTCGCTAGACAGAAGGGGGTTTATTCACTAAACTGTGAATTGTGCTGAAATTCTTCAGTTCAGTTTTCAATTCATTGTTTAGGAAATAAACCCCAGAGAGTTGTGGCAATTAGTCTAAATCTAACAGAGAGCAAGTTAAGAAATAGAGCTCACATTCTGCAGATGTGGAATTTTTCCATTCCCACCCACCATATGTGCTATTTTGTTCTTTATTTTGCAAGGCGGGTGTCATGTCACCACATCTTAAACCTACATCAGAGATTTACCAGAGATTGATTTAAGTTTAACGAAAGCCTTTAATATTGTTCATCACCAAAGATTACAAAACAAATAAATAAAACGGGATTAGAAGAAAATCTTCAGATTAAAAACTGGATTAAAGAATGCAGTGCCTTGTTTTCAATGCAAAAAAAAGTCAAATTAGGGAAAAAATTTTAAGCTTAGTAAAAATACCAAATTGTTGTAACCCACGAAGAGGAAAAATAAAAATGCCAAAAAGAAATTTATAACCAGCCATTCTTCTCTTTATATAATATCCATATTAATATTCAAACATACAAAATAACAGCAGATCAGCAGCAAAAAAAACCCATCAAAGTGCTTACTGTGCATAGGTGGGTGGGGAGACATACCATATGCCAAGTGAAACTGTTTCACATTATGTAACTGAAGAAAGTGCAGAGTTTACAAAATTAGGATGGGATATGGAATAACATTTGAACAGAGGCTAAAAAGACTGAAAATGTTAACAGTGAGAGGAAAAAAAATTAAAAAAAAGTCTAAAGGGATCTAACTTCAGACACTTGCCATTTATTCTTTCCAAAATGTAGGATCCCAACCTAGAACCTGTCAACGTACTTGTGGGCCTCCTCTTCAGGCTGAAGCTCCTGCAACGATCTCAACTGAGAATGGTTTGATAACTTACCATTGGTTCTCCAGGTGCCTACCACCCCTCCTCTTCAGACAGATGCCCCCTGCACTGAGCTAAGCCCTGCCGTGCAGGACTGCGCTCACTGGCTGAGAGTACTCAGCAGTCATCAATAAGCATATGTAACTACAAATATGCAGCAGCTACTACAAAATCAATATGGAGTAACATGTGAAGATGGGCCATAATGGCTAAAAAAAAAAATTCACAGTGAAAAAGGGTGTATCTGAAGGGAAATAACATATACCTGTCATTTAATCTTTCCAAAAGGTAGGATCCTAATCCAGAACCTGTTCCTCCAGCTATCGAATGGCATAGAACAAATCCCTGTTAAAAATAGAAGCACTCAAGTTGAGGATCAAAATGGAATTATATAATATTTATGAATGGTCAATCAATATACCACACTTTGGAAGAGTGTCTCGTTGTAAAGTAACTATTGAAAAAAATAAATACCAACCCTGCCTCTACATCAGCTGCCTCTCTTAGAAACACATTGAAAGTTATTCACGAGAGTTTCAGTCTTTGGGTATTCAAAGGGAATGCTGAATTTTAGGCCAAAATAGCTCATCGTAATAGCTGGATGGAGAATTATTCCAGTTTGGCCTGATGTTTGCAATTCACTTTATTAATTAACCCTTACTGGTTTAAGAACGACTTTCAACCTGTCAAAAAAAGCCCACCCGTCTGATACCTCACAAACACAAGTCACTGTAGTATGATAGGGTATTTTCTGAATTTAAAAGTGGTCAATTTGCAGTATATTTTTCTTTGTTCTTTATCTTCTGTTTTATTGAACTGACTGCATGGTTTCCACGTACTGAACTTAGATTTAAAATGGACATCCTAAAGACTAAAATGACCTTATTAAAGTGATTTTGCATATGAAAACTGTCCCGCATCTGAGAAACTACACAGCTTACATGTTGCCATTTTTACGCCTACTAGTGACGGTCAGATATGTCAGTCCCACTAGGAACTTTGTACTAAACTAGACTCCAAAAATGTAATTTGACTCCACTGCGTTTGTTCACTGATTCTGTTAGAAGGGTTGGACGCAGAGCACCTCTATGAAAAATAGACTGCTTGATTTCAGCAAGTACCATGCATTTTTGTTTAAATTAAAGTGTTCTTTTAATGCAAACCCTACCTGCCAGAAAGACTCAAAGCCTAAAAAGGTTCATTACCTCAAGACTGTCGCTTCCATCTGCCTCGCGGTCAATAATATCAAAGATATCTTCATGGATTTTTTCACCCTACATGATGAAGATAGTGACATGTCAGTGACACATTTCCAAATCACAAAAGTAGCAGAATATGAATTAAGGGTAACAAACTGATAATAAAAAAGTATAAAGAAAAGCACACTCTAAACACGAACCATAATTCTCCTGCTGTCTGTGTCAAGAAAAAAAAATGGGTTCTGTAATTCTGCATGGACCACCAAAGTTGGGAACGCCACCTGATGGATACTTTAACCAATAAACACAAATGTTTTATTGCGTTCTGAATCTGAACCTTACCTCTCCTATTCTACAATACATCCATTTGGTTGGCTACTGTACCTGCATGCAATTTGGCAGATCCCTTTCAGCCCCTGTATAGCCGGCAGTTTCCAGTAACCGTTGTACAAGCCATTGTGATCACAGGAATGGCTTCTTTAAATTGTAGATCAACTAATAGATTTAATAAGTAGAAAATGGTTAATTAAACTACAAGTCCCAGACACCCTTGCTCTGTGCAGAACTGAGAGGGTACACAGTTTTGAGTTTAAATTCATGTTGCCCCAAAGAAATCCGCTTGATGTCTGCATTTGTTCGGATCATCACTGTCAAAGGTTCCAAGGCAAAGATGTATATCACTGGTGAAAGGGGACATCACTGCCTTGTTCTATATGTGATAGGGAAAGGGTTGGATAACAATCCTGTGTTAAAGACTTTGGCACTTGGGTTGCTATACAGTGCTTTATATGCTGATAAGAAAGTCTGTCAAAAGCTAAATTTAAGGACTGCTTGGAGGAGAGACCAGTGGAGACAGTTGAAAGCCTTTTCAGTGTCAAGTGATAATAGCATGCTGCTTTCTTTTTCTCCATGCATGCTGCATAGTAACGACCCATCCTTCGTTCTACTTCTGATGACGCCTACTTGGTCAGTATGTTTAATGTTAGGGAGGATGGAAACAAATCAATTTGCAATTAATTTAGCAAAAAGTCCGTTTAATACGTACATTGGTGTAAAGTTTGGGCACTTTGTTGTGGATTTTCCTGGTTTGTACAGAGCTACGATAATGGCCAGAGCCTAGAGAAGCATCAGCGATTGCAGATGGAAATACTTTAACTAACTGAGGAGACAGGATGGAGGAGAACCTTTTACATGTTGCTGGTGTAATAAGGACTTCCCACTTTCTCACGTTGGGCCAGTGATAATCTAGGTAGTGTGATGCGGGACAAAAATGAATTAATTTCAGTTGCGGATGGTTGGTGTATAGATGAATCCCTTTTAGATTATAAAGGGTGCTATAGAATTTAGCAAATTTGTTGCAGATGTCCTGTGGTTTGATTATTTTTGTCCTGTATCAGAGAGTAAATATTGTTTTTCTGTTTTGTGAATTTTTTTCTTGTAGGGTGGCTGAAAGAAGTTTATTCACTTTATTGAGTAAAGTATCTTGTTTCAGTTTATGTATTACCGTATTTTTCGCTCCATAAGACGCACTTTTTTTCCCCTCAAAAGTGAGGGGAAATGTCTGTGCGTCTTATGGAGCGAATGTGAAGAATTACTTACCTGTCTTGGAGCGTGGGCCGGCTTCACAGCGCGCTCCGCGGGTCCAGGAACTTCTATTTCAGGTTCCGGTTTCCGGCGGGACTGAAAGGAAGTGTGCACACTGAGTGTGCACACTTCCTTTCAGTCCCGCCGGAAACCGGAACCTGAAATATTAGTTCCTGGACCGCGGAGCGCGCTGTGAAGCCGGCCCACGCTCCAAGACAGGTAAGTAATTATGGGACAAGGGGAGGGGGATACACTATGGGACAAGGGGAGGGGAGGAGACACTATGGGACAAGGGGAGGGGAGGAGACACTATGGGACAAGGGGAGGGGGGGAGACACTATGGGACAAGGGGAGGGGGACACTATGGGAGAAAGGGAGGGGAGACACTATGGGAGAAGGGAGGGGAGACACTATGGGAGAAGGGGACACTATGGGAGAAAGGGAGGGGAGACACTATGGGACAAGGGGAGGGGGGGACACTATGGGACAAGGGGAGGGGGGACACTATGGGACAAGGGGAGGGGGGGACACACTATGGGACAAGGGGAGGGGGAGACACTATGGGACAAGGGCAGGGGGGGACACTATGGGAGGGAAAGTGCACTATGGGACAATGGGAGGGGGGGACACTATGGGATCAGAACACTAATGGACAAGGGGAGGGGGGTTAAAGAACACTATGGGACAGGGTAGGAGGGGTTAACAATCACTATGGGACAGGGTAGGAGGGGTTAACAATCACTATGGGACAGGGTAGGAGGGGTTAACAATCACTATGGGACAGAGGAAAGGGGGGTTAAAGATCATTATGGGACAGGGGAGAAAAAAAATTATTCTGAACAAACTGTCCCATGGTAAGAAACACTATGGAACAGTTTGTTCAGAATATTTTTTTTTCTGGGTTTCCTCCTCTAAAAACTAGGTGCGTCTTATGGTGAGGTGCGTCTTATGGAGCGAAAAATACGGTATTTATCTCATTTAACTTTGTTTTCAGGGAAGCGGTGTGTGTAGTTCGGGTGTCTAAGGGTGCAAGAAAGAGAGCTGTGGCAGTATCACGTAATGTTCTTAGGAGTTTTGGCATTTGAGCTTGGGATGTCCTTTTTAGATATTAAGCTCTGCTTATAAACTGTCCTCTCAACTGCTTTATAAGCTTGTGTTGCACAGTATCATTGCTTTTTAGATCATAACATTGAATTCTTCAAGTTCTTTCTGTGTTTGGGATATGAAGGTATTGTTAATCAACAATGTGTCATTAAGTCTCCATGGGTTGAAGGCTCTAAATTTGAATTGGGGGGTTTGGTGGTGCCATTTTGCAACGGCACAGATAAAGCAGCGTTGCTGGCTGCACTTAAGGGGACTTCTCAATACACATTTTAAAAATATGGCTCTTGCATTCTATGTAGAGCTCTTAGGGGATACCCTGCAATGGGGAAGATCAATGCGGCCTTTCACCACTCTGCTCTAGGACCGCGACCTCCGCTACAGATGGTACTCACAGCTGACTCTACAAGTCCACAAGGTTAATATCTCTGCAAATTATCTTAACTCCCCTCTGCACCGGAGGAGTATAAGTTAACCAGTTAGTGTAGAGTGTCGTTCAGAAGGCAAACTAATATTATGAATCTACCCTCGGGGTCTGCTTTTTTTTTTTTAATAATAATTCGAATGCAACTGATTGATGGATGAGGAATGAAAGTCCTCTCGATTTATATTTATAAAATATTTTACCAGGAAAGATACATTGAGATTCCTCTTGTTTTCAAGTATGTCCTGGGATTTGAGGACATATGCAGAGTGGTGCGGCACAGGATAAGGAGTTGAGCTCATTTTAGAAACTGTAGCCCTTAAAAAGTGTTTCTTGTATACAGAGTATGTCAGCTGCCATTTTCTGTGCATTTATGTGTAACGTGTCTTTATTTTTTTTTGCTGTGCATATATTAAGAAACGTGCCTGCAGTGCCACGACCACAGTAGCAAGCCTAATAAAACAAAGTTAAATATAGGCATGACATTTGAGGTAACTGCACATTTTTAGAAGTTTTAGAGATCAAGAGTAATACATAGATGTGTATGACAGTGCCAAGGCATATACGATTTCTATCAGGAGCAATTTCAAGTGAGTGACTATATGCTGTCCTAAAAAGGTATCAGCTACAGATAGCATTTCTAAGACAGTTACATGTTGTGTCTATATGCCTGAAACACCGTGGAGAGGTAAGGTAACCAGTGGGCACAAACCATTAACAAAATTAGTTGAAAGTAACTAAACATGAATGCACATATAATTGTAGGCTACCAGGATTGAGATGCCATGTCCAGCATTGTTCACCCCACTCCACACGCTTGCCATGTGTGAGAGTCCACGATGTTGCCAGCATTCTTCTCTCCTCTCCCTGTCAGCAGACAGTGTAGATGTCCTAGCTCGGCAGCCATCTTGGTCATGCCACTTTTAAGGTGCCAGGTGAGCAGGCTTTTACTGTGGTCTAATGCTGACCCAGTGAAGACCAAGATGACCTCTGCCGGTCCAAAGGGGGTGGGGGTGACGGGAGTGCAAGAAGTAGGCTTCGAGATGAGTGTTCGGCTTCAGAAGATCGGCCTCTTCTCCCTTCCACTGACACTGCGGTCCCAGTAGGCCTCAAGGACGGAACAGGTTGCTGCTCGGCTAGGCGCCCCTTTCCAGACGTGTTTCGCTTCATAAATGGATGCTGCTTATTTGTTTGCAGTTTTTAACTCCCGGAGCGACTTTAACCCTTAGATTTAGCACCTTTTTGTTTGGTTCGCCGGTAGCTCCAGAGTTACACATCCAGCCATGTTGGACATCAGGCCCCGCCACTGTGTAACGTGTCTTTTAAGGGGTGTTTCTAAAGGTTGGTGTGTTTAAGATAAATAACCAGTAAACTACAAGATGAGCATTGATGTTGCAAGCATAAGCTTTGGTTTGGTTAAATCTCTTTAAAATTCTCTACTTTGATGGACAATGCTATTTTTACCTGTGAAAAACCACTGGCCCAGTTGTTCCCAGCTCCTCCTCCATGTTCAGACAGATAAATGTTTTCCGGGTTGTAGAGATTGGCATATGGAGAATTTAAGATGGAATGAATAACCCGAGGTTCCAGGTCCAAAAGTACAGCTCGCGGAATGTAATGCTCATCATCAGCCTAAAACCATATAATAAAGAGAGAAACTTTTAATCTGCATAATAGCAAAAGGAGAACGTTAAAGGGACAACAATGAATGCACCTGGCACGACATGGGAAAATGGGATGAAAGGTGAGTTAAAAACGCCTTCCTCAATGCTCTCTCACAGACACACTGACAGGCGCATGCACACAGTCTTGACAGGCTCACACACACACACAGTCTTGACCGGCTCACACACACACAGACACACACAGTCTTGACAGGCTCACACACAGACACACACAGTCTTGACAGGCTCACACACAGACACACACAGTCTTGACAGGCTCACACACAGACAGACACAGTCTTGACAGGCTCACACACACACACACACACACACACACTTTTGTTTGAATTGAAACCCACTCAGCCTCCCTACCTTTGGGAGAGCTGAGTGAGTCTTTCCTGGGGTCCAGTGTGGCTCCACTCTTCCTGTGTGCGAAGGAGCAGTACTCTGCCTGTAGCTCCTCTCTGCTCCCTCGTGCTCTGTAATGATGCCGGGGCCGGAATGACATCATATTCCGGCTCCCGGCATCATTACACAGTCACCGTGGCGATCTGGCACCTGCGATTTGTCGAACCCTGTCTTATGAGTACTTCTTTTTTGACATTTCACTCACACTACATATATTACATATTGTGGTTGCCTTAAACAGAAAAAAAGTGAATTACAAAATTTAGGCAACAATACTTGATTTTGAATAAAAAATTCCAACTCCGCTATAGTCAAAACCTGGCTGCTTTAACATAAATCATGCACTTAAAGTCTTTGGCTCAATACAATTCACCACCTACTGCAAAACCAGATATCTAACTTCACACAAAGTTAGGAAAGAAGTAGCCAATAATTTTTGTGCAATTAATTTTGATTTATGATTTTCCTGCTTCCATAAAATCATAAAAAGTCATCCAAATGATTGGAATGCCACAAGGCAACTGCAATTGACAGTTTTGAGGCCATTGTTCCATGAAATACGCAAACAAAAGCTAAAATTATATTAAGATCTATACAGAGACACGTGAGTAACTTGCTATGAGTTTATGGCTGCAGAGCAGACGCGTGGAAGCTGCACGCGAACCTATCTCAGGGGCGGCCTTTCACTCTCACTGCTAGCACTGCGACAAATTAAGGCCTGTAGACATAGCTTCCCGCTTCAAGGTCCCAAACCGCAATAAAAGAGGGGTGAGAGTGCACCCAGAGGTCCAGGGGGCTGGTATAACCATGAGCGTGCTGGATACCATTTTGACAACTCAGAGGTGAGAGAAGCCCTTAACCAGCTTTCCACACGCTTCCGAGATGCTGGTCCACCATGAATTAAGTACTTGGTTAAAAGTAGGCCAAGCACTCACTCCATTACAGACACAATGCTTAACTCAATCACGGGGAGGGGTTTCCCCCTCTCAAGTGAATCTGCTCATTACCAGCTAGCCCTTACTAATGACATCTTTGGCACAACATTGAAGGAAGCCACTTTGGTCAGTCCAGTACATCACACTGGAACATGGTTGTGCCTACATACCAGATAACCTACTCAACATAGCTCTGCTGTGATAAGTCTAGCCGGTTAATGACTGTTAAAGGACTTTATTGTCCTTTTTATACTTTACGTTCTATATTATCACAATCACATGTGATTATACTACTCATATTCCTCTTCTGACAATTCCTAAACAACAAGAGATACAAAAACAAATTCCATGGAAGATCACAAAATACCCTACGTCTTAGACACTTTTGGTGCAATGATATAAAAGCTATTGGATCCACGTTGGATGCTTGAGACTTTAAAGGAATTGCCTATACCCACAGTTTGCTACCCACCCAATAAGGGAGAAATATGTAGAACCTGGAAGGAATAAAACTAAAACACAATCAAATCTACTTCATTATATTCTATAAAAGTTATTTTTACCTGATAAAAAAACACATCTTTACGATCTGTTCCTTCGGTTGCAAACTCTTCAACAATCCCTTCTGGACTGATTCCATGCTCGGCACAGAGTTGCTTCCAAAATTCAAACCCAACTGTATGGAAACAATGGACGATGAGGTTAAAGGATATTAGAAAACAAAGATAATTGTGAATAGTAGCTTAAAGTGGCTCTGCCGCTATCTGAGGTCTCTAAATAATTTGTGTATGCGCATGAGTACAACACTGAGGTGTTTCTCAAAGGCAGAGCTACTTTTTGTCAGTAGTGACAACTAAGGGAAAAAAGGCTATGTCTATGGTCAATCTTGCGGGATCCTCCAGAGATAGAGCTTTTTTTACCCTAGGTCGTCACTAGTGAAAAGGTTGCTATGCCCTTTTATCAAGCATAGGAAAAATACCAAGTGATTTTTTTATACAACAGTTTCTTCACTCTTACTAACATGATATAAATATGTATTTACAGCATTATTGTGTCCCCGGTACCATTTAGATATCAGTCAAACAAATGGTTTTCTACAGAGAAGCAGTGACTGTCCTACTCTGCAGTAATGGTACCAACATGATTCTCCTCAAAGAGCAGTATTACAATACTTCTCTAAGGTGAGACTTCCCTGTGAATGTGAAGATTGTCTGATTGACAGCCACTAGAGGCACACAAACTGACAAATGCAAACATGACAAATTAATTATCAGCCTCCAGTGACTGCATCTACGCACCAAGACCATTACAATAATCTGTAGTTGTTTTGGTGTTTATGGGATTATTTAATAAAGAGATATTTGTCAGGAATTCAAAATGTATTTTACATTTACAGCCAAAGTAGCCAAACCGGAAGAATTCTCCATCAACTATGCTTCCAATTAGACTATTTTAGCCTTAAATTTACTTTGAATTCCCGACAATTCTCACTATAGCAAAAAACCCTGTCAGAGGATACAAAAGAGTTTCCTAAGGCTACAATGTCGTAGTTACCGTTTAGGTGACTCCCCCCACAAGGGTTCAAAAGGTATTTCACTTACGTTTTATTTTTATCCCACGTCATACTTCAATTCGTCCTATCTGCGGCTGGCCCCGTCACCTTGGCTGAGATAAAGTTTGAAGACCTCAACCAAACTAAATCTTTCCTATAGAAAAGCATTGGGAGGCTAATGCGCATGCACGGCAAAATGCACTGCCTCACCAGATAGTCTCTATGAGATCATCTGATTGAAATAGCTGAGTTTCCCTCTGCTAATTCTGTGGAATCACCTCTAGTGGTTGACAGCATGACAAACAAGAGAGACATGGCACCCATCACACTTTACTGAGATGAAGTGGTCTGTGTCCCTATAGTGTAGCTTTAATATCTATTCCCTTACGATATTTGGTGAAAGTAAATAAAACAGGTGAGGATCAATCAACAAGTGGAACATGTGCAAATGAACTACCCGTGAATTGCATATGGCAGCTGGGATCAACATGGAGCCCGTCCAAACATTATCTATGTTGGCTGCATATTGAAAGCTTAACTATTCAATCCTCCACCTGTTGTCAAAACGGCACAGACAAATATAACTCCATCCGGGACTATAAACTGCCAATGATGAACAATACGTTTGTGAAGAAAGGATGTACTCAGCTTAAATTATAAATAAGGAGTCTAAATTGCAGATATCATAGAGACACCCATTGCACCAGAACAGGTGTAGACTGTCTGAATAAAGGAACATACGCTTAACAGTAATATCAAAAGGACATTTAGGCTAACAGATCGCAACTGTATAGATGAGCAGCTGTTTTGAGAGAATATTTTTCATCAACTCTTGTTTTGTCATTGGCAGCATAACTAACTGCATATGGAGATACTACTAGGTCTACCTGCCTTTGCTTGCTTTGTGTTCAAAACAAAACACAAAGTAGGGTTAAGACAAACATAGAACGAAAAGGGAAACAAAGCCGACACCATGCTCGCACGCAGACTCAAAAAACATACCGAGGCCAAACGAATCACATCAATACGCACAAACATTGGTACCATGACTGACTGCCCAGATAGCATAGGCAAAATCTTCCAGGACTATTACACGGACCTTTATAACCATGACCACCGACCCCAAGACACCAGACCAACACTGCCCGCACGCATAGAAACATTTCTAAAAGACGCAACACTGCCCACGCTCACCCAAGAGGCCCAAGCGGCACTAAGCCAAGAGGTCACGATAGAAGAAATGGCACTGGCAATGGCGCTGGCACACTACAGGCCAATCTCCCTTCTCAATGTGGATCTTAAAATCATGACCAAAATTATGGCTAACCGACTAAACCCATACCTACAATCCCTCATACATCCAGATCAAGTGGGATTCATACCACACAGACAGGCAGCAGACAATACCCGGAGAGCCATAGACCTCATCTGGCTGGCTAATCATAGAAGGATCCCAACAGCGATCATCTCTCTAGACGCGGAAAAAGCGTTTGATCGCCTGCTCTGGCCGTTCCTTCACCACACACTAACACACATAGGGATGCCATCTGAATTCACCTCATTCCTACATGCCATTTATCACGCCCCCCAGGGCGCACTCCTGCTACCCAACATCCCCCCACCATGATTCCCCATCTCAAATTGCACGAGACAGGGATGCCCTTTGTCCCCCCTGCTATTCGCCATTTCACTGGAACCTTTACTACAAGCGGTGCGCACCAGCCGGGAGATAGAGGGGTTAACGATCAGAGGTGAAACCTTCAAAATTTCAGCTTATGCAGACGACATCCTAACTATCATCCAAGAATACAACGACTTGTCGGGGTACAAGATCAACCTGACTAAATCGGAACTCCTCCCGATACAAATAGACCCCCCAAGCTTAGCCATAATCAAACAAATATGCCCAATGAGGATTTGCCACACAACGATGACGTACCTCGGGATCCAACTCCCGTCAGATGTCACCACCCTATACGAAACAAACTACACCCCCCTGCTACGAAAGGCCCACTTAGACCTCATCAAATGGAGACCCCTAGGAGTTTCATGGCTGGGGCACATTGCCACAATTAAAATGAACTTACTTCCCAGATTCCTATACCTCTATCAAACCCTACCCATACCGATCTGTAAACAAGACTTCAAGGCACTACAATCAGCCATAGACACATTTATTTGGAATGGACACAAACCCAGAGTACGCCGAAACACACTATACGTACCCAAGAAACACGGGGGACTAGGACTACCACACTTCACACACTACCACACGGCAGCACACCTAACGCAGATACAACACTGGCACGTCCCACCAGGGGAAAAATGATGGGTGGACTTGGAACACAACATCTTCGGTCGGGACCACCCATCCCTTTACATGTGGGTACCCAAACCACATAGACCCCTACCCCCTCCCACCACACCCTCAATCACCCATGCATTTGATACATGGGACAAAACGAGAGACAAATTTGAACTGTCATCATTCCTATCTCCCATGACCCCCATTTGGAGGAACAAGCTGTTCCCACCGGGACTTACCCCCAAGCACTTCGCCCACTTTGAACACAGGGACATTTCCCGTCTAGGGCATTTGTACCAAGACGACGACGTTATCAAATTCTCAGATATCAAAGACTCATCCTCGCTCACATCATTCGATCACTTTAGATTCATACAACTGCGCAGCTTTGCAGCGACTCCAATCATAAAACAAGCCGGCACGGCTCAACTCAATCGCTTTGAAAGAGACTGCATTGCGCACCCCAACAGACAAGGACAAATCTCCGACATATATGCAACCTTGACGACCCACCACACACAACTGTCTCTCCCGTACATAGCGGCATGGGAGGCAGACCTTGGACCCCCAGACGAAACAACAGACTGGTCAGACATCTGGGAGGCAACGGCCTCCATCTCCATCTGCGTCACACACACCGAGCAAGCCTACAAAATGCTATTTCGTTGGTACCTCACCCCCCAACGCCTGGCCAACCACTTTGGCAAGACACCACACGCCTAATCTCTAAACTTATAGACAAACCTTGTCCCTTAGACCCTTGGATGCTCCTACTCTCCAAGCCAATAGACCAATACACTAGAGCCGAAAATAAGCTATCCACCCGCATAGCCCTAGCAACACGTAGAACCATAGCAGAAGTCTGGTCAACAAACCGCATACCGACACAAGAAACAATTACCAAGAAGATAATAGATGGCATGCAAATGGATAGGCTCACAGCACAATTACATGACTTGCCCAAAAAGTTCCACAAAATGTGGGACCCATGGCTGGAGGGAGACACAACCATTCCGTGGTAACACGACAGGATATTAACCGCCCCCCTAGCATAGGGATCCCCTAATCGATGACATCACACACACCTTAAAATAAGTACAACCCTCACCTGACCACATAGCCCCAAACACCAACCTAGGATCCCCGAGAGGGGCCCGCGCGTGGGGTGGCTCGCGGACCGTGACTCCTACCCCCCCATGCCCACACCGCCCTATTCCATAACCCTTACCCTGAACCACTCCTCGACTCGAATAATGCTGCACCCACACATAACGAGACAGGACTCACAAAGAGTCGACGAGTGACAAAACCCATCACTTAAGAACGCAGAAATGACAGGGAACTTAAATAAGTGTTCAATGAAGATACAATGTTGATACGAATGTACGCTACTTCCAATACGCAACAGTACCCTGCGTTGGTACCGACATTAATCTTAAAAGTACTGTTATGTCTTGAACCACTCCCACCCACCCCTCCCTTTTTATTTTCTGTACCCCACTCCCCTCCCTCCTAATTTCAAGGCGAAAACCTACAAATAAAGAATTAAAAAAGACAAACATAGAACTTTGGCAGTACAATTGTTTGAATGGGTTGATCTTGTTGCTATGCACTAAGAGCAAGGCAATCAAATTAAATCTGTTTTGCTTGCATTGTTTTGCCAAGGAGAAATTATTATTTCCTTGTTAGTAGGCTTGCCTTAGATATGCAGTTGATGTACTACAGTAAATTTAAAATGTTCTAATATGCCCATTATTTAAATGGGAAGATCATGTTTTCAAATCCTGTACTGCATGATTGCTTACCTTATCTGTGCATTATTCTCCATAACGCACTGTTTGACTGACAGCAGAGCAGTATAACGGTGAGATTACTTGAAGAAAGGTTCCTGACACCGGGTACCTCCATTGTAATGCAGCCATCTCACTAATATTGCAGGACAGTAACTAAAGTAATGGCAGCACCTCCTACCAGAGGCTGGTACAGTACAGTCATGTATGTATGTATATATATTCATGCTATCAGTGAATTACTATTGCATTTAATTTTATTTTTCACACCTCACTATATTTGTTAAATCCTGGTAGGTTACTGTTGCCATTTATTTCTTCATAAAACGATAGGAGAGTACAAAAAAAATATATATACTTTTTTGGCATCTTATTTATTTTTGGTCATAAGAAATTTTATTGAGGGGTTGGCATTTGGAAAAAACATCAGTGTGTAGCACCTACATTCAGCATGGGGGTTCTGAACGTTAGTCATAGAGATGCATTAATTCAGTTCATCTCTATGAGGAAATGCTGACTGGTGCAGCGTTTTGCAGCGCATGCGCAACAGCTTCTCAACACTATCCTACGGGAAAGCACTGGATTTGCCAAGATCATCAAGGTTGATTATCTAAACATATAGGCAGGGCCAGTTGCGAGGAGACCGGCACGACGTATTAAAAAAAAAAAAAAAAAAAGTGAGTCAAGACATAATTCCCATGCGATTGGAGGGGAGCTGGCAACCTCAATAAAACACACAAATTATATGTTTTAAATCAACGTAAGTCCACCCAGCCTCCATACCTTTGGGAGGGCTGGAGTGGATCGGCTTTAACACGGGTACACTGGGGTACACTGGGCGGCCGGCTGTGGGAGAGTGGTGGTGGTTGTGTGTACTGTAGGCCGGTGGAGAGAGAGCTGTGATCTTCCTGCTCTGTGCGCCAGGGGCCAAGTGACATAATATTCTGGCCATGACATCACTAAGCTGCGCACGAGGGAGCAGAGCGTGAAGATTACAGCTCCCTTGCCGCCCGCCTACAGTATGCTCGAACCGGTCGCGTGCCTTGGAGGGAACAAATCCCAGGCGCCTGGACAAAATACTTTGTCACCATGGCGACCTTGGATTTGCCAATCTCTGGGTTAAATAACTTTTTATTTACTTACCCAATTCCAGCACCGATGTCTCTTGGTGTTGGGTCTCACTAAGCCTCCTCCGCACACACTTTAGGCCTTCCCCATAGAAAAGCATTAACTTAACATAGAGCGTGAGGATGTCCAGAGTCAATCTCTGTGAAACTGTAGCAAACACCTGTAGTGGCTCTCTGGTAGACAGTCACTAGAGACAGTTTTAGTACTGCAATGTAAACATTGGATTCTCTATAAAATTGCAATGGTTTACATTGCAGGACTAAATGGAACAGGAAAAGTACACCCAGGCCACTTCAATGAGATGAAATGGTCTGGTGCCAATAGTGTCCCTCTAACATATATACAATAATGAGCAGATAACAGATGTCAAAGACAAGAAAAGATCAAAGAGACAGAAACCAGGTAACAGATTCAAACCCAGGTCAAGGATGACAGATCAGAATGGTCAAGGAAAAACATGTCAGATACCAAAAGAACAATGTACACGGTAAACTATGTATTGAGACCAGCAAGAAAACACAAGAGGACAAAGAGTATGGACGGACTGTGCTATTTATACCTAAAGATGCTCTGCGTCATTCGAATGTGAACGCTGTTGCAGGATGCTCTGCGTCTTGAATATCATAATATGTCAGACTAGGAGACATGGAATGACGTGAGTTCAGTGCCAGAAATTACACCAAGATGATGCGTACTTTCAGTATAAATAGGTAGTGTCAAGATGGGTGCCAGAATGACACACTTTATGCAATGTACTGCAACCACATACAGATAACCTTATATCTGTCAGGATTGCCCTGGCGCCGTCCCACAGTTAGGGGTCAAAACGATGCATCATATATTCATTATCTGGGAGCATCCTGCTTTGCTCTGAAGTAACATCTGACTTTTCCTGTTGGAGAAGACAGGATGCTGTCCATGCTCCCACGTCGGTTGTCAAATGGTGCTAAAAGGTTTTTACGTTTAACCATGGGACTGCGCCAGGGCACTCCTGGTACCATAACCACTACAAAAAAGAGCAATGTTTAATGTGTTCAGAACTTGATGGACATATACACAAACATATTAAGATACAATGTAAACACATTGTAGAGACACACATCATATATAATTTTGTTACAGTACACACAATACAATACATAAAATAAATAATACATTCTGCAAGACAGGAAATCTACATCACATGATTGACACAAGCACCCCTATATAAGTATACAAAGCACACTAATGATACATACACTAAAGAGTGCATGTATGGCTCACTATGGACTATAAATGAAAGATGCAGAATGAGATGAAACACATATAATCCCGGCATACTGACTCTGATTGCCGCACTGGCCGAGCTGCAGGGTGATGATCTCCCGAGGCATGGCTGTCTCTGCCGGGGTACCTCTCCCGCCTCACCGGCCGCGCTCTGTCAACCAAACAGGGAACGACGTCACTGTACGGAAACCTGGGCCGCCATGTTCGGCCGCGGCACGTGACCACCATTGGAACCCTCGGGCCTGCGAGTGACGTCATCGTACGGAATTCACAGCCAGCCCCCACTTCTCCGCCTACTTCGTGAGTAGGAGGGGCTTCTGCCTTCTGACGTCATATGAAAGAAGCCTATCTGTGATAAATTGAATAGTATTTTATCGATTTCCACAGGAGGAGACTTTCCATTCGGTTATCGGTACATTACAACTCCGCCTGTGGTATTTTGTTTACGTTAGTGAAAGGCTCCTTGTGAGCGGAGCGGGCTGTTAGAACTTCGCTGATTGGTTCCCTCTCGGCTGACGTGTTTCGGAGCGGCGTTTCTGATTGGCTCCCGTGTGGAAACCCCCTGAAGTGAGAGGATTGGGAGAAAGAAACACAAACAGACTGCCTGGTCTCCTGTGCAGGGGGTCGCCATGATGCTAGCTGACAGCTGAGCGCATGCGCACTCTGTACCCGAGCAGCACCGTCCCTGCCTCTACCATAGACACACACACAGTGCCCACCGGGCTCAGCGGACTCCTGGCTTCCCCCCTCTCCCGGCATTAGAGCGCTGCCCCTGACGTCACTGGTCCCGGTGTTACCCCAATGGTGAGAGTCTGGTGAGTGTGGATCAGTAGCAGCCGGCGGCGGCGAGGGGGGCACCGAGGGGAACATGGCACAGAGAGCAGAGGAGGAGAACAGCTCCGGGCTGAGGAGCAGGAGGAGCGGGGCCCGCTCACTGGCCGCCCGGGAGAGGGATGAGCAGGTCCAGGCCGTGCAGGACGCCTTGCTGCAGAGACTGGGCAGCTACGAGCCGGTGCTGAGCTACCTGCAGGCGGTGCTGGTGTGGGAGAGGCCTCGGCACAGTGCTCTGCTCCATCTGGGCCTCAATGCTGCCTTCTGGTGAGATCTGTGGGTGTATGTCCTGGGGGAATATTTCTTATGGTATTGGGGGATACTGAGAGGGGCAACATGCAGTGTTAGAGGCAGATAGAGTGGTCCTGGAATGGGCAGCATATATGGTGTATAAGCATGGGATGTGTGAAAGGGCAAGTAGAGTGGTCCAGACAGGGGCAGCAAGAGATGCTTGAAAGGGGTAGCATGGGATGTTTGACAGGGGCAAGTAGAGTGGTCCAGGCAGGGGCAGACATGGTGGTCTTGGAAGGGGCAGCATTGGATGTTTGAAAGGGGCATGTAGAGTTGTCCAGGCAGGGGCAGACATGGTGGTCTTGGAAGGGGCAGCATTGGATGTTTGAAAGGGGCATGTAGAGTGGTGTTTGAAAGGGGCATGTAGTGTTCCAGGCAATGGGTAGACATGGTTGGTGATCTTGGAAGAGGCAGGGGACATCAATGTGCTGCTATCACTTCTAGCCTTTGGCACTCAAGCTGCTGTGAACGATGTTTTCCACTATGCTCTTTGCATTACAAGTGCATATTGATTCAGTTTCCCACCATGCTCAGCCACTTTAAGGTGTGTGACATCAGTATTTGTGGTGATGGGCTGTCAAAGCAAACTGTGTGGGCAAGCACATGTGTCTGGACAACTGGTGTGACAGTCTCACACAGGCTGAGCAAATCGTATTGACATGTTACACTCAGCGGTGTCAAGTAAAGGGTTACACCTGTCATTTCTGCATTGCATAGATAGAATCCGTGTTGTTTACTGAAGTGTGAATTTCAACTTTAAGGTTGATGAAATGGAAGCAATCTTTAAGTCACCTGTTTTGCCCTAAAAATTTAAATTACAATCACGCTTCAGTACTAGGGTAGGCAATCTTAAAGGACCACTATCGTTTCAGGAAAACAAACTCATTTTCCTGGCACTATATAGTCCTTAGGTCCCCCCCTCCCCATCCTCAGGGCCCCCTTCCCTCTGGGCTGAAGGGGTTAAAACCCCTTCAGCCACTTACCTTTATCCAGTGTCGGGCTATCTCGGCGCTGATGACCTCTCCTCCCCTCCGACATCAGCTCCCGAGTGGAGCCGAATGTCTGGCCAGAGGTGCGCGCATTCATACCGCCCATAAGAAAGCATTACTCAATGCTTTCATATGGACGTTCTGCGTCTTCAATGCGATTTTAGCATTGAGCGTCGCGAAAGCGGCTCTAGCGGCTGTCAGGAAGACAGCCACTAGAGGCTGGATTAACCCTGCAATGTAAACATAGCAGTTTCTCTGAAACTGCTATGTTTACAGCTGCAGGGTTAAAACCTTGGGGATCTGGCACACAGAACACATCATTGAGCTGAAGTGGTCTGGGTGACTATAGTGGTCCTTTCAGCACTCCATTATGCTCTTACATTGATAGTGCTGGCAAAGCATTTTGAGTGTCCAGAACCTTTCTGGCACTTCATTCTCATAACAAAAAAAAGACACATTAAAAGATAGAATATCATGAAATTGTACGCTGTGTTCTCACTTTTGAAATATTCTAGGCTTTGCTGTCTTTACACCAATAAAAAAAAAAACACAAAACCTAAACATTTTGTGTTTATAATTGTTTCTGTTAAACTTTTTTTTAAAACTTTATAATACTTGATACTGATGTGTAGATAGTAGTCACTAGCATTTTAGGGACATTTTACTTTGTATTGTTATGCAAATAAACATACCTGGCGTACAGTTTGCATCTATGCATTCCAAGTAATAAAGCAGTCTCAAACCATGTACATTCTGTTATTTCCAGATGTTCAGGCTTGATCTTCAACTGCAACATTCTTTTTCCAAAGTATCTTTTGACAAACATATTGAAGAGGGAAAAAAAGGCTTGGCTTAGTCTAGCTAACCGATGTATTAAAGAGACCTATTCATCAGACTGATTTTCTTGCAATTTTTGTCTCCTCATACTTCCAATAGTAATATATATTGTATACAAGTCTTGTGAATCATTGTTAGTTGTTAAAGATGTTGCAGCATAAAGCACTGTACAGCTTATATTTAGCTTTAGCGTTGTTGAGTAAAAAGAGTAAACATTATTTTTGGGCATACAAAATGGCCTCATGTCCTCGCTTATATTAAATTCTCACGTTCAAATTCTTCCGCTCTAGTTGGTACAAAACTGCAAGTGATGTGTCTGATCTTTTATTTTTGTGTGTGTTTATGTATGGATAAAGTCTTACTTTGCTGCGCTCCTACAGTTTGACTCTCTCCTCTGCAAAAGAAAACTACTTCAATACCCTTATGTTCACACTCTCCCACAAACCCAAACGCCTATTTCACACTTTAAATTCTCTTCTTCGCCCTGTTGCTGCTCTTCATACCAATTTGACTGCCACAAACTTTGCAACTCACTTCACTGAGAAGATTTCTACAATCAGGGTAGACATCTATCTCTCTCCTTCCCGTACCAATACTTTCCCCAAACCCACTCCCTCCACCCACTCCCTCCACTGTTCTATGCCCATTCGCACCTGATACTGCAGAAGAGGTCTCTGCTTTGCTCCGGTCCTCCCTCCCCACCACCAGTTCCCTCGACCATATTCTCTTGTATCTCATCTGCACTCTGTCTCCTTCTCTTGCTCTGCCTCGTACTATAACGTTCAATCTCTCCCTCTCCTCTGGCATATTTCCTTCACCCTTCAAACATGCAACTGAAACCCTGATTATGAAAAAGCCCAACCTTGACCTTAAGAACCCATCTAACTACATCCCTATCTCGCTGCTGCAGTTTGCCTCCAAGATTTTTGAGAGAGTTGTGTATCTGAGACTGACAGGCATCCTTGAATCCAACTCTCTGCTTGACCCACTCCAGTATGGAGTCCACACTCGTCACTCTGTCAAAACGGATGTGAACGTATCCAATGATTTAATCGCTGCTAAATCTTGTGGTCACTATTTGATTCTAATTTTTCTTGACCTTTCTGTTGCTTTTGACACTGTTGATCATCAACAGCTTCTTCTCTTCCTCTATATTCTCGGTCTTTGAGATACTGCTCCTCCTACCTCAGTGTTTTGGGTTTTTTTTGTGTGTTTTTTTTACTCCTCCGGCTCTTCTCCCCAACCTCTCTGTTGGTGTTCCCCAAGGTTCTGTCTTGGTCCCCTGCTGTTCTCGATCTACACTGTCTCCCTTGGCTTCCAATATAATTTCTATGCAGATGACACGCAAGTCTATCTGTCCTCTCCTGATCTCTTGACGCCCCTTTTGAACGGCTTCCTGTGGAACTCCCTTCCCTTCTCCATCAGACTCTCACCCCGTTTTCATTTCTTAAAAAAATAAATGAAAATTCACTTTTTCCGGAAAGCATATCAATTAAACTAATAACCGCTTTCCCTTCCCGCACCCTGATTCCTCTCTTGCAACTATCATTAAAAAAAATAAAAAACAAAGCACTAAGCCCTTAGTGAATACTATTCTAGCAATCTACATTCCTACCCTATCCTTGCCTCTTGGTTCACTATACCCCACTACCTCTTCCTGTGCGTCCAACTTGTCTGGTCACATAGACTTTTTTTGTTAGTCCACCCATTGTACAGCGCTGCGGAATTTGTTTGCTTTATAAGTAATAATAATAATATACAAAGATGAGTTGTGATACAAGTGGTTAAAGCGTGATGAGTGCACTTAACACACAGGTTTGATAGAAAATAGACACCATTCTGTCAGAGGGTCGTAAATATCTTGTGTGAAGATCACAGAGAGAGGAAAAAAAACAAGCAAATACTAGTGCAGAAGATGGTGCTGGAAGGGGGAGTGAAAATAAAGACATAATAATTATATTGAGAATGCATGAATTCACATCCAAGAGTTACAGGGTATGCATGAAGGCCTTTATCCAGCATACACATACATGTACATATACACAAGTAGTGTATACATACTACACAAGTAAATATAACCAAATGCTGAAATTTATGTACATCCACACACAAGCACCAATACACGTACCTACACATACATAGACCCATATATATGTATACATGCATGTATATAAACACTTTATACACACACACACACACACACATAAATATATATATATATATATATATATATATATATATATATCCATGCACATGAACTCATACACAAATATAAATGCACAGTCACATATATAAACATACATGCATAAGAGTATGGGAAAGCATAGGTCTACACATAGTACTTTGTATATTGATAGAATAAACATATTGGAATGCATTTTAAAATGTTGATACATTACAACAGTAAGATAATGCTGGGGGAGTGTTCATGTTAAGTGTTGGTAGCGGGACAGGAAACCCAAATCAATATTTAGTCCTCTGTTCTTGCTGTTAAACAATTTGATCATTCTGGCTTCAAAAGTTTTTTTTCTTTCTTGGGTATTTTTAAAACCCCCTTTCAGTACTTTGATTTTTAGGTCCTTCATTGAGTGGCCAGGCTGGGTAAAGTGATGTCCCACAGGAGTGCAGTACGATCCTTCTTTGTGGTGTTTAATGGAGTGTCTGTGCATATTCATTCTGCCATTTAATTGCTGGGTGGTTTCCCCAGTGTAGCATCCTAGGTGACATTTGGTGCATTGAATCATGTACCACATTGCTGGATGTGTACGATTATGAACCTTTAATGCTGTAGGTTTCATTGTACCTTAGTAGCATGTTGTGTATGCAAGGGGCAGATGCGGGCAATGTTTTTACGGTGAAATTGATGATTAGGCAATAGACGGAATTTAAGATGTGCAGGTGAGGCCAGAATCAAAGGCCAAGGCAGCGTGCTTGGAAGGACAGGCTGATGTACATGCAATCAACATGCAGGGACAAGGTGATTAGTATTACGAGGTGGTAAAATAAGCCCAATTTTAGAAAGATTGGAAGCGGAAGGACATCTAATCTGAGACTGAACAGAGACACACCAGTGACACATTGTAAGTCAGCGGACGAAAGATCAGAGGAGGTGTTTATCTGGTTGTCATTGGCCAACAGGTGTTTGCAGAATCCAAAAGAATAATACATTTGCCAAGAGAGACAGTATAAAGAGAAAACAGAAGGAGGACCAAGGACAGAGCCTTGGGGACTCTAACCATGACAGAATGAGGGGAGAAGGTGTTACTAGAAGGAGACATTGAAGGACTGTTGGGAGAGGTGAGATGAGTACCACAAAAGGATAGTAACACAAAGGCTAATGGTGGGAGACTGTGATCAGTAGTTTCAAAGGCAGCAGAAAGATTTAGAAAATTAGTATGTAAGCAGGCATTAGTGGCCTTTGGATTTAGCCGCAATTAGATTATTAGTTACTTTAATCAGAGCAGTCTCAGTAGAATGAAGGGGGCTGACGACAGATTGAAGAGGGTCGAGGAGGGAGTTTGAGTATTGAGAGCAATGACTTGTTCTTTGCATAAGTGAAATTGGTGTGATTTTATTATTGAATGTTGGAGAATAGAACACATGGCTGAAATGCGAATGTATTCTGCATGACATCATATCGGACTTGACATCTTTATTATCAACTTTTGCACACGTCATGTAATTATTAAATGTGGTAATTTATTTCCCTTAATATATGAAATAATAATGTAGGTTTGTGACACCAAATATGCCATTAGTTCTTTATATAGCTTGCACAAGGAACACACAATTATTTGCATTTTAAACCTAGCAACACGTGCATTGTCATTGATAAAGAATTAATCCCTTCATCTAATGTGCTTTATGTTTAAAAAGTATTTCCACAATCTTAGAAATGCAGTGTCTAGTATGGTTTTGTATTTCTGTGGTCTATTGTCTACTACAATGACCACTGAATGAAATGCGAAAACGTTCATGTTCACAGACCCTCCAGAAGCTGTGTCAGGCTAAATGAATACTACAGTGTTAGGAATATGCATTTGCATTCCTAACACTATAGTACCCTAATCACCGTTTTACGTGACCAGGCCCCTATTGCTAGGTTTAAGAAGGTGGTTTTACATTCTTTTTCTCTCACAGCGCTTATCTCTGGTGTTCCACACCTTTTATGGCTGAGATGATCTCTGCCAATCCAATTCTTCAGAGGCTAGTGTGCTTGCGCTGCAAAATGCTGTGCCAATAAGATGGTGTCTCAGAGAGGCAGGTTAACCCTACAGCAATGTTTTCAGCTGCAGGATTGGTGGGGCATAGTACCAAGACTACTTCACTGAGATGAAGAGGTCTCTGTGCCTATAGTGTACCTTTTAACACAAGATTCTCCACACTCTGTCCCTCCAGATATTGCTGAACCACAACTTCTATTATTTCTTTGAATTAAATAAATAGCCAGATAATGATGGGAGTTGTAGTTTAGCAACATCTAGAAGGATAGCGTTTGGAGAACCTTGCTTAACACCAGCAATTGTCAGGGTCTCCCCCCTTACCTTTATTGAAAAAGACACGCACCATAACAATTTGTTTATTGCGTAGATGATGCTACGATATCCCTTGTGCCTTTATATTTGCACACAATTCCCCCCCTCCCCAGGTCAAAGAGGACAAAGCCACAGTTACTCGTTTGATCATACAAAATAATATTTTCACTACTTTTCTTATTATTTGCTGCATATTGTTTTAGGAACCAGCCGTTATGGGTTTATAGAGATAGCTTATTAACATTTTGTAAACTATTTAAATTATGAATACAGACAGGAATGTATCTGAAAAAGCTAGCTGTAAAACAATCAGGATGTGCAGACTCTGGGGGATCTATAATGTTTCACATGATTGCACTGGTGTGTTTTACTTCTGCTGATGCTGAATTTTTACATGCGGATCTGAAGTATTGGGAGTTAGTTGTTGATAATGATGTTTAGAAGCGTTGCCTCAAGCACTGCATCAGTACTGTAAGATTGTTGCCATACCTTAATAGATTGACATGACTCTTTCCCAGAAATCACTGCAACATTATTTGCTCTTCCATTTAGCAGACCGTGAAAGTCAACTGCTTTTAAAATGTTTACCTTTGAAATTATTGTAATATTTAAATAGACTGGGAGGGTTGGGGGGGGGTGTGTGTGTGTGTGTGTGTAGTGTCTTTTTCTTCTCTCATTAAGGGGGTCATGCTCTCCACAAAACATAGGTATAACTATATTATGCCAGCAAAACTATCTGTGAGGCGAGCATTAAGTCATACTTACCTGAAGATTCTTCATTAATCTAACAAGATGGCTTCGTGAAATGGATGACAGCACATGCAGCCTTATGTCACACTGCTTGCACCCTTTTCTTGCCAAGAATGTTGACTCAATGTTAGAATATGTGAAATAACTTCATATACACTTGCTAGATACTAATATCGGTGTATGTGTATTAAGGCCAGAGTAGCCAAATTGTCTTTTCCAGCTGGAATTTTTTCAGTTTGGCTATTTTGACCTCTTTGAATTCACCTTGAATTCTCACTTTAGTGAATAACCCTGTATGTTAACAAAACAAAAAAAATCGAGCGCAAAACCATATTGTTAGTATATGATAGGATCCTTTGTCCATATACATGCTCTTTGGATCAGAAAGTGTTTGAAATACGATAGTTGGTCTCTCTGGTCTTCCCTGGTTCAGTGCAGAGAGTGAAGCAGAGAATATCATGGAGACTGTCAGTTTTCGAAACACTATCTGACCCAAGGTACATGTGTATGGCGTAAAAAAAACCCAATTCACTGTCCAAATGGCAAAAAAATAAATCACTATCTAGTAGATATACCCAGTAAATACAAGCATATAGTCATTGGAGGTATATCTTGAGAAAATTTGCAAAAGCTCCAGTTCTTATGAACTGCAGACTTAGCAAGCCCTTTTCCCCCGAAGAGATTAACATAAGTCTCTTCACAGTGAAGTAACCACTCAGAGGACTCCCATTAGCTCAGGGGATTTCATTATAAAAGTGCCTTTGAAATGGGATTCTCCTAATGCATAAAAAATTTCAGCAAGCTGAAGTGCCTTATGGGGGTGGAGTGGTCCTTTAAAGAAACACTCCTCTGCCAATATTGTGGGGAAGGGGAGACTAAAAATAACCGTTTAGTACATACATACCAGTATATGCATGCATTTTCATGTATGTATTCATTGGGGGTATTTCTTAAAACAGTTTGCAAAAGTTGTAGTTTGTACATTACTTTTTTTTTCCCCTGAAGAGACTTATATTCTCTTCATGGGGAAATAGCCAATCAGAGGCTTCTTACTGAAAAGCCTCCGTGGACAAGCGGCATTCTGATGTGAGGTCTGGACGCTGGTTTGAGGTATGCATTGGGAAAGTTAGAGGTGCCCTCAAGTAGGGCGTACCTGTCCCTTCTGTTAATTCAGGGGTGCTAATGGAAGCAGTAAGACACTCCCCTGTCTGTTTGATTGTGGGGGGGGGATAATAATTTATAAAATAAATGGCTAATAATAATAGAAATCGGCACTTTCATAAAGTGTCATTATTATAGGACACACCTCACCCATGAAGTATATTTCAAAAGTTGATGAAAGGATTATTTATTTTATTAAAAATATATTTCCCTAGAGCTAGAACACTTTCTAACTACTGCTGGAAAAATTATACAGCTACAGACTTTTTTTTTTTCTCCCTTATGACAGTTCTGACACATGTTCAAATCTCTTATTACCTTCTCCTTAACACCTTAGGCAACATTGATTTAACTCGATTTGGAATGCTTTTGAGAATATGGAATGCTAGATGCATTTTACACATATATATTATACTAATAACAATTACACCTAACTACCTGCATGTGTCCTGTATGTTGATAAACTATAGGTATTATTATTATTATTATTATTATTGGTATTTATATAGTGCCAACTAATTCCACAGCGCTTTACAATATTATGAAAGGGGGAAATTTTACAATAAATGAGACATTTACACAATGACACAGGAACAATTGGTAGAAGAGGACCCTGCTCAAATAAGCTTACAGTCTAGAGGAGGTGGGGTACAAAAACACAATAGGGCAGCAAGGGTGACAGCCTCCAAACAAGGTGGGTGTACTGATATTGATGTTACAAAGTTTTGGAGTCCAGTAGCCAGATCAGCAATGTTTTCTGCCAGAGGTAGCCACTCGTTACCCAGGTGGTTGAGCTCCTGAGCCTTGAGTGGCCTTCTGGTCTTAAGCAGAGATGGGAGACTGGAACAGAAAGATGATAATCGTAGTGAGGCAAGCCGAGGTCAGTGGGAAGGAGAAGCAGCAAAGTCAAAACAGTCCAAATTCAGCAACAGGAAGGAGAAACAGGAACACGCTGGATTAGAGAGTACAGGAACCACAATAATCTGGCAAAGGTACAGAGACAGGAAGTGGCTTTTATAGGCCAAGAACCAGACACCTGACCAGACACAGCTGAAGTGAGTTGTCACTGATAACCTTGACTCTACAAGCAATGGTATCAGATTTCAGGTAAATTTGCAAAAGGCAGGCTGGTGTACTGGTAAGGAAAAGATTTAGCACCATGTAAACCAGGGTTCGAAACCCAGCAGAGTCAGTTCCTCACATTACCTCTACCTCTACAGGCGCAGCCTCTGGATGCTCTATTTCCTGGTTTAGCAGGGTACTGTGCATGGAAAGAATGAAGAAGATCAGGAGCATGAATATTGTCCACTGGTTCCCATGATCTATCCTCCTCACCATAGCCTTTCCAATGAACCAAGTATTGAAGCTTGTTGCGGAAGATCCTGGAGTCAAGAATTTTTTCCACCTCGTATTCATCTTCACCATCCACGAGGACTGGTGGTGGGGCAGGCAAGGCTCGACCAGGGAAAGTATTTTCATGAAAAGGTTTAAGCAGTGCCACGTGAAACACCGGATGTATTTTCATGGAATCCGGAAGTTGCAGACGGAAGGTGACTGCATTGATCTGAGCGATTATCTTAAAAGGTCCCATGAACTTTTGACCCAATTTATGAGAAGGAATCCTAAGCTTAAGATTCTTTGTTGACAGCCAAACCTTGTCACCAACATGATAAACTGGGGCCTCCTTTCTGTGCCTATCAGCAGCTCTTTTGTAACATTCCTGAGCCTCCGAAAGAGTCTCCTTCAACAGTTCTTGGGAATCTCGTAAGGCGGTTAGCCGGTCAGTGACTGCAGGAATGGGAGTAGTAATTGGGAGACTCACTAGAAAGGTTGGATGGTAACCATAATTGGCAAAAAATGGGCTCAGAGAAGTGGAGCAGTGTTGGGCATTGTTATAGGCAAACTCCGCCGTGGGTAGAAAATCCAGCCAGTCATCCTGCAGGTAACTAATATAGCACCGCAAATATTGTTCTAAAGTCTGGTTGGTTCGCTCAGTCTGTCCATTACTTTGTGGATGAAAAGCTGAAGACAGATTTACATTAATACCTAGAATAGAACAAAAATATTTCCAAAAATGAGATGTAAACTGCACTCCCCTGTCAGAAATTACTTCATCAGGCACTCCATGCAAGCGAAATATTTCCCGAATAACAAGGTCAGCAGTCTGTTTAGCTGAAGGGAGACCACGAGCTGGTATGAAATGACTCATCTTGGTTAACCGGTCCACAACAACAAGAATAGTAGTGTGTTCCTTAGAGGGAGGTAGTTCCACAATAAAGTCCATGGATATAGATCCCCAGGGACGATGAGGAATCGGAAGAGGCTGAAGCAAGCCAACAGGGGATGAGCGAGGAGTCTTATGTCTGGCACATACATCACAAGAGGACACATACTTCTTAACATCCTCATAATATTTAGGCCACCAAAAGGATCGGGTAAGTAGTTCTTGTGTCTTTCGGATTCCTGGATGACCTGCTGGTTTAGAGTCATGGTAGAGGCGTAAAACGTCCAGTCGCACTGATTCTGGAACAAACAGACGTTGTTGAAAAATCCAAAACCCATTAAGCATGGTCATATGAAGATCACGAGGAGGATCACGAAAAACTGGATCTTTAGAGTAGCCCTTTTTAATGCGAGACATTAGATCAGAAGGAAAGGTAACTCCTAAAAATCTGCTCTCCGGCAAGATGGTGGCCTTGGTTACTGTAGTATGGAGGGGGTCAGCTATCCTAGACAAGGCATCCGCCTTGCCATTTCTGGAACCAGGGCGGTATGAAATAAAAAAATTAAACCTTGAGAAAAATAGGGACCAGCGTGCTTGTCTGGCTGACAGTCTCTTAGCGGATTGGATACATTCCAGATTTTTGTGATCTGTGAGGACAGTAATTGGATGGGTGGCTCCCTCCAAGAGATGTCTCCATTCGGTGAAGGCAGCTTTTATAGCCAAAAGTTCTTTATTCCCTATGTCATAATTTCTTTCTGCTGGTAACATCTGGCGGGAATAGAAGGCACATGGATGTAACAACATCTTAGGTCCAGTCCTTTGAGACAGTATAGCCCCAACAGCTGAATCAGAAGCATCTACCTCTACAGTAAATGGCAATTCTGGCTGAGGATGTACCAAGATAGGGGCAGATGTAAACAGAGTCTTTAATCTGGAAAATGCAGTGTCAGCCTTATTGGACCACTGAAAAGGAGTCCCTTTACGTGTAAGTTCAGTGATCGGTGTAATAACGGCAGAGAAATTCTTAATGAAACGCCTGTAAAAATTGGCAAACCCCACAAATCTCTGTATATCTTTTTCATTCTTGGGGATGGGCCAGTCCAGCACAGCTTTAATTTTACTTGCGTCCATACTTAAACCTTTAGGAGTTATAACATACCCCAGGAACTGAATTTCTGTTTGTTCAAACTCACATTTTTCCAGTTTAATGTATAGGTGGTGGGTACGAAGGCGCTCAAGAACAATGCAGACCTGTTTTCTGTGATTTTCAAGATTATCAGAAAATATCAGGATATCATCCAAATATGCCACAACAAACTGATCCAGGAGATCCCGTAGTACATCATTGATTAGATGCTAAAAAGTTGCAGGGGCATTACAAAGCCCAAATGGCATTACTAGATATTCGTAATGTCCATACCTGGTTCTGAAAGCTGTTTTCCATTCATCATTTGGTCTTATGCGAACCAGATTATATGCCCCCCGTATATCAAGCTTCGTAAATATTTTAGCTGAACGAAGTCTCTCCAGAAGTTCAGGAATGAGAGGCAAGGGATAACGTTTTTTCACAGTGATTTTATTAATTTCCCTGTAATCGACACATGGCAGTAGACTGCCATCTTTCTTTTCTACAAAGAATATAGGAGCTCCTGCTGGAGAAGTGGATGGTCGAATAAAGCCTTTGGCAAGATTTTCTTGTATGTATTCACGAAGTGCTTTCAATTCAGGCTCAGAAAGGGAGTATATACGGCCAAATGGGATAGCAGCTCCAGGTAGCAGCTCTATGGGGCAATCATAAGGCCTGTGAGGTGGAAGCTGATCAGCATTCTTCTTATCACAGACATCTGCAAAATCCCGATATTGTAGCGAAGCTTAGTTAAGTTTGTAGCAACCATTTCATTAATTGTTGTGGTAACAGGTGTCGCCTTAGAGGGTTGACAATTCATTAAGCAGTGTTCTGAAGGAAAGGACAAAGTTCTAGTCTTCCAATCAATCTGTGGGTTATGCAGAGCAAGCCAGGGTATACCCAAAATCACTGGAAACTGTGTTGAGGAAATTAGGTGGAAAGATATAGACTCATGGTGATTCACTTCCAGAATCAATTTTAAGGGCACAGTCTCATGTGTAACCGGGCCTGACGTAAGTGGAGAACCGTCTACTGTTTCCATTAACACAGGTGAAGATTTAGGGATTGTAACGGATCACCTGGCACCCCGACTGGATACCTCCGTTAAAGGCTGCTCCTAGTGCTTCCTGAGGACTCCAAGCACTGCAGCAGACACCACAACCACCGAACCAGAGAAGCATATGAATCCTCTCAAGCATATGAATGCTGTAGACAGTTGAATAGGAACCATACGAATAGGTTTACTCTCCTAGCAGTCAAACTGGAACAGCATACAATAAATCCTTCCCCCAATAATGAGACGACACTTCACTTTGAGGGTTAAAACAGGAACTCCCTGTACTGTCACATACAGTCTCTTTTATTCCCAATCCACAAACATAGTACAGCCCACAGGGCGTTACAAAACAACCAATCACATCACAGTTACATCCCACATATTCCCTCCCCTTATCCTGAGAGGAAACTCAATTATACATACAGTTAAAACATACTTTCTACCCAACTTTCATAACTCCAAAACCATACATCACATTCACATAAAATTACATATTCACAATCAATCCATTCAGGGGAACAACATATTCAAAAATGGCACAAATCAGACAAGGGGTTCAAAAGTTAGTAAAAAGTCCTTTGTGACTAAATGAAGCATGGCTTTCTGGCCCAAACCAGTTTCAGAGTCTTCTATCCTGGAGATAAGTAATTGAATTATCTCCCAGGATAGACACAAGACTCCATTAAGCACATGGTTGCAAAAAGACACAAAACACTTTAAAATACATAAAGTCACATTTACACAGAACACACAGACATTTCACATATCCCCAGATAGCTGGGATCTGAGTGCACATTATTAGATGAATGGCACTCAGATCACACAAATAAGCCTTTCTGCAGGGGAAATAAACGGTTTAACCTGCAGGGCCATAGTCCAAAGGGAGCAGGCGAGCAACCAGGCTTCTCCAGTTCACAGTGGCGAGGTTGGTTTCGCCACAGGGATAGACTGAATTTTATTTCCTGCTCCGGAATCTATCATAGCTGTAGTTGAAATTTTATTATCACCATATTGCAAAGTGATAGGCACCACCAAATAAGGATGTTGAGTCATCATACCTTCTTCACCCTGAGCCAGAGAAAACAAGGGTTGTGTGACAGAATCCAGTTGGTCTGAAATCTGGGATTGGTGTTGAATCTGTGCACCCTCAGCAGTCATAGCTATTGTTCTTTTAGACTTGTTAGGGCAATTGATGGCATAATGCCCTGCACTACCACAATACAGGCATAAGTTGTGAGTGCGTCGCCACTGTTTTTCTTCATTGGATAATGGCCCTCTTATTAGATCTACCTGCATAGCCTCAGGTTCAGAGTCTGTAGGTGTTTGTGGGGTCGGAGTAGAAATTCTTGAATAGAAAGTAGGAGTAGCACTTGGTTTAAAAGAGCCCTGTCTTTCCAATCTTCTTTCTGAAAGTCTCCGATCAATACGGATAGCCAACCGCACAAATGCATCAAACTCAACAGGAAGATCAACACGAGCTAGCTCATCTTTTATAGCTTCTGAGAGACCCCTTCTGAAGTGGAACCTCTGGGCTGATTGGTTCCAAGTAGTATCAGTAACCCACTGTCTGAATTCAGCAGCATATTCAGCCACAGAGCGCCTCCCTTGATGTAAATGAAGGAGAGTGGCTTCTGCTGTAGCACAGCGATTGGGATCATCAAAAACTAGGCACATGGCCTCAAGAAAGTCTTTTAAATTTCCCAAGATTGGACTGTCCTGTTCCAGAAAAGGGGAGCCCCAGGCCAGGGCTTCATCTTTGAAGAGGGAAAAAATAAATCCCACCTTCTCTCTTTCAGATGGAAAACGGTTAGGTAACATCATGAAATGCAAACGGCATTGATTTAGGAAACCCCTGAATTTTTTGCGGTCTCCTCCAAATTTTTCTGGTAGAGGCAAGCGGCATCTTGTGCAGGTGTAACAGTAGTAGTAGCAGCAGCCGCAACATCATGTGCCCTGTAGCTGGTAAGCTCACTATGCATTGATCGAACTTCATTTTGCAGTTCAGCTACCTGATCCTGCAGCACTTGAATGGTCTGGGTCTGCATAGTTCTTGCATTAAAAGCAACCTGCTGGGCCAATGCAGAATCTGATCCGACGGTCTCCATGAATGGGCCAGATTATTCTGTAATGATATTGATGTTACAAAGTTTTGGAGTCCAGTAGCCAGATCAGCAATGTTTTCTGCCAGAGGTAGCCACTCGTTACCCAGGTGGTTGAGCCCCTGAGCCTTGAGTGGCCTTCTGGTCTTAAGCAGAGATGGGAGACTGGAACAGAAAGATGATAATCGTAGTGAGGCAAGCCGAGGTCAGTGGGAAGGAGAAGCAGCAAAGTCAAAACAGTCCAAATTCAGCAACAGGAAGGAGAAACAGGAACACGCTGGATTAGAGAGTACAGGAACCACAATAATCTGGCAAAGGTACAGAGACAGGAAGTGGCTTTTATAGGCCAAGAACCAGACACCTGACCAGACACAGCTGAAGTGAGTTGTCACTGATAACCTTGACTCTACAAGCAATGGTATCAGATTTCAGGTAAATTTGCAAAAGGCAGGCTGGTGTACTGGTAAGGAAAAGATTTAGCACCATGTAAACCAGGGTTCGAAACCCAGCAGAGTCAGTTCCTCACAGTGGGGGAAATAGCAGAGTTGGAGGTGAGATTGGAGTGTGGCTATTCAGGAGTGGTAGAGACAGATATGGTTAAGTATAGATGGGTTACTTGGGGAGCCCATGAGAATTTCTGAACATTGTGTTTTAAAGGAACTTCTTAAACAATTGAAGACTAGGGAAGAGTCTGATGGGGGTAGGCAGGCTGTTCCAAAGGAAGGGAGCCGCTCGCAGGAAGTCCTGCAAGCAGCAGCATTAAGCTTGCCAGTAGCGGACAGGAGAAGGTCACCGGCAGAGCGGAGAGACTGAGAAGGGGCATATCTATGAATCAGTGAAGAAATGTAACAGAGGCTAGAGTTGTTTAAATCTTTATAGGTTAGGGTTAGTATTTTGAATTGACACCTATAGGACACAAGAAGCCAGTGTAAGGTTCGACAGAGGGACGAGGTGTGAGAGTATCTAACCACCCTGTTATTTGACACCAGGTTTTCATTGGTTGGAGGTGCAAAATATGCCAAAAAGAGACTAGTAGTATGTTCCACATTTGAGCGACTACCCAAGAGTACAACCTTTTAGAGCAAGGGTTCCCAAACCAAGTCCTAAAGTAGGCCAATATTTTTCTTTCTAAAAACACCATGGACACAAATGGATAATCCCTAAATCTTGGAGTGTTAAGGGGTTCTTGAGGACTGGGTTGGGAACCACTGTTTTAGAGGAAGTTCACAAAGGACCCCTTCCTCCCATTATCTGCTCTTACACCATATCCAAAATCCAAGTTAAAGTCTATAATATTGCACCTCCTAACTGTTTCTTTTTTTTTCCCCCTTAACATTGCAATTGGAGTTGGCCCTTGTGAACGGACTACCTGGTACCCCGATTGGGTGTACCTCCGCCAAGCATGCTTTCTAGATATCACCTGGATGCCAGTAGGGCTTCAGCCCCTAGCCGCCTCAGCTTGGCTGGGGTCTCTCCATAGCTTCCTGCCCTGGAACAGGGTCCTGGGTACAGCTCCAAGTGATTATGCTCTCCTGTGGAGGGTGTAGCTGTATAGCTTGTCTACCCAAACAGTAGTTGAGAACTGCTTTATTCAGGCAAGGCACACAGAATTTATACACAGACCCCCAGCATTAGTTCTCCATTGTATTTCACATAACCCCGCCCAGGCGTCTCTGTGTCCGGTAGGTAATTGAGTTGATAACTGGTAAACTGATAACCTCAAGGACACAGAGGGTATAACACACAAAACCTCAAAAAATACACTCAGTCTCGTGTAGCTTTCCTCCAAAAGCGCTCTCCTGGAAGGTCGGCATGGTGGTCATTACACCGGGTCCAGATGACCATGAACCACAAAGTCACAAACAAAGGGTTCCATAGTGGTCACTGCTAGGTACCGCTGAAGCATGTTCTCAGGTTCATAAGTCCGAATGACAACCATGGTACGAGCATTCGGGTAAATTCGGGAGAGGGAAGGTACCGAACCAGGGGAACTGAGGATGTCTCTTGGGGAGGCCAGGCAGGTTAACTCCCGGACAGGGTCTCTGGATATAGTCCGTAGTCTTTGGGCAGGAGGCTAGCTAGCACAATACTCCAGGTGTCCGTTGCATGGGCACGTTTGCCACATATCTTCCCCTCAAGGGAAGACTAACCAGATACCAGACCTAGAATGCATTTCAGCTACTATAAAGCATCTAGGTACTCTTATTATTTTGGGTTGTATGACGGCAAAAGGTGTGGGCAGATTTTGTGTGATTGATTGTGCTCTAAATGGCATGTGATATTTTCCAGAATAATTAAGTCTTTTTATATTTCAACATGGTTTTCTGTGTATAACTTCTTTTAAAATGCAATTATTTAAATAAAGTGGATTGCGTTAGATTATATGATTTTATGGTATTATTCTAAATTAGTAGGTAGGAAGGCTGGGTGTGCAAATTTATATTAAATAAATCATAACTTGTGTATGGGTTGAGTATATGTAACTTGAGTGTATGTGAAAATTTGTGCAAGTGTGTATACCTGTTAGTGAGAGGTGAATGTGTGAGTGTCTGTCAGTATGTGTGTGTATGTGTGTGTGTGTGTGTGTGTGTATCAGTGAGTGTGTGTTTACATGATCTGCCCTCTCCAATTACATGGGAAAGGTGTTTTTACTCACCTTTTTTCCCGTGCTTGTCTCGCCGCTGCTGGCTCCACTTTCATGGCTGAGTTAATCATTCTTGACGATCTCCGCCAATCCAATGCTTCTCCTTATAGGAAAGTGTTGAGAGACTTTTGTGCATGCGTGGCAAAACGCACCAATCAACATCTCATAGAGTTGTGGAGACACTGAATGTTAGGTGGTGCACATTGTGCAACACTTACCCTGAAAGCACCTCTAGAGGCCGTCTGAGTGACTCACACTAGAGGTGTTACTAGGCAGCAATGTAAACATTGTCTTTTGTCTGAAAAGACCGTGTTTAAATTGACAAACGTGCACAGACAAGTTCTGGTGTCCCATTAAGAATTGGATGTTTGACATTGGAAAACCTGGCTCCTAACTTTTTTAGCTGGCTCCTATATTCCAAGCAAATTTGTCAAGCCCTGGCCTAGATAAAATTAAAAAAACAGGCCAGCTTAATGTAGTTGTTCTGATGCGTATAATCGGTCCCTGCAAGCTTTTTGCTGTAAACACTGCCTTTTTACGGAAAAGGCAGTGTTTATATTGGTGCCTAGGGACACTTACAGTGGCAGTCACTCAGACAGCCACTAGTGGTGCTTTCTCACATGTTCATATGCCAGGGCTCAACAAATTCCATGCGCCAGGTCGCTATGGGATTTGTGAGCCTCTTCAGCCCCTGAGGTGACCGGCTGCCTGAGATTGTAGGCGAGCAGTCGGCTCACGCAGGGCTGAGGTGGGTGGGCAGGCAGGCGTCTAACTCATTGAGTGCTGACGGATGGAGGCGGGTGGCTGTGTAAGGGAGGCGGGCAGCTGCATGAGTGCCGCGGCGGCGAGAGAGGGAACTGTAATCTCCCTGCTCTGCTCCCTCGCGCACCTTCCAGTGATGCCGGGAGCTGGAATATGAAGTAATTCTGGCCCCGCATCACTAAACAGCGCTTTAGGGAGCAGAGCAGAGAGATACCAGCAGCCCCACTGCACAACGTTCAGAATAAACTCTGGTCTTATCTGCGAAGAAGGTATGTGGGGGGATGCAAGGGTGCTTAAAGGGACACTATAGTCACCAGTGCAACTACATGTATTCCTGACCCTATAGTGTTAACACCACCATCTAGCCCCCCTGGGCCCCACATGCCTCCATAAATATAGTAAAACTCTTCCTGTATTCAAGACAAAAGCTGTAACTCAGAATGCTGTTTGCCTAAAAAAAACCCAAAAAAAACCAAAAAAAAACAGTCTGCTGACATCATCAGAAGTGATAGCCTGATCCAATCACAGTGCTTCCCCATAGGATTGGCTAGACTAACAAAGAGGCTGATCAGGGGCAGAGCCAGCATGATTCAAACACAGCCCTGGCCAATCAGCATCTCCTCATAGAGATGAATTGCATCAATATATCTCTATGAGGAAAATTCAGTGTCTCCATGCTGCCCTGTGCTCTGCTGACAGCAGATCTGAGTGGATTGAGGAATTTTATGCCTCAATCAACTCGGAAGTCCCTCTGGTGGCATTCTGGAGGTGTTCCTAGCTTTCAATGTAAATGCTGTATTTTCTCAGAAAATACAGTGTTTACATGAGAGGCTGCAGGGAGCTATAGTTCTCAGCTGAACAACCTCATTAAGCCTAAGTTGTTCAGGTGACTACGGTGTCCCTTTAAATAGAGTACGCCTGCCACTTCCATTGGCTCAGGTGAGCTAATGGAAGCTGGAAGAAACCTCCCTGACTGTTTGACAGCCAGGGTGTATTTCATTGTTTATGAAAGCATTGATTTCTCATAAAAATTGGTACTTTTATAAATTGCCTTTTTAATGGGATACTCCTTTATAGGTGTGGAGTGGTCCTTAAGTATTTAAGCCTCTCTTCTCGAACTAACATGTTACATACTTTTTGTGGGTGTGAGATAAAACTTATGGACACAGTGCACATGCATATGAATTATGTTGCGTTTTACAAGAATCTGCGTATATGTCAATATATCTCCTTTTAAATTTCAGGAAAAATCTCAAGATATTTTTCTACAATATGTAACATTTTAAATAGTTGTTAAATAGTTAATATATTGTATTCGGAACTGGCATGTAATATGCCTGAATTTAAAAAAAAAAAGGGGGGGTGGGGGGGAGAGAGACATACCTATGTGAAAATATAAAGTTAAAGGTCAACTTTAATTTCATACATATTAAACCGTTATTCCTGCTCGTAGCAGTCTGTATTAGATTTCCATTTTAGAACAATACATTGATTTTAAAAGTACACAATTTCTTCTTCAGGTTTTTTGCCCTGACCTCTCTTCGAATATTATTTCTGGTTGCATTTGGATTGATGATTATCATTTGTGTGGACCAGTGGAAGAACAAAATATGGCCTGAACTTGGAGGTAAGAGTCTAGAAAAGAATGAGCTGTTCTGAATGTGCGCTAAATTACTCGGTCGCAAATATCCTGGGGTTGCTGAAAATAGTGTTTTAACAAAAATAAGCATGTTGAATAACATAATGCATTGCCTCCATGTTACATGTATGATTCTGGGAGATATTTCCCAGTGTCCTTCTAATCTCTAATAGAGTAAAATATTGCAAAAAAAATGTTTTTCTTTCATTATCCACTGACGCTTCTTTTTTCATCCCTTTAGCTGCAAGACCCAATGAGCTGGATAATGAAAGGTAAAAAAAATCTGTACAGTTCATCTTGAAGTGTGATCTACTGCTTGGCATCTTTGCTGCCAGAGATGTTTAAAATCCATTTCGGGGGAAAAAACAAGAGCCGCCAAAAGTTAACCCTTAAATAGTTATTAAACAAGCAAATGGTTATTCAAATAGTTATTTACTTGCAAAAAGCAAGTGATCAACAGCAAAAACAAATGTGTGAAAGGCTGGACTTGATGGACACATGTCTCTTTTCAGTCTTCCAGTCGTAATTCCGCCATTTTCACTGGATTTTGTGCATTTGTACAAAATCTGGCGTTTAGTTAATAACCCTGTTAATATGGTCTTATTTCTGAACAGAACTAGCCTCCATACTGTTTTTGCTTGTGATATTCACAATAGTAAAAAAAAAAAAAATTAATAATAATCCAAAGCATTACTATGATAAAGTTACTTTTGTCCACCTGGGACAACATGAATTGGCTCAGAGTGCTGGACTATCCTAAACCCAGTACTCTAAGCCAATCAGTGTTGTCTAGGTTGGGCACAAGGAGAATTGATTTATATCAAACTAAACCTAAACAGTTTGATATTAAAATGAGGATGGCACCAGGGGAGTCTATGAAACCTAATCACTACAGCTTGTTTTTGTGGTGCAAATGTGGATAACTGTACTCTTACTGAATCTTTACTTATTTAAAAAAATTAAAAAAAATTAACTAAGGTGTTTCCTACCACAATATACCTTCTGTGTATTGGCCTGATTCAAACAGACAGTGGATGCACCTACAGGTGTTTTTCTATTTTTTTTTTTTTGTTGTTGTTTATGTTTTCAAATGTTACTTACAGCTGGGGCTTTGTACACCCAAGACTGCTCAGTGTCCCAGAGTTGTGTCATTATGCTGCTGAAACCTGGGTTACCTTCATTAGCTTTCTTCATAACCTCCTCTTCTTCAAGACCGAAAACCCTGGCAAGGTAATGTGCTTAAATGTTATTGAAATATGTGAATTGCTTCCTGTTTGAAGTGCAAGTGACAACCTTCAGATGATGTTGGCTTAGAAATTATGCATAGACTTTCTGAAGGCTTTCTTTAAAACAATGGGAGTTCTGTATAAATTATGTTGCAATCTCTAAGACAATGCATGCTCTGTTTGGTCATATTTTTAAAATTGTTTTCACTTGTACCATATGAGTAAATATGTTTAAATTGGCTTTATACAGGAGAAGACAATGGGGCATATTTGCAAGTTTAATTTTCATGTTTTCATGTTTTATTTAAAATGTACTGATAACACCAAATAAATAGTGGAGGTGATCTTTAAAAAAAAAAAAAAATGAATCTAAAAATATATAGTGATGTAAAAAAAATAGCACTCTTTTACTCTGCTAATTACTACTCTATTTTGCTGACGCAGGCACATAAGCACATTCACTGATTCTGATATGATTTTTTTTTTTTTCTGAAAAACACTGAATATTCTGTTTTATTTAAAAGGACACTACAGTCACCAAAACAACTTTAGCTTAATGAAGCTGTTTGGGTGTATAGATCATGGAGTTAAATCACTTTTGTTTGTGTTCATGTAGCTCTAGGCATACCTCCCCTGGCTGAAACTCACACAGCCTGCATGAAAAAGATGATTCCTTTTTTTATCTTTTGCTCTGTAAAGTAAACTTTAGTCACACACTAGGGCTCCTGTAAGGTCTAGAAGGCTATTAACCAAGTGTGAGAGAAGACATTCTAAATTAAGCAGACTGTGCAATAAATAAGTATAAACATTAGAGGACTCTTTACAGGAAGTGTTTAGGAAGGCTGTGCAAGATACATGCAGGGAGGTGTGACAAGGACAGCATAAACAAAGTGATTTAACTTGTAAATAACAGAAAATGGAGCAGTGAGGCTGTAGGGGCATGATCTATACCTAAAACTGCTTCATTAACATTGTTTTGGTGACTATAGTGCCCCTTTATGGGTACAGTAGCAAGCAGTTTTAGATAAAACTGGCTTCTTTATTTGTTTCATTTTGGCTTATGAGTATTTCATCTTAATGATTCATCCATTTATTTACTTGGAGAAAACTCAGATTATGAATTATAAATGTATTAATTTGATGAACCACATCTCTGCTCTCTGCCCACCCGCAGTTCTGTCTCTTAATTTGCGGATTCCTGACTTTCCTGACTGTGCTTGGTGGATACATTCCCGGTCTTGTGCTGTCATACCTGCTGTGTAAGTGTATCTCATTATTTTTGTAATAGAAGCAGTCAGAATAAAAATACAATTTTACATTTATTAATAAGGCGTAATTGGTTGTTTTGTTAGACTTTTCTTTTGTAAAACTGTACATTACAAACTAAAATAGTCAACCAGCAAAATATTACGCGGACATTCTCATATCTTTACTTTTTGACAGAAATATTTCCTGAATAATATCAACAGGAAATTCTATGAAAAATGCCTTAAAACACACCCACCACAGTGTATTCCATACTTAAATATACCCAATTGTGTACACACACATATACCTCACATTTAGCGGCATTGTTCGTTTCTGTTTACTGATATCAGGGAAGGTTCTGTTTGCCTTTGTGCACATCATTTTAGCAGTTTCTTTTCAGTCAAGGCACCATCACCACTACGTTGCACAGTAGCGGTTATGGTGCAAGGATTCTCTTGGCACTATACACTGGGTGAGAGTGAAATCACTGATAGTATGAATGGTTTGACCTGGTAATCACAGCCATTCTACTCGCATATATCTAAAGCAGGGGTCCTCAAACTCCGGCCCTCCCGATGTTGCTGAACTACAACTCCCATGATTCTTTGAATTACATAATTACATTTTTACTAAGTGCCAGGGTGACCCATGTAAGAGTCGAAGACAGTTTAACACTTACCCAAGGGACGGTGCCAAGGGACAAATGACATCATAACCACCACAGCTCACTGTAGTGGTTATGATGCTTAGACTATCCATTTGTTCAAGAAGATGTGTATTCAATTTTCCCACTCTATTATAAGTCTATAATATAACTCATTATGCAGTGCTTTTCTTCCGTGCATGGTATAATTTACATGTCAAAAGAGAATGAATGAGGAGCACACCTCATAAAAAGTAACAAAATTTTATTAGATAAATCTATATCCATACATTAATGTACACATATTTGCATGTTACCGAATGGATAAATAAACAAGAGTAATACACTATACATAAATTAAAGCCATAAAACATGCAAAAAAAAATCTTTGAAAAAAAAAAAAATAATAATAATATACGTGTTCATAACAGTCTGAATGCATACCAAAAAAAAAAAAGACCACATAAAACAAAAAAAACAGTGTGAGAGGCAAGGGATAACAATGTTACTTTTTTGGGGGGGTATGCTTCTAATTCATTCTCTACAGATTGTTTTAACAGACTATATTGGGAATAGAGGCATTAAATGTGCATTCTGTCTCTTCATTATTTTGGTTTCAGTTGTTTTTGTTTTACTTATAGTGTGCCGTCCCTTCTAATTATCCTTCTTTAATAATTTACATCTCAAACCATTTCATGTGATGTATGTGTACAGCAAGTGGAGTCCAACTAAATTGTGCAAGTTACTGTTCAATATAACTGTATTTAAGAGATCTTATACTTTTACTCAAATAACCAACATTATTCTGTTGATAACTAAATAAAAAAATGAAATTAAATAAAAATGAAACTGTTACTAACAAAATAATTTTTGAAACCGACAGAAAAAAAATTGAATTCTTAAACTGAACAGGAAAATAGTATTAAAATACAATACTTTTGAAAACTTTAATCACCTGACATTTGCATATTTAGGATATAAGGAGGTGACAAACTGTAATGCATATATGATGTTTATTCATTAAACCACTAATTGACAAGGAATTTTATATTCTAGGCCAAAATAACAAATTTAAACAGTGTTGTAAATGTGACTAATTTGTATTAAAAATTTTAATTTCCTTGTTATTTCACCAGTTTCTGGTTCAATAATAAATAAACCTGTATAGTTTGTTAACATAAGAACAATTTAATGTCAAGTGACAAACTCTAGAATATGTTTTGTTTACCTTTAATTGTCATTAACATGTATTTTACATGGCGAAAGATGGCGTAAATTTTAATTCTGTATTCAACAGTGTTATTTATCCTGCTCTGGCCATTGGCAATATATCACCGTTTGGGTCAGAGAGTCTACCAGAAGCTGGAGCCAGCCCTGCAGAGGCTCGACTTCAGTGTCCGTGGTTACATGATGGCCAAACAGAAGGAGAGAGAAAGTAGGTTTTTTATTATTTGTTTTAGACCACACTTTATACAGTCATCTCACGATGGCATATCTTAGAGACACTCCGGGTGCCAATACAACTTTAATGCATTTAATAGATTTTGGACTCATTAATATGCTGTATTTTTGTGCACCCTCAAATATTTATAGTTTTTGCAGAAAAATAAATGTTTTGCAGAATTTTGCACTATAAGCCTGCCTCCTTAGCCATGCCCCTCATGCCAAAATATGTCTTTATGCACACAGGCTCAGATTCAACAGCACTGAGTAAGATGCTTTTAATTCACACCCTGTCTTCATACAGAAGCAGGGGACTACCAGTAAGGCATATAATAAGGATATCACTACTGTTTGTAGTTTTCACTGACTAAAGGACTTTTTTTGATTAGGAAGTCTTTTTCTAGTGTGAGGGGGTGTGGTAGAGAGGCAGGCTTATGGTGCAACATTCTACAAAACCTATAAAGATTTGAGCATGTAAAATAATACAGCATATTTTATAATGTGTGTGTGTTTGTGTTCTGCAATAAGAGGATTAATCTCATAAGAGCAGGCATTCGGTTGCTAGGATAGGACCTGCCAGGAAAGCTACACTTTAGGTGCTTATTTCCTAAAAAGTCTTGAGTGTAAAGAAAAACCGTTTAACATCCACTGGGCTCAAATGGACTTGTAAGCTAAACTTTACAACACACAGAACAGGATAGCTGTTGCATTTGCATTCTGTTTAAAACCAACAAGATGAAATCTAAATCAGCTTGTGAATCTACTTTTGTTTTTTCCTCTCTAACTGTAGTGCATGGCCGTGCCCTTCCTTCTAATGAAGCCAGTGATAGTGAAGAGGAGCTTGCAGCATTTTGTCCAACAGTAAGCCTATATCTACCTCTCCTAAGCTAAAAGTATTTGCATGCTTTTGACTTACTAGTGATTTGGAAGACTATTCAACTGTGAATTGTAGATTATGCTAACATAGTGTACCTATAATCTTAATTTTAGTAATGACAGCATGCAAATATTTGCTGAAACTCCCAGCAGCACAGATCATAACAACCAATCAAAAAACACTTCAATGTTATATAAAAGGACCTGTCACACACATCACTTCCTCTTTCTTTGTAGCGAACTAATAAAGTTCAAATGTCTGAAAGTCCAAACATAACAATCAATGAATCCAAACTGTAGCCGTGAAAACATCCATAACAGCTGTAGATTGCAGAATAGATGTATAAAGCACTGATCACACTGAAAAGAAACAGAAAGAAGTGACATCTTGTCTATCATACCATAACTATCTATCTGCTGCATAAGTTAGACGTAAATGAAATATATAATAGTCATGCTTATCCGGTAGAAAAACAACTATGACAGCCTATCTAGCTACTAAAAGATGATAATTCCATGCAATAAAAATAACACCATTTATAACCATAGAAGATCCTAATATCAGAGAAAAAGGAACAGAAATATCGAATATAGAAATCCCAGGGTGGGAAATATTCGCCTCCTGTCATTACTAAAATTAAGATTATAGGTACACTACATTAGCAAAATCACATGGCAGGAGGCTTCATATTTGCAGTTTTAACCCTGAGAATTTAGAAAAATGAAAGAATAGTGAGAGGACTGTCTGAAGTAAAACACATGGAACGTAGATTCCCGCAACCAGTCCGCGCATCACATAATATTGGAATATAGAAATCCTGGAGTAGATGTATTCCTTCCATTTTGAAATGTCGATAGACGACATAGTCGTTGAGCCGACGGAGGTTGATGACTTTTTTCGAACCAGAAAGATGTTGCAAGCCCCAATCGTCCGGGGTGAATTGTACCGCTCCTTTGGCGCATAGAGAGCGAATCTCTTCGTCTATGGGGAGTCTGTGTTCTCGTGAAACATGTAACAAAGATGGTCGGGCGGTTTGTATGAGTTGGGAGTGGAACTCGATGGCGTAGCCCTAGACCAGCTGCAGAATCCAGGCGTCTGCCTTGATTGCCCTCCAATTCTGTAGGAAAAGGGACAAACGACCAGCGGTAACAGTAGTTGTACGAGTTCTTAAGAAAGGAACTCACCTGAAGGGAAGCGTCCGCGACTTCTTCCTCTAGAGCCTCTCGTCCCGTCTGTGCCTCGGTGGTACAAGGGTCTTGATATGTATGTCGGATAGAGTGAGGGAGATTGTGAATAGGACCTGGGTCCCGCCGACCAGCCCTCCCAAAAGGTGGTGGCCTGAAGACTTGCTTGAGTGAGGATTGGGCTTTGTTCAGCGTCGTGAACAGGTTGACATTTCGCTTCAACTCTGCTATAAAAGACTGACCGAATAGAGCCCCTTTGCCAAGGGTCCCAGTTCTTTGGAGCCCAATTCCAAGAATTTTGATTCTTTTCTCAACGGTGCTGTCTTGTGTCTCTCTGTACAGAGGGCTGCATTGGCATTGCCCAGGATGCAGATAGAGCGCTGGGCCCATGTCACTTGGGTCCAACTGAGGGGGCCAGATCCGCAAAAAATAGTATCTTCGCCAGTGGGCCCAATAGATCCAACACCTGTCTTGTGCAGACTTCAGCCCCTTCTCAATGCCCTTCCTGGGGTCCCTGCCAGCTCAGGATATGAAAACCACCACGTGGTGTCCAACTCTGGAGTGTTAGCCACCTTGTCGCGGGGGCATTTCGCTCATAGGCTTGCCCGCACTTCCTTGTCTAGCGGCTTGCGAAGCCAATAGTGGATGAATTGTGGCAGATGATCCGGCAGTGTCCATTCAGACGACCTGGAGTGTCGTATCGTGCGTGGATTGAACGTGGGTACCCCCATTTCGTCTAGAAAAAACCCTCTCCAGTGGTCTTAGGTGGAGGAGTGCAAGTACCCTTTTCTTGGTACTATTCACCTTGCACGGTTTCCATCACATACTTGGAGTCGGAATGGGTTACGTCTTGCCAGTTCTCATTGGAGGCAGACCCATCTGCACGCCACATGTTCACCACGTCGAGGTTCTGAGGTGGACCAAGATTGTACCCGGCTGAGGATTGGATTAGTGGAGGGACTGGTTCGAGCTTTGCCGCTATACTTGCTTCCCGTCGGAGACCTGGAATCCTTCCAGTGACGTTTGGGCCCTGTCTGAATCCGTGGAACATCAGATCCTGGGGCAATATCACAGTCCTATGGCCCTGGTTTCTGAGCTTGGGGCAGGACCTGTAAACGGGCCTTTTCCACTGAGGCTGCGACAGCGGCATTAATCATGGCCAGAAAGTCCTGCGTAGGTAGAGGTTTGTTGCTCTTGGTGGTCAGTCTGCCTGTAAGAGGATGGCTGGAATCAGTGGGAGCAGGATAAATGGAGACGCACGCAAGGTGCCAGGCTACTAGTACAACTGGGGCTCACACAGGGATTGGCTGCACAGTACAGCCGTATACATGATAGTGCGATGAAGAGGGGCTCACCCTCTAGGTGTACAAAAGGGGGGATCCCTTTAGTGAATGGGAGACGTGGTAGTCTCTGAATCATCGGGTGGATCCCCAGCTTAATTCCCTATCCAGGGTGATATTGAGGGGTTAACCTTGTAATTGTTGCCAAGGTGACGTCTCTTCGAGGGGTTTACCCCAGTTTTACGTCAAAGCTGTACCTCTGTGATCAGCAATAAAACAGGTGTACACAGCATGTGGGATAGTTCTGCATGGTGCGATATTGTATTTCCAGACAATCGTAAAAGGATGTGGGATATCCCTGTAAGTAATATGTAGAACACCTGTGACGATATCTGGGGGCTCACCCCACATGGTGTGCCATGAGAACCAGAGGACACCCACATATGGCAACTCATGCAATCAGAATGGCACAGTGTATATGGCTGTTAAGCTCAATATATGCCCACATAACAATTACATTCCAGTGTATGTCAGTCTGTTGTCAGCAAACCGCATGTATCAGCCTAGCATGTATTTGTAATAACTTGTAGTAGGTACCTTGACTGTGGATGAGAAATCAGCACTGCAGTCTCCAGTCTGGTGAGTGTGGAGCATCAGGTACAGCTTAAAGGGAAGTATATTTAGTCCAGATCGCGGTAATACCGATCTGGAGTGAAAAAATAAATGGCCGACGTGAATCTCGCGGCACTCGCGAGATTCTAGATGGCTGTCGTGCATGTAACGATAGTAGAGACCTGCGGTTTTGCAGGGCCCGTCTGTCGTGATAAAATCACGGTCTGCACCCCACAAACACACCTTCAGCTAGCCCCAAAGGAGTAGAAACAGGCGCTGAAAAGAGCACGAGCGCGGTGCCAAGAAGAGTTGAGCAAAACAAGGCCAAAAGGAGAAATTGAATTAGCAGAATGGTAGTAGGGAAAAGTTAACAGAGCATACAAGGTAAATATATATAAATCCTAACACAGAATAAATCAAACCATTAACAGTAAATAGTCACAAGGACAAAGTACTCTGACCTGTGTCCTGGAGCAGCAAAGAAAGATGAAGTGATGTATGTGACAGGTCCTTTTGTATAACATTGAAATGTTTTTTTGATTGGTTGTTCTCTTATGATCTGTGCTGCAGGGAGTTTCAGTAAAGAGAGTTATGCAAATGTTCGCCTCCTGTCGTGATAAAATTACAATCCTATTCTAGTCTCCGTCACAAGATGAGTATCAGGTGACCCTAATGTTGCTATTGTAACATTTATGTTCTGTTGGTGGTGCGTTCTTCTTGTAGATATAAAGCGAAAGCGTGGTTCCCTTTCCCTTTGCTCTATGATGATTTATATGCCCTGTCCCTACAGTCTGACAAATGTAAAGAATGTGGTTTGTGACGTATATCAATATTTACATCTGTCAGTTAGAATGCCTCTTGTATCTGTCAGACAGCCACTAGACCCACTTCCTCATCGAATTTTCAATAATTGAGCTGAATGCTCTTAATACCTCTCAAAGGGCATTGGTTTGGTGCCCTTTTATTAAAACTGATGATCTCAGAACAGTAGGAGTAGCTGCCACAGCAAACCAAAGTTGGCACTGGATAAAAAGCGAGTTTAACTTATATTTTTTTTACAGGGCCAATGAGGGGCATAACCTAATGGAGCACAGAGATCTCACAGATAATTAATGAATAGTATCAGAGTGTTCCTTTTAACACAGCTCTGTCTAATTGACCGGTTTGGGGAGCAGGCTTATAGCTGAAGCGATTTTTAAAAATTGCTGTAGTTTTAACCCACTCTCAGATGAACATCACCCAAAGCTGTGATGTTACTTAAAAGGAACCTTTGAAAATAATAATTCTTTGAAAGAAAAACACAATCAATTATATTATAGAAAATCAGCATTATGTAGATAAGTTACTTTTTAAAAATATACTTATTGAGAGAACATCTAAATAATGTTCATTTATTTTACAGCTGGATGATTCAATGGTTGCTAAAGAATTGACCATTTCCGACTCGGAACATTCAGATGCAGAAGTTTCCTATACAGAAAATGGAACATTTAACCTATCCAGAGGCCAAACACCACTTACAGAAGGCTCTGAAGGTACGCTAAAAATAAATGTTGTTTATTTTTTTTTAATTATTATTATTTTGCTTCCTATGTATGGTTAGCTAGATGTCCATGTATCTTTCTTTTTTTTAAATTTTTTTTTTATTCTTTATTTTTGTTGTGCGTGTTATACATAGCAATGACATACGCCACAACAGCGTGTCTGAGAATGTACTTAAGTTAAACAGTGGCATGAGGAATTGCACAGTTTTATATAATAACAACAATCATCAGCTTGGCAAAACAGTGAAGTCATTAGATTAAAGTGGAAAGGTCAACGTTTAACAGTGCTAGGCTAGTTATGCTAAAATAGTTGTAGTGTGGTGGTGTGATTTGCAGTGTGATAATAGCTGGCTTGTGTGCAAGGTTTATACAGGTTGCGTTGCTCTTGTGTAGGCTATTTGGAAACGGCACATTTTTTATTATTATGTTGAAACTTGCTAGTCACATTTTTTAAGTATATATTGAAAAGAGGACACGATAAACATATGTCACTAAACAACAATGAGACAACAGGCTAAGCTTTAAGTACTCTGACTGACAGCATGGGAGTGATTAGCCAAGGTGAGTATCCAATACGTAAGCAGGGTTGCAGTTATTGCCTGCAGATCATTCAGTATTTTGCAACAAGTATTATCACATTAACACTAGGATATATTTATGATTAAAACCTTATAGATAAAATAGTTAGTGATGGGTAAAGCTTAAGCACTGCAACTATAGTTAATTTCATAGAGAGCGAAACAAGTAGTGTAGATGACGCTTGTATAAGATAATGTCCGCTTGAATTAAACTTGAGAAATCAGTAATACATAAAAATAGGCATTATAAACATGCTTAGTGAAAACTCCAGGTTAATAGGAGATTTACTGGTCAGTGACCTGATCAGTCAGCCGATCCCATGCCTGGGAAACTGAAACCCTGGAAGTGGGGGTTCAAGAAGGCAGCGTAAGTCCAGAAGTTGTAATAGTTCTCCCTCCGGCCCCAGGCTGAATCACTGGCCAGCAGTTGTCTGCCACGGATCCGAGTCCGCCAGCGGTCCTTATCCTTCTCCGATGGAGAGGGGTGGAATACCCGAGTGGTGTGTTGCTGCAGGTAGCGGCAGCACCTCCGTCTATGCGGATGCCGCTTCGAGGTCGTGCTCCGCTTGGCTTGGGTGGGCTTGTCGTGGTGGATGAGCAGGGGGTGGGGGATTGCCCGAAGGCAGCTTTGTCTTCGCTCGGGACCCGCTGCCACCGCTCACGGTTCGATGTTGGGGTTCAGCAGACTGCAGACGTGCCTCCAAGGAAGCCCAGAAGCGTGCAAAATGGCTCTCGAGCCGTTGTAGCATGTGATTGGCTGGGTTGGAGTGCACAAGGCAAGGTAATGTAGGCCCGACTTCGCAGGTGATCAGCCCTGCTGCCATCTTGGGCTGTGAAGCTGGGTGGCTCGCTGGGTTCTGCTGTGTCGGTCCGCAGGCCTGTGCAGGCTGGAATATCCCCCCGGCCCACTGGGGGGGGGGAGACAGGGCTGTCTAGCACATGTAGCCGGCCTGGCACTCTCCCGCCATGCAGCTCCCCCATGTCTCGCCAAGGTAATCGTTAGCGATTGGGTACTTTGCTCTGGGCACTCGATTCATGGCTCCCGGGTCAGGTAACATTTCCAGGTAGTCGATTAGGTATGTCGAGGTATGCAGCTGTCATGTATGCCTGGTTGAAGGATTATTAAGCTTGGAGCTCGTGCAAAGTGCGACCAGCCGCCATGCCGCTCAGGCCCCGCCCCCCGGATGTCCATGTATCTTTCAATTGATTTATTGTGGTCCTTCACGTAATGCCATGATAAAGTGCAAAAATTACCTGGAGATGCCAGTTTGAGTTCTGTATGCCAACTTTGGTACCTTCACCAATAAAAACCATAAAACGGGCCTTTCGTGGAACAGAAAAATGTTACATTAATAATAGACATTTTATTGAACTGGAGGGATTGCATACCCATAAGACAGAGCATACCCATTTGGGCCTGATACCTTAATGGAACACTCTGTAATACAATCATGTATTCCTATTCTTTGAGAGGTTTTATTTCTATATTATTATATTATTGCCCTTAGCATGCAGAAAAGGCAGTGTTTACAATTGTCACCTGCACATACAGTCTTTTTGAACAATAACTACTACATTAAGCTGTAGTGGTTCTGATATTTAGTGTGTCCTTTTAGAATAAATAACAAACAATAGGTACTCTATAAGTTCCAAGATCTCTGTCCATTGAATATATAATTTATCATAAAATATAGTGTCACATAATATTGTTACCTGGTAAAGGAGATTTTTATTTGGACCCATCTTCCCTCTAACAATGCCATGCTACACAGTCTATGCACGATGCGCTAATGTAACCACCTGCTCATAAACCCTGCTCATTCTCCAATGTGATTGGTCCAGCTGGAGAGCAGTTTCCCAATTCTATTCAATGATGCTGACTTCATTGCAATCATAGCATGTCTCTGATATATTGTTTGGACAGATGGATATTCTGACCACAACCTGTTGTGTGGACGTTCTGCCATCTGTTGCTCAAACGAACCTCCAACAATATTGCAATTTACATGTTGTCATTAATTTTAAGGATGGTCTTAGCCGGTGCCTAAATTACTAGTACACAAAAATAGGTCCTGCTTTCAAACTCACACTACTTCTGAGTGTCAGCAATGACCATAGTATACATCAGCCCCAATACATACAATAAAAACCAAAGAAAAAAAGTTACTTGTGCACTATTCCAAATCCCTGTGCATATTTATATAAATGGAGATTTTTAGTTCCACTCGAATGGCCATTAGATGTAAGCCCACCTGCCATGTCATGAATTACTGCATAGTATTTATGTGTCTTTATTGCTTATGCTGATCTTTAAAGGGACACTGTAGTCACTACAACCATTTAATCTCTCCGAATTGGTTATAGTGCCCTGGCACTGTCTCTCCATTCAGTGTTGCACCATGTTTATGCAGTATGCCACAGTATAAGAGTCCCTGGCCATCCACAGTCTGGCCCCTTCTGTATGTGTAACTAAGGCAGAGATTACACACTTCCTTGTTGTCATACCTAAAGCAGTCAGCTGACACTCTCAGCCAATCACAGCTGCCCATAGCTGCTCAGGCTAATAGTTCCTTATTAGCCAAAGCAGCACAGAGGGGATGGACTGCCGGGGACTCTTGTTTAGCATTAAGACATTAAAAACTGTTTAATGCTGAAAGAAATGATGGTACCAGGGGACTCCAGACACTATAACCAGTTTAATAAGATGAAGCAGATACAGTGCATGCGGTGTCCCTTTAATTACCATAACATAAGGTAAATGAATTGAATTGTAAAGCATACAGGTTTTTTAAAAAGTAAACACAAATTGCATAATCTGAATGTTCTTTCTCTTGTTCATTCTAATTTTCATTAGATCTGGATCGCCATAGTGACCCTGAAGAATCTTTTGCTCGTGACCTCCCTGATTTCCCATCCATTAATCCTGAAGCATTGGGGATAGATGATGAGGATGACACCAGCATTGGAATACCAAGTAGAGCAAACCACCCACGCTTGTCTTCCACACAACTGTACGATGAGCAGGAATCAGAGGCAGACATGTCTTTGGGTGGTTTCCCAGGAGCTCAACAGATTACAGACAACATCGCCGGCTTGGTAACCAGAGGGATGATACAACTGGCATTGGCAGGTGCTACCCAGCAAGCCTCCACTTTTTTGGATAATCCAAGAGCCAAAACATATCAGAGAAACTCAAGCTCTGAACTGGACACTGATGCAGAAGCTGATGACTTTGAGCTACTGGATCAATCAGAGTTGAGCCAGATGGACCCAGTAAACCAACGTGGCCATCAGTGATTATGGATGACATGAAAAGGAGAGTGCCTGCCACTTCCTTATTATGATTATCTAAAAAAAACAAAACACATTTGATCACATCGTAGACCTGCATTGTCAAGCTGTGACTTCTTCTCAGTGTGCTCCCTTGTGAGGTTTCCATTTAATGCAGACCAACCCGGGCCGTCATTTTTATCACTGTGAAGTCTGGAGCTGTAGATTAGTGATTATAGAATGAAAGATACAGTATTTTAAAATTGATCCCTACTGGATAAATGGACTTGGTGCAATAGTGACTCCTCTTTTCCAACCCAGAAATTTAATGTGGGTTTTCCTTAACAGTCTGAATCCATCCCCCCTCATAAACTACATTTATAAAAACTACTTCTGGGTTGGTATTACTAGTAAAGGTTTTTAATAAGTTGTGTCTGATGACTTGGTTGTGGGGGGCACACATTCCATCTAAAGTAAGGTGTTTACTTAAGTACTCTGGCTTCACGTTCAATCCAGAGATGGCTCTTCATGTTATGGGATAACCCTTAATTAAATCTGTGTCTACAATCAATTTAAAGTCTTAGTGAAGTGTTACTCTTCCCATGGGTTGGTAATGTAGCTGTGAAGTGGGTTAGATGAGAGTGTGGTGGTACCCCAATTGCTTGTGGCTTTGAATTTTCTTCTTTCTGGGGTACAAATTGGACTTTGTTGTGTTAATGTACAGTGAAGCATTTCTTGTTGCAACCGTTTATTCTCTCGTCTCCTTTTCTTCTCTGGTTTACCCATTATTTTTGTCTCGACAAAAGCACTTTTAATTTTGAATACATTTTGATCTACATTGTTTGTGACTGCTTTATTTTAATTTAATTTTTTTTTATTTTTTTTTTTAAATAACAACATAAGAGATAAGTGAACAACACTAGATTAGAAACTTCAAAACTGCTGCTACCCTTGCAGAAGTGAATAATATCCTAAAAATATTATGTCTCTTTTTCTATACCTACCTATACACTACAGCAGTGCTCCTTAATCCTCTCCTCAAGGAACACCTAACAAATCCAGGATTTAAGGATTTACCCAGGTTGTCTAAGGTGTTTTAAAAAATAATCTAAAAACACCTTAGACTCTGTGTTTTGTTTTTTTTCTGAACACCTTAGACACACCTGGTAATCCCTAAATCCTGGACTGTTAAGTGTTCCTTGAGGAGAGGATTGAGGAGCACTGCACCACAGGACATGGCATTTATTTCATTTTATGAATGCAAACTTTGGGCAGCAGCAACATAAAGGAAATCTATTTTTTTGTAAGTTTAAATAAAGATTGTGGTACAATATACTCCTAATGTGTTGCTTGTGCCACAGGATAAGGTTCCAGTTCCACCGAACCCCCTTTTATATAATACAACGAAATAATCCTCATCACTCAGCAATGTCAACTTAGGCTGGTTCATTGTGCCATGCAACATTTCCATACTAAATTTGTCTTGATCAAGAAAGTGCATTTTAGAATGCGTTCGATAGATTCATGCCATGTGCTTACATTAGTTAGAGGACAGCAATTATGAAAATCATGGTGGTTAACCCTATAATCTCCAAATTACATCAAGTGACAATCTTAACTATAATATACTTTAACATCACAATTTCCTTGTTCAAATATACAAATTCTTAATACCATGCGTTCTCTTTTCCACATATGAGCAACAATATTACATGATTAAATGCCTTATCACCACACAGTTTGCTATTCCACATCCTAAAAAGTATTTAAAGGGATAGTGTATCTTAAATTCACTTAAGGTAATAACATACCATATATTTAAAAGAAGTTAAAATAACCTATCCCTTTACATACTTTTTTAAAGATGTGAAATAACATATTGTGTGGTGATTGTGAAGGCATTTAATAACGGAATATTGTAGATCATACGTGGCAATGAGTACAAATGTTTAAATGTATATAAGATTGTGGGCATAGTCCTTGCCTACTCTAAATATATGAAAGTATAGCCAGGTACAATATGGTAGAGAGAATGGACATTTTAATTGAGCAAACATTGCCTTGTCAGCAAGGTCTGCCCTTCTATTAGGCAAGAAAAGGCGTCGCCGAGGGGGCGTCTTTAACTTCTCTTCTGGGCGTACCCATCTTCTGTGAGACTAAACATGATGCAGCCTGGGCCATGATTTAGATGAAGTTAGCAGGCCACAGCAATGTGTGCTACCTGGCAATAAAACTGTTGACCTCTGCCTGTAATCCACCACAAAGTCTGTCCTGCTACTTACAGCTAGCCCCCATCCTGCGTCCCCCACCCCGTCCCGAATATGTAGTGGGCAAGTAACCAGCCTTCTCCTGCCTTGTACATGGGAGCATAGCAAGAAGTGGGGCGGCTGGGACAGGTAGGGTAGCCAAGAACCTATTGACAGCCAGCAATAGGAAAACTATGCCAGGGTGCACACATCTGGTCAACTGATGGGTAAAAGAGTGTATATTGGTCAGTGAGTATATGAGTGTGTGGTCATTGAGTGTAAATTTATATGGGGGATTCAGTTAGTATTAGTGTGTATGGGTAACTGAGTGTATGTGTTTGTGCATGTACATGGGTCTGCACAAAGGGAAAGTTCTAATTGAAAGAACAAAATGTTACCTTTAAAGTGACACTATGGTCACCAGAACCGCTACAGCTTAAAGCTGTGGTTCTGATGTCTATAGCCTGTCCCTGCAGGCCTTGTGTTGTAAACGCTAGGTTAATATATGTAGGCACTGTATATACTATAAGCAGAATAGAATTTGTGGTGTTTCGTGTGATGTAACACTATGGGCGGAGTATATTGGGCAGCAAACATTGTTTTGCCTAGGGCGTCAAATCTACTTGCACCGGCCCTGTTAGCAAGGATACCCGGTGTTTATCACATAAGATAAGTGTTTCTTTACTTTTATGTAGAAGGATTTGATGATTAAATTTCAATATATTAAGTCTGGTAAGTCAAGTAGTCTTTACGCCAGCCAAAGAAAAAACTCTCTTGTAGGCTTTGATATTGCTCATTAGGGAAACCAATTAATAGTGATTTATTTTATTTCCTGACCCTAATTGTATAAAAAGACTCCACATTACTGCCTTATGAGCTTGCTAACTACTGTCGTGGGAGGTATGTTCTGAAGCATTGATGCAAAAAAAATCTTGTATAGCAAATTTAGTTTGGTGTGTATCGATTGGTCATTTAATAAGGAGTCATTAAAGTGGCAAGTTCCAGGTCAGAAAATACAAACAGAATGTGGTAGAGAGAGGTCGGTTATCCAACCACCTTGACGGTGCAAGTGGCTGTTTCAGTCACTGATTGTAAGGTTTGGCTGTCTACACAACACATGTATTCTAGAATATGGACTGTGGAGAAATATGTAGGGTGTAATGTTCTCCGTAAAGATTGAAATGTAGTAGAAGTTGGCATGGTTTCATGATAAGAGAGTTTCAGAGTTTTAATGGGTTATCTGACATTCCAGAACATGTGTCCGTCCATAGCAGAGTCAAAGACGCAATTAAAGTCCCCACATACCATCCAATTTCTGGAAACCTCTCTCCAGGAAAGCAATCTGATTTTTGTTTGGAGTATAGATATTCATAATAGTTATAGGTAAAAAGTTGAGGAGGCTGGTTAAAATTAGAATACGTCCCTCGCGATCAGAATACCATTTGGAGAAAGAAGATTCAGTTTTTATGGACTATGATAGAAATTCCCTTGGATTTAGTTAAGGAATGTGAATTAAAACCCACAGGAAACTTTAAAATTTAAGGATTCAGGTATAAAAATGTGTTTCTTGGTGGCATGCGATTTGTGATGGATTTTTTCTGTAAATCCTTAAACTAACTGTCGTTTGAGTGGTATATTTAATCCTTAACAGTAAGGGAAAACATTTAAAATTCACTGGTCATGATATCTGAAACTTGTGGTAGTTTGCAGATGAGTTATATAGATAATCTGGACCCAGAATTTTTTGGGAATTGGATACGTCCACATACAGCCTCTCTTGAGAGGAAGGTGACTGGAGATACTTAGGTTGCGAAATGGAAAGATGAGGATAGTAAGGAGTAGAGATGAGCGAGAGAACATCAGGAAAAAAACATATATATATATATATATATATATATATATATATATATATATATATATATATATATATATATATATGTATATATATGTGTGTGTATATATATACGGTTAGTAACACTGACAGGTGGGTGTAATCGCTTAGCCGACTAGGTGCATGTGCCAGATATAAATGGAAACACCACACTCTGCAATGGGGGTGACATGAGAGGCTCGGAAGTAGCCATTGAGCGAAAGCAATCGACCTAAAAACACATAGTATATATTGTAGAACAATCAAACCAATAACGGACCTTAATGTGGACCTGTGGTACACCACGGAGACAATTAAACATGATGTAAATTATATCACTTTTCATTACGTTTTTCTTTATTTTAATTTTTTTTGCTTTGGTTTAAGTTCAGGTTTGAAAGGACACAATTTTGAATATAATCTACTACCCTGAGTAATAGGCAGCTATGCCCAGAGATATCCAAATTATTGTGAATATGCAACTTTGTCAGTCACACTTTTTAAAACACAATTGCTGTTTAATATAGTATAGTAGTAAGTGAATTGACACTACAGGTATACAAAGTCAATGTGACATGGTTTCTTACACAAAGGTATGGAAAGTGATTTCAGTGGCCTAAACGCCACAAAAACGAAATGGTGGTGGTCATTGTGATCCTTTCTGATATTATTTATTTATAAAATATTTTACCAGGAAAGATACATTGAGATTTCTCTTGTTTTAAAGTATGTCCTGGGTCCATAAAACATTGCATTGATACATTAGGGTAGAATAAAATACAAAATCAATATTAATACACAATATGTACAAACTTTAACATAGAATATGTAGAAAATACATAATCAACCATGATAGGTGCATTCTGTTTTGAGGTATGTAGAGAGGGATCTCTTAAAGGACTTTAGGCTTGGGGAAGATTTTAAAGTGTGTGGGAGGTCGTTCCACAATTGCGGCGCTCTATAGGAAGAGGAGGAGGAGGATCGGGCTGCTTTCTTTTTGTATTCAGGTAGACTAAATAAAGATCTGGTACTGGATCGGAGGTTATAGGAGGTGGGAACAGCCGAGTAGAGCATTCTGCTCAGGTAGGGTCGGAGCTTCCCAGAAAAGCTCTTAAACACAAGGCTGGAAAGATGAAGGGTGCGTCTGGATTCAAACAACAGCCAGTTTTTTCCTTTTAGCATGTCACATATATAGGGTAAAGATATGTACATTGCAGTTCCACTTATTGAGTAGGGCATAACCGACAGTACGGGTATGGCCTAAAGCCCCCAGTCCTTATTATGGAGGAATGGTGATTTTAAAAACAACTGAAGGTACTTGTGCCTAATATGTAAGGAGTACTTCACTGTCAGAGCCCCCTAACCGGTATGAGGAAAGCAGCATGGATCCACTGTGTAATGCGAAACAGGCAAGCACTGATCGTCACTTGGCAGATGACACTCCAGACCAATCTGAGGATATCTTTACTGGTGTGGTGCTTGGACCTGGATACCGCTCAAAATGGATGTTCCATGTAGGCAACAACTTCAGCCCCTCTTCTGGGGATTTGATAGCTCTTGTTGCTACGTTGGGAAGCACCACCAATATCCAATATCATGGATCGCAGAAAACTCATCAATGGGCCGAACTCTCACCTGCGAGCCATCGTCTCTGAGGACAAGGTGTATGGAGAGGCGAGTATAAGGAGTGAAAAACGGTTTCCACTCTTCAGACATGTGGGTTGGCTTCAAGTGAAAATAGTGGAGGCGTACTATATGTCTCTTGGTGTGCCAGGCAGACCTCTGAGTTGTGGAAGATGGTGCGTCTTGTCAATGAGCCAGTCAAGTGTGGCAGATAGAGGACTAGATTCTGGAAGAAGGACCAAAACTACGCTGACTGCTCATTAGGGCCTACAAAGTCAAGCATACCTCTAATGCACACATTGTTCCTCTGAACTCAGTCTTCCAAGCCTGTAAGTTTCTTCAAAAAGATTTTTTTTCTATATTTTCTTGAGCTGCCCATTATCTCACACTCCTTTCATTCATCTAGGACAGGCTTCCCCAAACTCCGGCCCTCCAGATGTTGCTGAACTACAACTCCCATGATTCTATTAATGAAATAGGCTGAGAATCATGGGAGTTGTAGTTCAGCAACATCTGGAGGGCCGGAGTTTGGGGAAGCCTGATCTAGGAGGTCTCAAGCTAGACAAAGTAAATTTTTCTTGGGGAGTTAGTGACATTAAGGTTAATGGAATTTTGAGTGTCCCTGGACAAGATCACCAAGGGGAAAAAAGAAACATAAAACCACAGCCTGTGAGAATCTTCCCCTTGTGCAAAGGGCGTGTCTGCAGGGGCCCGGTCGGGCGCTGTGGCGCTTTAACAGCGCAACCAGCTCCTTTGCTCCTTCCTCCCAGAGCCGGGCAGGAGGTGGAGGAGGCCAGGCTGGGAGAGACTGGAGCCACATGGAGGGAGCAAAGAGGAGGGGGTGCAGGCTGCAAGAGCCAGCTCCTAACTCCCAACATCCTCGGCAAGCGGACTGAATACAAGGTTAGCCGACCTCCAGCACCCAAAAGGTAAGAAAACTGGAGGTTGGCTATAAAAGTGTATATATCGACCTGTATGTTTATCAGTGTGTTTTGTGTATCTGTCCGTGTTCATGTGATAGGCGCTAAAAACCGGTCGGCAGCCCAATGTAGCTATTTAATTTTGGCCCCTACCTATTGCCAAGTTGTGCAGGTCTTCTCTAGAGCAGGGGTTCCCAACCCAATTCTCAAGTACCTCTTACCAGTCCAGGATTTAGGGATTACCCTGTTGTGTCTAACATTTTTTTTTCTTCTAAAAACAATGTAGACACAACAGGAAAATCCCAAAATCCTGGACTGTTAGTGGGTACTTGAGGACTGGGTTGGAAACCACTGCTCTAGAGGTTACAGATCTGAGAGAGAAGGCAATGAATCTAGCAACTCAGTCCTTCAGAGTAGTAAGACAGATTTCCTCAGGATCGTTTAGGGCAGGGATAGGCAACCTTCGGCACTCCAGATGTTGTGGACAACATCCAATGCTCTTACACCCATAATTAAAGCATCGTGGGAGGTGTAGTCCATAACATCGAGTGCCGAAGGTTGCATATGCCTGATTTAGGGTAACAGGCTTCTGAAGGTCCTAAAAGTATGAGGGTGTCTCCACAAGATCTGGAAGACCTAGGCAAAGATCAATAAAGAAAGCTGGGTTCTGTCTATTTTAAGAGACAGGTACAGAATAGAAAAAGGTTTACCAAGAGGAAATTACTTTGAGATTAAAAATGCCAAAGAGATAAAAAAAAAAAAAAAAAAAAGAAATTCTCATATTGGTGTAGGAGAGGTTTATAACCTCCCTTATTCTCCCACTCTCCACACCATGGATGCTATTGTTGCCCAATAGCTAAAAGGCCCCATCCTCATATACAATAATTTGGCATTGGGTGAAGGCTTAAATCCAATAATAGGGGATGGGGGTTAAGAATAGGTTGATAATGGCAAGTCCAACACCTCCCCCTGGATTATTGTGGAGTGCCCACCTGCTGGCCACTGTGGCCTGTCGAACATCCATTATTGGATTTATGCAGTGGAGGTATGGAGTAGACCTATGATGGCCCCTCCAATTATTGACTATGGGGATGGGGTCCTCTGTGCCATGATTTTATACTATTCTTTTATTATGGAAGGTCCAGTAATACGTACTATATCATCTTACTAGTTGCCTCTAGCTTGTGTGTTCGTGTGGTACCTTGACAGTACATTAAAGAAATACATAGATAGTATAATTGATTACATGTTTTATTTATCTTGCAGACATCACTTTTCAAACATACTAATATATAGTAGTCTTGGTTGGAAAAACACTCAAGTTAAACTGTCCACAAATTTCTTTCTGCAGTTGATCCAGACTAAGGCGAAAAGAAAAAAAAACACTGTTTGAAACTACAAGAAGATATTGAATTGTGGTAGGGGAAAGATTCTCTTTTAGGATTTCCAAAGATTGCTGGCATCTTTACACCACCATATGAGTCATGGCAGACTCCACAACCTTTGGCACTGGACCAGCTGGTTTAACGTCAACCTCCCTGTTGCTGCTGTGTTGGCATGTGTCCGAAATCTTTGGAAGTCTTATGCACCCCGTTTTATTTTCACATCCCTGGTGACATTGTTTTGAAATATCGACTGGCTTGAGTGTCATCTCACAATACTGAAGTCTGTTATTATGCAGAGGTGGCAGCTTCGTCATATATACAGCTATGTGCTCTTTAGGTCCACTACTGCTGTTTTCTAGCTCTGGTATTTTCTCCTGGAAGAGAAAATAAGCCAGCATGTAATTTAAGCATTTGTGTGTCAATAAAGGCCCATAATGTTTCCATGTGTCCTTCCTGGGGAATTTTTTGTAAAAACCTCCATCTCCTCTTAAATGGTTGCCATCCTTCCTACAAACAGAGAAAGATTTGTTTGTTTTGTGGATGTCTTGATATCCTAATTTGATATTTCCGCGATGTTTGCAGGTATTGTTTTTCTGGTTAATATTATTGCACACCAGGCCAGTTAATGTAAGAATGTCTGAAACCACATTCACCTTGAGTCTGAAATCAAAAAGGGTATCACAAACCAGAGATGGTGACAAATTGACTTCAGGCAGCCATGGCTTCAAGTTGTTAGCACATCAAAGCCATACAACTCAAAGCACTTTTTTTTCTATGAGTCAGTTTCTTTACATGCTAAGGCATAATCCTTCTACTAAAATAAATACGTTAATGATGAGATCTTCTATTTTAGCCTTGACATCCGTTGCATCTTTTCCTCTTTTCTTTAAGTAGCACAGTGTAGTGCTCAAGGTCATTGCAACTGTCACAGCACCTGCTTTCCTTGTTGGATAAATGCAGAAGCTTCTTTTACATGTTGTACGGCTGGTTTGTACTTTTCAGCAGCAAACCTTCTTTATAAAAATAAAATATTAATGGGCTGCAAGATGTGATTAGCACATACAGGCGTAAGTCAAACTTGTATCCGTCAATAAGAAGTGATGTACGACAATACCAGGAGCTAGTCTTTTGTGTTTTATAATCCAAGGAACAGGATGCCTGGAAATAATTCTGCTGAAGTCTTTGTGGAAAAACTCAGGATTCTTTTAGGACATGTCGTAATTTTCTCCTGCCTTACTCAGGCATAGCTGTCCAATTATAGCTTTAGCTTGAAAAACTCACAACTGTTTTCTGTAAACCACAGGATACAGGGGTGATCACCTTGGTGCCCTTTCTCCTGGCACTAAGAGGTCTTCCCATTCTTATTCTGTTTTCTAGCCACGATATCTCTGTAAAAAAAAAAAAATAATAATTTTCTGCTGATCTGTTAGATTCCTGTTCAGTCTTGTGCTTAAATGTGCAATAATGTAGAAATTAGGTAGTTTGCGAAATTAGCATGCAGCTCCTCTGCCACTTTAACTTTTACAGGTTTAACCCCTTAGTGACCAGACCACTTTTCGATTTTCTTACCATTACGGACCAGGGCTGTTTATACATTTCTGCGGTGTTTGTATTTAGCTGTAATTTTTCTCTAACTCATTTACTGTACCCACACATATTCTATACCGCTTTTCTCGCCATTAAACGGTCTTTCTAAAGATACCATTATTTTCATTATATAATTTACTATAAAAATTTATCAAATATAAAGAAACATTTTTTTAAAAAACACACCTTTTCTAACTTTGACCCCCAAAACCTGTTACGCATCTATAACCGCCAATAAACACCTGTGCTAAATAGTTTCTAAATTTTGTCCTGAGTTTAGAAATGCCCAATGTTAACATGTTCTTATCTTTTCTTTGCACATTGTAGGGCAATAAGTACAAGTAGCACTTTGCTATTTCCAAACCATTTCCCCCCCAAAATTAACGCAAGTTACATTGTAACACTGATATCTGTCAGAAATCCCTGAATAATCCTTCACATGTATATCTTTTTTAAAAGAAGACAACCTAAGGTATTAAACTTGGGGTATTTTGACTTTTTTCATGCAACCATTGTAGCAGAGCTGCAATGCTAAATCCCAATATCTCAGCTGGTACAGACAATAATCCAAGTGAAGCGCTGGAAATGAAGGCAATATCCCAAATCCCCCAGTAACCGGACGAAACACAGTTCTGGGAGTCAACTGACCATTTTATTCACAGCTCCAGTATTTATGTGGTTGCCCATGCAAGGGGTTTCCTTAATCCCTTTACAGGGGTTATACAGTAGAGGACTACATGGGGAACTGAATATACAGGACATTTTTCCCACCATGCACAGCTCTACGAGAGGGATACTCCCACTAGAATATCCTGTTAAGTGGATTATCCCTCCGTACAGCAGAACCGGCTTTTCACACAAAAATACATAACTTTAATATTATTCATAGGATTATACCGAATGACCGTTCGGTAGATAGCTGGGGTCTGAGTGGACACTCTGTGAAAGTACCGCTCAGATCCCAGCATAAAAAAAACGAACGCCGCACGAAACACACTTTATTATACCTTCATCTTAAAAGTACTGAATACATAATTGAGAATAAAATACCGAAGGACCGGTGCTCCCGAACGGCCTGGAAGTCCAGCGGTGTTTGCGCCGTCGAGTAGCAGATTTTGTTTCCAGGCACTTGACGACCAAACACAAAGGATCCAAGATGGCCGACAGCCGCATGGTCGGTAGCCAAACGACGGCCACCCGGGAAATCAATTAACCGCCGATTGCTACAATGTTGCAATCGGTTAATGGGAGCCACATGACCCTCTGTGTGTGGGCTCCCATTCGGTACTTTATTCGTTTCACGAGCAGTGTGTAAAGTCACTGTTTGTGAAACTACCATATAAATGCTAGCAGCTTTCGGCCGTTAGCATATGAATGCTCTCTATTACAGAGATACACAAATATATACATAAACAGAATAAAAGCAGCTTTTGTAAGACAACCTTCAGACTTTGAACAGTACGACCTCAAGTGGCTAGGTTTGCCACAATGCTCCCCCAGAATCAAGTCGGCATACACAGTCTGATCCCAACGGATTGGCTTGGGGATGTCCGGAGGAGTACTCACAGATCACTTTTCAAGTTCAGTTTGTCTGGATAACCCGTCGGCGTTACCATTTTGCTTCCCTTGGCGGTAATGAATAGTAAAGTCAAAAGGCTGCAGCGCCAAACTCCAGCGCAGCAGCCTGGCATTGTCCCCAGCCACACGGTTCAGCCACACGGTTCAGCCACACCAACGGGTTGTGATCTGTGAGTAAGGAGAAAGGTTGTCCATATAAATAAGGCTGTAGCTTTTTGAGGGCCCACACCACGGCCAGGCATTCTTTCTCAATGGCGGCGTAGCTTACTTCACGGGGCAATAACTTTCGGCTTAAGTAAGCTACGGGATGTTCTCCGCCATCTGCTCCAACTTGGCTCAGCACTGCTCCCAATCCAAACATTGAAGCGTCTGTGTGGACAAGAAATCGTTTAGTTGGATCAAGAGCAGCAAGTACAGGTGCATTGGTTAAAGCAGTCTTGAGTTGTTGAAATGCCTCATCACACTCTGTGCCCTCTGTGCAGTTTTTGCTGCCCACTCCCTACTCTGCCCAAGATATTGCACCTCTGTCATCCCTATATGACACTTGCTGGGTTTTAGCATCAAGCCTGCCTCTCCAATACAGTCAATGACCGTTCCAATATGTCGTAGGTCGGACCACGTCTGGCTGTATATGGCGATATCGTCCAGGTATGCTCACGCATACTCCTGGAACCCATCCAGTAGCCGATCTACCATCCTTTGAAAGGTAGCTGGAGCGTTTTTCATCCCGAATGGCATGTCTCGAAACTGGTACAGGCCAAACAGGGTGACAAACGCCGACTTGGGGATGGCCTCTTCGGCTAAAGCAATCTGCCAGTACCATTTGCATAAGTCTATCGTAGTAAAGGTACTGGCCTCGTGCCATCTTATCTAGCAGCTCGTCTATCCGGGGCATCAGGTAGGCATCAGTTTTGTCATTTAGCCTCCGGTAGTCAACACAGAATCGTGTTGTGCCATCCTTCTTGGGTACCAGCACTACCGGCGATGCCCAGGGGCTATCGGAATGTTCAATAACCCCTAGCTGCAACATCTCCTCAATTTCCTTCCGCATATGTTCCCTGACTGCTTCAGGGATACGATATGGGGTCTGCTGCATAGGTAGCTGTCCTGGGGTCTCTACTCGGTGAGTGGCTAGCAGGGTGTACCCTGGTAAATTGGAGAAAGTGGCTCCCTTAGCCGCGATTAACTCCTGTACCTGGGCACGCTCCTGGGGGCTTAGCCGCCCCCCCCAGCTGAACACCCGTGGAGGGCTCTGCCGGATCTTCTCTCACTAATAAATCAGGTAGTGGAAGATTCTCCTGATCCTCAGAGGCTGATGTGCATATAGCTGCCACGTCCTCTATCCTCTCATGGTAGGGTTTGAGCATATTCACGTGGAGCATGTGTCTCTTCCCTGCCCCTGAGCAGGGGCCAATTACATAGGTGGTGTCACATCTCTGTTCCATCACCTGGTATGGGCCCTTCCAGACAGCCTGCAGCTTGTCATGGCGAACAGGTTTTAAAATTAAAACTTTCTGTCCCACCTGAAAGCTGCGGTCCCTGGCTCCCCTATCATACCATTGGCGCTGGCGTTGTTTACCCGTACGGTTTGGGTTAGTGCCTCCAGGCGGTCTATGAACTCCAGCACATATGGTACAATGGGTATCCCATCTGCACTGCTTTCCCCTTCCCAATGTTCTCTAATTAAATCTAGGGGCCCTCGTACCCGTCTCCCAAATAGTAATTCAAAGGGGGAAAACCCGGTAGACTCTTGGGGTACCTCTCTGTATGCGAACAGCAGATGGGGTAGGAATCGCTCCCAGTCCTTATGGGCCTCTCCAAATGTACGGAGCTTCTGCTTTAAGGTTCCATTGAACCTTTCACATAACCCATTAGATGGAAGGTGGTACGCAGAATCCACGATAGGCTTAATGCCACAGATTTTGCATAGTTGGTGGGTTACTTCGGCCGTGAATTGCGTACCCCTATCTGATATGATCTCCTGTGGGAATCCTACCCGGGAGAAGACTTTCATTAATGCTTCGGCCACTGTCTCGGCGTGGATATTAGAGAGGGCTAAGGCCTCGGGGTACCTGGTGGCGTAATCTACCACGGTCAAGATATATTTCTTGCCGGAGGGACTGGGTTTGGGTAAGGGTCCTACTATGTCTACGGCCACCCTACTAAACGGTTCTTCTATGATGGGCAGTGGGCATAATTTGGCCTTGTGTCGGTCGCCCCTCTTGCCTACTCTCTGACAGATGTCGCACGAATGGCAGTACTGCCTCACATTTTTGGATATACTTGGCCAGAAGAAGGCATGGGTCAGTCGGTATCTAGTTCGTGTCATACCCAGATGCCCAGACAACGGAATGTCATGAGCGATCCTAAGGAGTTCCTGTCGATATTTCTGGGGTACCACTAGCTGTCTAGTAGTCACATTTACAGATCCCCCCACCACCCTTTCAGCAATACGGTACAATAACCCCTTTTCCCAAGCATACCGCTCCCCCTCTAATCCTGCCTGATCTGAGGTCACCCTATCTCTATATACTTTCAACGTAGGGTCTACCTTAATTCAGTCGGGGTATCCCAGGGAACACGAGTCATAGGGGTTATATTGTCTCTTACCTGAGCCTCAGAGTGTGTGGATGAAGCCATGGTGCGAGCCTGTTGCCTTGTGGTTACCGGGTGAGCCTCTTGGATTGGATCTTGAGATACAAAAGCGGAAGTCATTCTGCCCAGGTCGTTTCCCAATACGACATCTGCTGGCAGTTTTTGCATCAGGCCTACCTCCACCATCCCTTCCCCCACACTCCAATTCAAGTGTACTTTTGCAGTCGGTAATCGGTATTCCGCTGCCCCTGCTACTCATACTGCCACGGATCCGCCGGTGTGCGCCGAGCCCGGAACCAAATGAGATGCTACCAGAGTCAGTGTGGCCCCTGAATCTCGGAGCCCTTGGACTTCTTTCCCCTCCAAGGTTACTATCTGGCGATGGTGTTGCCTGTTGTCTGTGGCTTGCACAGACATCACATCATGTAGTATTCCCAGGGGCTCTTCTGTGTGATTAAACAATATCTCCTGGGTTGCTGGCTCTGCTTGGTAGTGGTGCGCGGCTGCTAGGGGTGCTGGGTTCGGTCGTACTTGGCTCCATGCTTGACAGCTCCGGTTCTGTGTACACTCTCTCGCCATGTGGCCCCATTGCTTGCAGTTATGGCACTGGATGTTAGATCGGCCATTGTATCGGGAGGGTGGAATGTGTCCCCCAGTGGCTGGCCGGAATGGGGTTGCTGTGGGTGCGGTAGCTGTAGGAGGTTGGGTGGCAGGTCGAGGATACCCTAAATTGAGGTTACCATGATGCCTCCTGGCGTCATAGTGCTGGTCCGCCAGTTCTGTCGCTTCTGTTAGGGTGAGGGGTTTTCTGTCTCTCAACCATTCTTGTGCCTCTGGTGTCAGACCATTGTAAAATTGCTCCAACAATAGCAAATGACGTAACTCCTCCATGGTGGTAGCTTGGCTCGCTTGTATCCACCCCTGGGAGGCTTGATCCAGTTTGTGTGCCCACTCTGCGTGGGAGTATTTCTCCGGTTTGCGCAATCCTGTAAACTTGCACCGGTATGCCTCCTGGGTAATGGCATATCTCGTATAGCCTGTTTTACCGTGGCATAATCTTTGTTGTCCACTCTGGGTATGGCCTGATATGCTTCTGCTGCCCGACCTGACAGTTTGCCTGCCAGTAAAGGTACCCACACTGCCTGCTCTAGATCATGCAGGTCACATAGCCTCTCAAAGTCTTGTATATCCCCATCAATCTCATCCTTGTCTTCGCAAAATATTTTAAAAGCATAATGTGGTATCTTGGGCTTTACCTGGCTGATGATTGAAGCAGCAGTAGATTCTGCTCTGGAGGGTGCGTCTTGCGGTCTGTGTGCCATCACATACTCCTGCACATCCGCCATCAGTACTATCAGTATTTCCAGTGGTACTGGCTGGGGTAGGAATTCCATCCTGGTTCTCATTTCCGTTTGGAAGGTGGTCTCTTCCATGGCTTGTGGGGGTGTAACGCTGCAAGCTCTGTCTCCCTCCATCAGTTCGTCAATAAGCACAGCTTTTGACTTATTGCTGGCTATCTTACCCCTGGCTTCCAATAGTTCCTTAAACATCTGCCGTTTCAATGGAGTGTAATCTGTCTCCATTCACCTCTGCATTCGGTTCTTTGCTGTATACGAATTGCCATTCACTTTCCTGTTCAGTAGTTTCAATTACCCGAACACCGCTTTTAGGCTGTAAGGTTGGATCCCACTGCTGCCACCAATTGTAGCGGAGCTGCAATGTTAAATCCCAATATCTCAGCTGGTACAGACAATAATCCAAGTGAAGCGCTGGAAATGAAGGCAATATCCCAAATCCCCCAGTAACCGGACGAAACACAGTTCTGGGAGTCAACTGACGATTTTATTCACAGCTCCAGTATTTATGTGGTTCTCCATGCAAGGGGTTTCCTTAATCACTTTACAGGGGTTATACAGTAGAGGACTACATGGGGAACTGAATATACAGGACATTTCTCCCACCGTGCACTGCTCTACGAGAGGGATACTCCCACTAGAATATCCTGTTAAGTGGATTATCCCTCCGTACAGCAGAACCGGCTTTTCACACAAAAATACATAACTTTAATATTATTCATAGGATTATACCGAATGACCGTTCGGTAGATAGCTGGAGTGTGAGCGCACACTCTGTGAAAGTACCGCTCAGATCCCAGCATAAATAACCGAACGCCGCACGAAACACACTTTATTATATCTTCATCTTAAAAGTACTGAATACATAATTGAGAATAAAATACAGAAGGACCGGTGCTCCTGAACGGCCTGGAAGTCCAGCGGTGTTCGCGCCGTCGAGTAGCCGATTTTGGTTCCAGGCACTCGACGACCAAACACCGATGGCTAACAAAGGATCCAAGATGGCCGACAGCCGCGTGGTTGGTAGCCGAACGACGGCCACCCAGGAAAGCAATTAACCGCTGATTGCTACAGTGTTGCAAACGGTTAATGGGAGCCACACGACTCTCTGTGTGTGGGCTCCCATTCGGTACTTTATTCGTTTCAGTCAATGTTCGTGAAACTACCATATAAATGCTAGCGGCTTTCGTCCGTTAGCATATGAATGCTCTCTATTACAGAGATACATGAATATATACATAAACAGAATAAAAGCAGCTTTTGTAAGACAACCTTTGAACAGACTTTGAACAGTACGACCTCAAGTGGCTAGGTTTGCCAAAACCATTTTACAACCAACCTGTGCCAAATTTTAAAAACATTAAATACGTGATTTTTTTTGGACACACATAGCAATTTAAGAATGCAGGTACTGAGAACTTTAAGGGTTATTGCCAATGAACACCCCAATATGTGTTCAGCAACATCTCCTGAGTACATTGATACCACCCATGTATAGGTGTGACGGGTTCTCTGAGGGCTAAAAGACATTATTTGGAGGGTGCACATTCCAGTTTTCCAACTTGGAATTTTCACAGCTGGTCATTTTTGAAGACGGTACGTCGTAACTAGTACGTCCGAGTTCGGGAAGGGGTTAATCACTAAGTGTGAATTTAATATGAGTTTCAGTGATTTAGTGAATGTTTTTCCACATTGGTATAACATTTTTAAATTCACTTATTAGAACAAGAGCTGTTTTTTCAGCATGGACCTTGGAAATTACATATCCATCTCCTCTCCAACGACAATTTTCTTAAATTTTCATCAAGACAGATTTGAGAAAGGGCTGAAACTTAACACCCTGGATGTCCAAATTTCCGCACTTTCTGCTCTCACAGGCGTAAGATGGGCTCTTAACTAGGACCTCGTTCATTTTATGAGAGCTATTTTGAAGATCAGACTCCCAGTGAAATGATTCACCATTGGTTCTGCAGTGTCTGGGCCTCTGGAGCAGATTCCAATCAATATTCTGTTGGAAAGTGGTCCTTCTGAGAGCCCTTACAAACCTGCATAGATTCTTTGAAATTCAAGCTCCATTCAATTAATTCCATTTAGGTTGAGCAGTATCTAGTCAAGTTCCAGATTTCAAACCCGAAGGTGATTTCTTCCTAACACATCAATAAAGAGATTATCCTTCCAGCATTGTTTATTCACCTAACTTTGGAAGAGGAGCATAGCTGGGACAATCAGCACTTGGTTAGAGATCTCTACTTATATTGAGTCTTGTGTTTTTCTCCTGCACTCAGGGCTGAGGTAAAGCTGTTTCTCATATTTTCTTAGTAGCCTGGTTGTTTCTGCGATCTCCAGTGCCTATAAATCCAGGAATTGATACGTTACAGCAGTCGTTAAGGCACATTCTACCACAGCCCTTTCTTCTTCAATGCCGGCTGCAGCTGTGGATTTTCCTGGAGTAAAACTGCAGAGCAGGCACGCGATCCTCTAAAGACAGCTTTATACAACATTACTGTCTGAATGTGTTGGCTGCCGCAGATGATGAATGTGGACGTGGAGTTCTTTAGGCAACTTTTTCTTGATTGCCCTCATTAATCATTTTTTGCCAGTTAACTTCTTGACTCCTAATATATATTTATATATATATATATATACATATATATATATCATTTTATTTTATTTTTGTCATCCCTTGTTCTGTATCTTGGGTATTACCCATTGTAATACTGCCATGGATACAGCCGGGAATGTGTAAAATGTACTCATACTTCCTGTAATTCTAATTTCCAAATTATAGGCCAGGCAGCGTTATGGTCCTTCCCTTTTTCTTGGACAGAATGAGAAGGGGGGCTAGCTTTATTAATTTGGTTTAATTGTCTTTCCAATTGCTGACGTAGGCAAGATATACATACTTTGAAATCCTGCCATGACCTATGACTGGGAATAGAAAATTACAGTTACTATGAATATATTATCCATAATATTTAACAATAAGTTTAGTCGAGCAGGGTCCTGTTTAACCTCTTTTTATGTTAAATCCCCTTGTAAAAGTGTTAGCATTATACGAATGCCAATAATAATAATGAAGAAAAATATAATATAGGGTTGCTCACACAGAACCTTGTTTCGTTCCAAATTTACACTCTATCCAATGACCATTAACCAACCAGTCCTACCTCCTCCACCCAATAGGAAAGTTAAACGGCATATTTAATTCTGAACACGATTGTAGTTTAGTTGATAAAAAAAAAGCAAGAATGAAACCACTAAACTGTCTAATAGAAGCAGCAGGTACATTTCTGTTAGTTTATTAAATCACTTTTTTTTAATAGAATTGTTTTCATGAACAAATACTGCTGACACATTGGATTAATATTATGATTATTAGGAGTGAAACGGTCCATTTCAGGGTTTTGAATTATAGGAGACATGGCTAATATTTTATTTTAGGGTTAGGCTTGTGTATACAGTGGTTACATTTTAGGATTTGGGTCAAAGGCAACTCTTTAAGAATCAACTTCAGTTGGCGAGGTTGCATGCCTCCCAACATTTCAAAAGAAGAAACAGAACACTTTGAGTTAAAGTGTGCAGGGAGAGGTTGTCAAAATTTGTCAACAGGCAAAGTTTCCTCTACAAAATTCGACATGTGTAAGATTAAGGAAGGTCCTGTAGATTAACAGATTATTTTATAGACCCCTATTTTGTGTTCTTCTCTAAGAGTAAACAGCAGACTTGACTACTGGAAAGTGAAACAAGTGATGAAATAACGGCCAGGAACTGAGTAGAAGCCCAAACAGATAAGAATTCAGAATTAGAAGAATCTCTAAAACCAAGGTTTATAATAATAATCTAGGGTCCCAGTGGTTATATTCTTCTGTTATGGAGTGAGCAAATTTCACATAACATACGGTTTGGTGTTTTTCTGGGGTGGTGAGGGGGAACATGAGCATCTAATCTTGGGCTATCATCCTATATATTAAATCACATAGGGCTTTACTTGTATTCTCTTATAAAATGTTAAATAATACGGGTTGATCGGTACAGAGTACGTATAATCATTATTAATGCATTAAAAAAAAAAAAAAAAAAATCTACCTCAGAATCATTTAAAGCCGCCATTACCTGAAAACCAAACTGTCACTGGCTGCTCCTTGTGTTTGCGTATCTAGCCTCGTTTTCGAACTGAAACTAGCCTGTTGATTGGTTGTTTAAGGTCTTGTTTGCGTTTCACGCCTCTGTGTGGCTGTCTCATCATGAAGCGTGAGGGAGACTGCGCTCTGTGATTGGTTGATAAACCAGGTGGCGGGAGATTGCTTTGTCTTACCCACCCCTATCTCACTGTATCCCAACATCGCAAAGACATGAGCAAATCCAAGGATGCTGCTGGTGAGTCTCTCACATCTCTTGTGGGTGGGACAGCAACAGGCTCATCTTTATCTGAGAACAACTGGGAGTGGGACTGTGGGTCTAACACTGTAGAAATTATTTAATATGAAATAAAAAATACAATTGAACATCTTAATAATTCATTTTTATTTTAGATTATTTCTGGATTGCCAGAATTTGGGGAAGCCTGCTTTAAAGGGACACTGTAGCCACCCAGACCACTTCAGCCCATTGAAGTGGTTTGGGTGCCAACTCCCATCACCCTTAACCCTGCAAGTGTAATTATTGCAGTTTTTATAAACTGCAATAATTACCTTGCAGTGTTAAGTTCTCCTCTACTGGCTCTCTACCAGACAGCCATTACAGGGACTTCCGGCTTCTTAGACAACTTTTGGTCGTCTAAAGGATGCTGGATGTCCTCACGCTATGCCTGAGGACCTCCAGTTTCGCTGAAATCCCCATAGGAAAGCAATGAATAATTCTTTCCTATGGGGAGGTCTAAAAGCATGCGCGCACGGCCATTGCTGCGCATGCGCATTAGGTCTCCCCCGCTTGTGGGCGAAATCCTGACCCAGCGCTGAGAAACATTGGCGCTGGATTCAGGTAAGTATCTGAAGAGGTTTTAACTCCTTAAGGACTGAGCCAAATGTACGTGTTTTGATCAAAATAAAACGTAAACAAAACTTGGAATTTTACTATATGTCTGTTCAACTGTAATTCACCTCTTTTATATTAGTGCACCCACACTTATTATAGATCATTTTATTCAGGTGAAATAGGGCTTTCATTTAACATAACATATTTAGCTATGAAACATAATTTAATATGTAAAATATATTTTAAAAATGTGAGTAATTAAGCCTTTAATTGTTTTTTAGTTCTGCATGACATTTTAACTGTGAATGTCATAATACTGTTTGCTTTTACTGCAATAAAATACACATATTTGTATTCAGCGATGTCTCACATGTAAAACGGTACCCCCTACGTACAGGATTTATGGTGTTTTGGGAAGTTACAGGGTCAAATATAGCATGTTACATTTTTCTTTTTCTTTTTTCACATTGAAATTCGCCAGATTGATTACGTTGCCTTTGAGACCGTATGCTAGCCCAGGAATGAGAATTACCCCCATGATGGCATACCACTTGCAATAGTAGACAACCCAAGGTATTGCAAATGGGGTATGTCCAGTCTTTTTTAGTAGCCACTTAGTCACAAACACTGGCTAAAGTTATATTTGAGTGTGAAAAATGCAAAAAAAAATAATTTGAATGCCAATAACATTGTGTATAAAAGTTGGTTGCAGTTTGTCCCTTTTTGTTAGAGTTTACATATTGTACATTGGTATAAATATAATGTAACTAAAAGTTTTTTTAGTTTTTTTTTTTTTTTCCCCCCATTTATTTATTTTGTACAGCTGGAAACATTATTCTAAAATATCTAAATGACCAAAATAGACCTTACAGCGCTCAAGATGTTTTTAGTAACCTGCAGCGGGAGCATGGCCTGGGAAAAACGGTGAGTAAAAATTATTTAAACCCCTTAGTGACCGCGGACGTATCAGGTACATCCGACAAAAAAACGGTCCCTATGGGTACTTATCAGGTACATCCGCGGGGAATTGCAGCAATGGGTCGAGGCACTCAGGAAATATTTTTGAAAAAATTATTAAATTTTTTTTTTTTTTTTTTTTAAGGACGTGACGTCATGATTCCCTTGTATTCCAGAAGTTTGGTCCTTAAGGGGTTAAATTTAACCCCTGCTCTTGCTCCCTCTCCTCCCCATGTACTTACCGATCGCTGCCGTTCCCCCGCTGGCGATCGGTCTTCTTTTTAGGAGGGACTGGCTGGGCTGTCCAAATGTTTAAAAAAAATAAATAAATAAATAAAATGTCTAATATATCATTCTCCATGCGTGCTCTGTCAATATGTGCATGTATACAAATGGACAACAGATCTTATTGACAGACCATCTCTGTATTCCAGGCTGTGGTCAAAGCAATGGAGCTACTTGCTCAGCAAGGAAAGATCAAAGAGAAGGTTTATGGAAAACAGAAAATTTACTTTGCAGATCAGGTAATGAGAGGATGAGGGCCAAGGCTCCTGTGTGTGTTGTAGTGTTTTTTTTGTGTGTGTTTGTGTTTTTAAAAAGGCCTACAACTTGTGGAACCCACTGTAAATGCCATGCAATTTTCAGGAGCAGTTTCCTAGTGTGAGTGATTCAGAGCTCAAGGATCTTGATTCCAAAATCACAGAACTCTCCAGCAAGCTTCAGAGTTCTCAGCAGAGTTCTCGCCAACTGGAGTCAGGTATAAAAGCCACATCGACTTTTCACATTTCTAAATCTCTTGCCTTAATAACATTAAGCGTACAGTTGAAGCATGTTTGTTTTTTTCCTCTCCCCTTTGCCTGCCTTATTCACCCCAGTAAACTCTTAAGTAGCGTTTTGCATGGGGTGAGGAAACGAGAAAATGACAGTTTCGTTTTACAAAATATACTGTTCTACAACTCTCTTTTATAATGCTTTGGAATAAGTTTGGATCAATCACATTTTAACTGATACTACAAAATAAGTTATCAATACATTATGCAACTTTTGAGAAATATATGCTACCTATCATTGTTATTCCTGATAAGGCCAATTATGTTTGTGTGTCCCACCCTTCTAGAGTTGAAGGATTTGACAAGCTCCATGACCACCGAAGAGATGATGAAGGAAATGGCACAGCTAAAAGAAGAATGTGCCAGGTACCAGGAAAAACTGGTTAAAATAAAATCTGCCACCAACCATGTGACTCCAGAGGAGAAGGAGAAGGTAGGAGTATATCTTCTAGTTTAATTATCAATCTTGGAAATTCATTTTCATAACAGTGGAATAGGCACACAAATCATTTAGATAATCACTGAAAGCAAACTGGTTGACAATGAGATTTCAGATTTTTCTCATTTTTCCCTATGGATAAAGGCAGTACTCACATGTGGGGTTCCAGCCACTTCTTCACTGGACAAGCAGAGCATTGTAATCCAAACCTTTTTAAAATGAGGGACCTCCTCCAGTTTTTACCCTCTTTGGTATAAAACAACTTTTCCCCCATGAGCCCCCATTTTCTGCCTGTCCACTGATGCAGAGAAGGCCTTTGATAGTGTAAACTAGGAGTTCCTGTTTGCTATTTTGATGTGTTTGGGATTAGGACCACAATTATGTAGGTGGCTTCGAGCCATATACAAATACCCCTCTGCTCGGATCTGCCTTTGCCTTCTAACCCTTTTTAAACACCATCAGAAACAATCCCAACATATATGGACTCTTGGTTGGGAACAGATGCCACAAAATTGCTGATACACAATGACTATTTTATGTTACATTTCCAGAGGTGCAGAGCCTGAATATAATTGCATAGTTTTAGCTGTACAATGACTTATTCCACCTAAATATGAATTATTCAAAGTCTACTGTCCAAAATGTCTCCCTTTTGGAGTCGTGCCCTTCCTTGATCTTTTGGGGTTGCCCCTTGCAGTGGTCAGATTCTGCCATTAAATACCTGATGGTATGGATATCAGAGTTAACAGAGATTCTCTACCATTTGAACTTCTTTCCAATGCTTGCATTGTTTCATAGGGACCTTGACAACTAGGAGCTGCCATACCTCTCCCGACTTGGTAGCATTAGGGTAGTGAAAATGAATCTTATCCCCCATCTTCAGCATTTCTTCTTGACGTTGCCTATAGCAATTCTTGGTACTTTATTCTCAACCTTGCTCTCTCCACATTTCGTATACCTGGAGTAAGAGTAAATCCAAGCAGAAATTGTTGCAGCTCGACTTGCCATAGCCCATGGGAGGTTAGGTGGTCCTACATTTTAAGATGTTTTTTTACCAAGCTGACAACCTCTTGCAAGTGGTTGATAGAGCACTGGGAAGACGCTGGAATTTACATATTCTCTTATTAAGGCCACCCTGTCCATCTGGCACCAGGCTTAGAGGCTTCAGACCTGACTTCCCTGTTCCCTCAGTCACTTCCTCAGGTTAGACACATGCTCGAATCAGATGAATATATTGTAGTAAACTCACTAATTGCTCTGAACCCACTTTCGTGAAACTGTTTAATTACCAACAGGTAACAAACTGCCTTCTTAACCAGCATTCCACATGCCCATGTATTGACATCCTTCGCGGGACTGTGCCTGGAGCAACACCCGATGGAACATGGAAATTACTTTCTATGTGGCACTCTCCAGCGACAGATTGGATGTCCTGCCCCGCACCCCTTTACAAACTCTTATCACAATGGTACTGCATCCCGCAGGTGCTACAATCAATGGATCCTTCCTGGGATGGAGGCTTTTGAATATGCCAGAAAGTCCTGAACACCATCTGCCACATATAGTGGGACTGCACTAAGATAAAACCCTTTTTACAGAAGGAGTCATGACATGCTTGAAACGTGTTTTTTTGATCTGCCTCCTTCCTGCTGCATCACTCTACGACTGAGGCCTCTGCCTATAAGAAATGACCGTTCGAATACTGAGAAACACCTTATTCCTCTATTCTGGAGATGACCGCAGCCATCTTCAGTGCAACTTTGATTTACCAGGATGAAGGAATTCAGGGCAATGTAGGAATGATATTTGGCACCTTAGGCCACACCCAGACATATATTAAGATTTGGACCCAATGTCTAGTGACGACTGCATCCGATGACTTTCAGACAACCTTAGTACTTAACTGACATACTGTTAACCTTCCAAACGTTCAAAATGTATTATACAACCATTCGATTCTGGTATCCCCTTATCCCAGAAGCCTAAAATCATCCTTCTGTTTTTTTTTTGTTTTTTTTTAAATCATCTCATGAAAATGTCAATTCACGTTTATAGTTGATTTTTCAGATTATTTTTTTTTTTTCAACTATGTAAATTCCAGAGAAGTGTCATCTTTCTCATTTAACCTTTTTCTGATTTATTTATTTTTCCTGATACTAAGGCAATGGTGAATTTAGTTGCCCATCTTTTGTGTTCCATGCAGGTGTATAGTGAAAGGAAGCAATTTGGTAAGGAATGGAGAAAAAGAAAACGAATGGTAAGATTTTATTGGTTCTTGACTTATTTGTTATGATTTTGAATTCATTAAAGATTTTGACGGTTTAGTTAATGAAGACACCACATAGGAATTCATAGTCAAGGCCTAATGGTGGGGAATGCATAATGTGTGCACGACTGTTGCTGCTCATTTGAGTTTTTCCCATGCTGATGTCTGGGGACCAATAGCCCAATCTAGCAACGAGGGTAAACTGTGCTTGAATCAGGTAAGTGTTTTAAAGGATTATTTAACCTTTTCATGGGTGGCGGAGTTGGAGTACAGAGGGAGAGGGACACTATTGTTAGGAATACAGTTTTGTATTCCTAACACTATTGTTCCTTTAAATGATTATATATTAGGGGAAAGTCTGATGGGGGAGGCGGCGGACTGTTCCATCAGAATTGAGCTGTCCATGTGAAGTTCTTTAAGCACACGTTAGCAGTATGGATGAAAGCAGGAGAAGGTCAAAGCGGAGTGGCATAGAAGCAGTTTACCTATGGATTGGTGCAAAAATCTAGCTGCAGTAGAGTTGTTGAGAGCTTTGTAGGTAAGAGTTAATATTTTGACTGAAATAAGAGAAAAATAAGTGGCAGAAGCAATTATTAACTGTATCATGACTGTATGGTTTCTGGAGAGACCAATTAGGAGAGAATTATAGTAGTCGTGAGAAACTACAGGTGCATGCACTTAATAACATAGCTTAAGAAAGGGGCACATGCAGGCAATATTTTTCAAGGTGGAATTGGCAACAGATTAGATACGAGGTGTAATGGTGCGGTCAAAAGATAACACCAAGGTAGTGAGCAGGCTGATACTCGTAAAGGAGCAGGATTACTATTATGAGGCTATAAGAAGCTCGATTTTTAGATCTAGTGAGTTTTAGAAAGCAGGAGGACCTGCATTTGTAGATGGGAGAGAGAGACAACTGGAGGCTCTGTCTAGAACTGTGAGATCAGGGAGAAGAGGTATATCTGATTGTCAATAGAATCCATTAGAATTCATGAGTTTGCCAAGTTGCATAGTATGAAAGAAAAACAGAAGGGGACTGAGAACAGAGGCGTAGGGAACTCCAACAAAGAACGGATGAAGGGAGGAGGCTATGCTAGAAAAGGAGACACTGAAGGATCGCTGGGAGAACTAAGATGAGAACAAAGTGTCACAATGCCCGAGGTAGTGAAGAGTTTGGTGAAGGAGAATATGTTCGACATTGTCAGAGGCAACAATTGTGTGGCGTAGTGGCTTTTGGATTTAGCTGCAATTAGGTCATTAATTAGTTTAGTCAGAGCTTTCTCTGTAGTATAGAAAAGGCAGAAGCTAGAATGAAGAGGGTCAAGGAGGACTTTGAGAAAGTGACAGACTGTTCCATATTGTTGTAGAAGCATTTATAGAGAAAGGGAGCAGAGATATGGGACAGTAGTTAAATGGGGTGATGAGTCAAGAGACGTGGTGGGTTTTTTTTTTTTGTTTGTTTGTTTTTTTCAGAGAGGTACAACAGTAGCATGTTTGGGGAGTGGGGACAATGCCAGAAGAAAAAGAGCATTTGGACATGTGCGTTAAGGGCAGGAGAAGACCAGGGGAGAACTGATAATGTAAGTGGGAATGGGATCAAGGTGGGGTGAGAGGGACAGAGAAGTGTAGATACCTTCTATTTAGTAGCTGGGGACAAGGCCTTAAAGGTAAAAAGCACAGCCCAAGTGAGATTGAGAGGGGGAGAATTATTTCCTTTAACGGATTGATTTTCTCCATAAAATAGTGTGCAAAGTTCAGCTGTACATTTAGCATGGGGAGTGACCACAGCAGGGCAAAGCAGATAGTTGAAGGAATCAAAGAGATACCTTGGATTGTGAGAGTATGTACTAATGAGAGAGGAAAAGTAGCATGAATATGTAATGGAGAAAATTATTGACACGGTGCAAGACTTCCTCCAGAGTGTTTTTATAGGTAGTGGCACGGTTGAAGGCAGAAATCCACCTTGAGTTATATGATTTGAATGGGCCTGCATTGTCAAGGGCAGAAGTGAGGGTGATGCACAATGAGAATGTAGGGATGGATTAGAGTTGAGAGTGGAGTTAAGCTGACAGTTTCTGAAGTTCAAGAGAATTACCAGATTTTACTAATTACATGACGTAAAGTCATGATTTTATAAAGGACACGGAGGCTCTTATTAGGCTTTATCTCTTTCTTTATTCCTCAGGAGCAAAGAAAGGATATTGATATTTTTTAATATAGCAATAACAAAAAGAGAAAACAAATACCCTTAAGGGTTAACCATATAACATTCCATATCCATTAACCAATAGGATCAGTCCTTGTACTATATCCCTTCATGTGAGGTAAACTACTTCCTCTTTCTGGCTGACGCCGAAGCTGAACACATCAACAAGGAAAAAAATTTCTCAAACTTGGGTAATCTTTCGTAGGGGTTCCGGCGAATGTTCCAAATAATGTCGAGATAGTGGACGATCCCGGTTATGTCATCACAGGGTTAAGCTGTAGGAGACAGAGAGATATATGGTAAAATATATTCGAATATCGTTGTCATGCATATATGTTGTACCGGTCCTTAGACAAACGTTTATATCTGAAAACATTGCTTGCGACATTCTAGCATAAATCAGTCTAAATTGCAGTTATTACCTTATAACTTAGATTCTAAACATCCAAAATGCTATAACTTGTTTATGAGCGAGTGGGTGGGAAAAAATGCATGTACGGCTTACCTTTCAGTGGGCGGGCTAATACTCGCCTCCGTGTCCTTTAAAATCATGACTTTACGTCAGGTAATTAGTAAAATCTGGTAATTTTATTAAAGGACACGGAGGCTCTTATTAGGCTAGTTTAAAGCTGTGATATGACCCTAGATGAGATATGTTCTGTTGGTCTAAAGTAGTATTCCTTGAATGTCGATTCTCGGGACCAGTTAGCTGTGCGGAGGAGGTCTTCCAGTTTACATCCAATGGAGAATGCTTTAGAGGCCATAGCGCCTCTGGTAGAGTGTGCTCCGTAAGCGGCCGTGTCGATGTTAGCATTTGACATTATCCATTTCACCCAACGTGTCAGAGTTCCCGTGGATACTGGTTGATGAGGTTTCCTCACTGCCAAGAATAAATTATGTGTGTTTGGGTTCCGGAATGGCTGGGTCCGTAATTCATATTCCTGCAGGCATGCTACCGGGCAGAGGTTAGCGTTGTGAGGAAAGGAGGGATAGAAGACTGAAGTGGTGTTCGACTTTGTACGTCTGGTGATATTAAACAGGACACCATCCGGTGTGAATGATCGTGCATCGATATCCAAGGCCCTCACGTCTGATACCCGTTTGCAGGAAATTAAGCATAGAAGCATCGCCAATTTTGCAGACACTTGCTTGAGTGTTAGGTTCGAGTTTGGGGGCCAATCTTGCAACAAACGAAGGACCATATTCACATCCCATAGGGCCGTGTAACGAGGTTGTGGCGGACGTGCAAATTTTATGCCCCGTAGGAGACGACAGATCCATAAGTGCTTCCCAGCCGGGAAACCTTCCCAACCAGTGTGCCCAGCTGAAATCGCTGACCTGTAGACATTTATGGTGCGATAAGCCAAGCCTTGATCATAAAGGGTAGTAAGGAAACCCAAAACCTGGTTTATAGGAGCACGTATGGGATCCACGTGCCGTTCCACGCACCAACTACACCATGTGTTCCAGGCATGGGCATAGGAACGTCTTGTCCCTGGGGCCCAAGCTCCTGCCAATAAGTCCAAAGTTGCTTGTGAAACATTCGGCATGGTCCAGGGTCCCCGGAGAGGAGCCATGTGAGGAGTCTGAGATGACCTTGCACCAGAAGTGGATGAGAGTTCCCATCGGGGTCTGATAATAATTCCGTGCTCCCTGGAATCAATCTGGGGAGGTCGATTGACATTTCCATGAGCGAAGGGAACCATGGCTGTGCTGTCCAGAACGGTGTTATCAAAACCAACGATGCTCGGGAGCGCTGTAAGTGTAGGAGAGTTCGCGCTATGAGTGAGAAAGGGGGGAAGGCGTATAGCCTGGTGTTCGGCCAATTTTGTAGGAAGGCATCCACTGCCGTGGCGTCTGGGTCCGGTCTCCAGCTGAAGAATGAGGGGAGTTGAGCATTCAGTCGGGAGGCAAAAAGGTCGATGTGCATCGGTCCCCAGAGTTGGTGGAGCTTCTGGAATACTGTGCGATTCAATCGCCATGCACTGTTGTCTCGTAAATGCCTGGAGTGCCAATCCGCTACGGTGTTGGAGAGGCCTGGGAGGTATTCCGCCTGTACGGATATGTTGCGACTCAGGCAGAAATGCCAGAATTCTTTCGCCAAGTTCGTGAGGGTTGAGGACCTCGTGCCACCCAAGTGGTTGATGTAGCGGACGGCTGAGACATTGTCCATGCGCAGGAGTATGGAACAATTGGTCGTGTGTCCGAGGAGGCTCCGTAGGGCGAATGACCCAGCCAGGAGTTCCAAACCATTGATGTGGAGTTCTTTTTCTTCGGAAGACCATTTTCCACCTGTAGAGGTAGGACCACAGCGGGCCCCCCATCCCAGTCTGCTCGCGTCGGATTCTATGACTAGATCCGGAGTGGCGCCGAAGATTGCCTTGCCGTTCCATGCTTCCATGTGTTGAAGCCACCATGCCAGTTCCTCTTTTGCCGCGCAGTCTAGAGGTACAGAATCTGAATAGGAGTGACCCAAGCGTAGGTGAGTTGCCTTGAGTTGTTGTAGGGATCTGTAGTGGAGAGGGCCTGGGAAGATCGCTTGTATAGAGGCCGAGAGCAGGCCAATTATCCTGGCTAGCTGTCGGAGGGTTAAGACTGGTCGAGTCAACGTCCTCCGGATTTCCTTCTTTTTTTTGTCATTCACTTTTTATTATTGTTTCACATATCCTGTACAGGATACCAATCAAAGGCGTTATACAGTGAGGAAACAGAGAAACATGAAAAAAAAAAGGCAACATTCCCTTTACAGCGGTTGTGTGGCAATTTGTCCCTTTTCCTCCCTTCCCTTGCAGCGGTCTTCCCGTCTGATCCCCGCCCTCCCACCCCCCTCCCCTATCCGTCCTACGCTTACATGCTCTATGCTATCATTGCTTGCAGACACAGTACCTACAATTTCCGCCCATCGAGTAGCGTTGTTCATTGTATAGAGGCCTGAGCCTGCCACTCGCCCATGTTATATGGACCCCCTCTAGGGCTACCAACTTTCCTCTCGCCTTACATCCTGGGGTTTAGTTCGCCTCACTGTGAAGACTATGGGGCTCTCTCTACCTCCTGTCGGAAACGGGTATAACTCTGTGGGACCCCTCACTCGGTCTGGGTCCCGTCCAGGAGGATGGTGTTGGTTTAGTTACCTGCATCTCCACCTCCAATGGTGGGACCCTCGGGGTGGAGGGCTCCCGTCCGTGTTCCCGGCGGATGTCCGCCTGTGTCGACCAGTGCCTATCCTGTTCTTCCCGTATCTAGTAGGGTGCTGTCGACCTTATAGTCTTGTCACCCTATTACCCTATTTGTATCTATTGGTCTGGAGCGGTCTTAAGTTCTCTCTGTCGGGAAGAGTCAGATGTTGTGTTAGCGTCCGACGAGGGTTATGGGTGTCCTACTAGGCTTACTGTGTAATACGTCTTGAGTCGGTGTGGCCTCGGTCTTACTGCTACTCATGCTGCACCCTTCTCAAGGTAGGAGCTCCAGGGATACCATTTGAAGGCGCACTTGTCCGAGCGCTCCTGCAGGGAGGCCGTCACGAGTTCCATTTCGTGGATGGCTTCCACTCTATCCACCCACTGTCTATATGTGGTGTGATAAAGTGAAGGCAGATAGGCCTTTTAACCCCAGGGGGAGTATGTGTAAGATGTGTTGTAGGCAACACAAAACACTGTTTACTTATGGGCCCCTGGGGTGGAGCACTTGGAGAGAAGGGTGGGCCAATGCTCCACTCCACAGTTTAGTGGTTTTCTGGGGAGACATAGATCCAGGCCAGGGTTTTTTGGATTGTCTCCAACCCACTGCTCAGCTGCAGTTAATGAGCTATTGCAGTGGGAATAAACTCCTCCCGGCTAGGCAGGAAAAGGAGAGTAATTGCTGGCTTCCTCCCAGGAAGCAGGTAGGAGAGAAAGGCTGTTCTCTCCAGATAGTCAAGGCTGGCTTGGAGCACTGGGAGTGCAGAAAGGAAGCAGACAGGGCAAGACTGGCTTGGAGCACTGGGAGTGCAGAAAGGAAGCAGTCAGGGCAAGGCTGGCTTGGAGCACTGGGAGTGCAGAAAGCAAAGCAGTCAGGGCAAGGCTGGCTTGGAGCACTGGGAGTGCAGAAAGCAAAGCAGTCAGGGCAAGGCTGGCTTGGAGCACTGGGAGTGCAGAAAGGAAAGCAACAGGTTAGATAGCAGAGCGTTGCTCTCTAATAAGGTTGGTGCAATATTGTGTTTAGTTTAACCCTGAGAGATAGGGAACTAATGTCAGTTAGTGCTCAGACGAGCTAGGTGTTTGTTTATAGGGTTTTCTGTTACTTTATGTTTTAATTTACTGCTGTATCCTGTGTGGATTTACAAATAAAGTGCCTGAGTATATGCAATTACAAGGACTGTGCATGTTTTTGCCCTAGAGGACCGTGCTACCTGGTGACAAGGATCACAGTGGGGATTGTCTGGGCCTTCCAGTGTAGGGGTATGAGTGTTTTGGCTGCGGTGAGCAATTGTATGGTGAGCGAGTTTTTGTATTTGCTCAGGGGTGTAGGTGTATGGTTCAGGAGCATCTGCAAGGGTTGGAAGGGGAGGTCTGTGTCTGTAATCTCCCTGATCTTAGTATTAATCATCTGCCAAAATGGAGCTATGTGTGGGCAAGACCACCAAATGTGCAGATATGAGCCTGGTTCCGTCCCACAACGCCAACACTCCCCCACGTCCGCCCGTGTCAGGTGTCTAAGAGTATCAGGTGTGCGGTACCACCGTGTCAAAAGTTTGTAACTAGTTTCTTGAAATTTGGAACTAATCGAGCACTTATGGGTCAGCAGAAAGATTTTTCCCCATTCTAGATCCGTCAACTGGGTTCCAGTCTCTTGTTCCCATCTACCGGTGAATCCCAAGGGACCCGAATCTGCCGTCCGCATGAGGGACCCGTACATACGGGAAACACCGTGTTCGATATGTTTCCTATCGGTGCATAGTTGTTCAAACTCTGTAAGCTGCCTATGTATATGGGCCTTCCCCGGTAGGTGTGCGTGATATGCCTTTATCTGGTGATAATGGAAAGAGTCCAGCGGCGTGGGGAGTCGATTTCTCCCATTAGGTCCCGTAAGCTTCTGATCTTGCCACCCTCGCTCCATTGATGTAGATAGTTCCAGTCCGAGGCTTGGAAGCGTGTAAGAGCCGCCGGATATAATCCTGCCGCCAGGTCTGGATTAAACGTGATGGGAGTCAAGGGGTTCGGGGAAGTCGTCAGCTGCCGGGCGTAGCGCAGCTTACACCAGACTTTCAGTGTGGCGTCTATGATAGGGTTAGTAGTCTGAAGGTCCCTATAGGTGGCTCTCCCCAGCCATAGTCTGGATGGGATGCCTCCTCGCGTTTGTTCCTTCTCCAGGGTCACCCATCGTTTAGGTCCCGGGAGGGCGTGCCAATCGATTATCCTGTGCAGGTGCGCGGCTTGATAGTACATGAGTAAAGATGGCAACCCCACTCCTCCTTCCATCTTGGGGCGCTCTAGGGTCGCCCGGCGGATACGCGTCTGTCTCTGGTTCCATACAAACTTGCGTATGACCGTGGTTGCTAACCGGAAGAATTCCTGTGGGATCTGCGTGGGCAGGGTTGCAAACAGATAAAGCAGTCTCGGAAGTATATTCATCTTGATTGCGCTAATGCGACCGAACCATGTGAGATACAGTCCTGACCATCGTGCCAGGTCCTGTTGTATAGTTGTGAGCATAGGAAGGAAGTTGAGTTGGTACAGGAGGGAGAGGTCCTTCGGCAGCCAGGTGCCCAGGTAGCGGACTTTTGTTTCCCGCCAGGCAAAGGGGAATTGCGAGCGGAGGTGGTCGGCAAGGTCCCTCTCGCGTGTTATCAGCCTGGCTTCCGACTTATCAAGATTCAGTTTTAGGTGTCAAGGTTGGACACTTTACCATACGCGGCAAACGCTTGTAATAAGTTTGGTATGGAGATCACGGGCTGCTCCAGGAAGAAGAGCATGTCGTCCGCGTAGGCTGCCACCCTGTGTTCTTCGCTCCCTATCCTAACCCCCGTTATTCCCCCATCCCGTCTGACCGCCTCCAGGAACGGTTCCAGGGTGAGGGCAAACAGGAGGGGGGACAAGGGGCAGCCCTGCCGGGTCCCATTGCTGATGGAAAAGGCTTCTGTCAGGGCCCCGTTGACGCGTATCCTTGCTGTTGGTGTGGTGTATAGGGCTGAAACCCAGCCGCGCATGTAGGGCCCTGTCAGGGTACCTGTTGGTGATGTATCCAGGGAGGACATCCTCTCTGCTTAGGGCCTCCCTGCCCCTAGCATTTCGGCATATTCCGGCCGTTTTCGCGCCGGCCGCGCTAGCTCCTCCCCCTTTTATGACGCGACGGCTAGCGTCGACGTCATGACGTCGGCATTTGCATAAAGTGCCGGGAACCGCTATTCCGGACCTTTTGGGGGCGTGGTCTCTATTTAGGTACAGGGTATTTAAAGGAAACCTTTACTACTGCTCATTGCCCTGTCGTGGTTCTAGCTTGCTAGTCACTCAGCGCGTTCTTTATCTTGTGTTTCCGGTTTTGACCCTTGCTTGTCTTTTGTCCTGTTGTCCTCTCCTCTCCTTTGACTCGGCTTGTATCTCGCTTACCTGTCCTCCGGCTCCCTTGACCTCGGCTTACCTTTTGACTATTCTTGCTTTGTCCTTACGTTAGTCCGGCCATTCTAAGGTCCGGTATACGTACCTCCTTCTGTGCGCACTCTGCGTATTGGATCCCTGTCACTTTCCTGACATTACGACAGGGCCATGATGGATCCTGCAGGTGCTAGCCCTCCTGACCCCAGATTTGAGGCCATGGACCATAGAATGGACCAAATGGCTTTAGCGTTACAAACTTTGTTAACACGCTCCAGTACCCAGTCTGAAGAAATACGTTCCACTGCTAGCCAATCGCTAAGTACTGGTTTGGAAGTAGCCACTGTAGGCGCATCTTCCCATGTCACGTCACCTTTACGATATGGGGGTTCGCCTGATGCTTGTCGTGGTTTTTTAAACCAGATAAGCATACATTTCGAACTACAACCCCGGGCTTATCCCACTGACAGGGCTAAGGTAGGCTTTATTATAACCCTGCTAATAGATAAAGCACTTAGATGGGCCAATCCCCTTTGGGAGAATGACAATCCTTTAGTCTACAACTACACTGCGTTTGTCACGGCTTTTAGAAGAACCTTTGACCCCCCAGGGAGGAAGATTAATGCGGCCAGATCCCTGTTACGCCTTAAACAACAAGATAGGACCCTTGTAGAATATGCTCTAGAGTTTAGATCATTGGCAGCAGAAGTGAAATGGAACGAACAAGCTTTTATGGATGTTTTCTTGAATGGGTTGTCTGATGAAATTCTAGATGAAATTGCCACAAGAGAACTTCCGGAAAATTTAGAGGATTTAGTATCCTTCATTTCCAGAATAGATGAACGCATGAGACAGAGGCAGAACACTCGGGAAAGAGTTACTAGACTTCCTGTAAGACTCGCTCCCTCATTTCAGAACCCTGACTCCTATAATCCCACTCCACCAGAACCTATGCAAATAGGTAATACTCGCTTATCTGAGGCTGAGAGACAGTACAGAAGAAGGGAGGGTCTCTGTTTATACTGCGGGCGGAGAGGTCACCTACGTCTTAGTTGCCCTAATCGTCCGGGAAACGCTCGCACCTAAGTTCCCTTAGAGGACGGGCCTTGGGTGTTTCATTACTGTCCTCTATGCATAATAAAAAGACCATAGGCTTCTGATTCCTGTCTCTCTAGCTTGGGAAAAGGGGTTTATTGCTACAATGGCATTATTAGATTCTGGAGCAGCAGAAAGCTTTATAGACCAAACTTTCGCTAATAAGCATGGTATCCCATTCCAATTGAGAGATACACCCTTGGCCGTTGAGGCCATAGATGGTAGACCTTTATCTGAACCAGTAATATTCCATGAGACCGAACCCGTTAAGCTTACTGTTGGTATTTTCCACGAGGAGTTGATTTCCCTTCTGTTAATTTCCTCCCCGGCAGTCCCAGTGGTACTAGGATATTCTTGGCTCAAGAGACACAACCCTCAGATTGACTGGGAGGGTGGAGAAATCGTTTCTTGGGGTATGGGTTGTAGGAAAGAATGTCTGCAGAGAGTTACTTCTGTTTGCCCCGTAAACTCTTATGTTAACACTTCTCAATCCACAGACATTCAGATACCATTACAATATCTAGACCTCAAATCTGTATTTGACAAGGGTAAGGCGGATACTTTACCTCCCCACCGGTCTTATGACTGTTCTATTAAACTTTTCCCTGGTACTATGCCTCCCAGGGGTACGGTATACCCTCTATCCACCAAGGAAAACTTAGTTTTAGAGGAATATATCAAGGAGAATTTAGACAAAGGATTTATTAGAAAGTCTTCTTCTCCGGCGGGGGCGGGTTTCTTTTTTGTAGAAAAGAAAGACGGTACCTTACGTCCTTGTATAGACTATCGGGGATTGAACAAAATTACTATCAGAAATGCTTACCCTATTCCTTTAATTACTGAACTCTTTGACAGACTAAGAGGCTCGAGTATTTTTACCAAACTTGATTTAAGAGGAGCATATAACTTAGTGCGAATTAAACAAGGAGATGAATGGATGACAGCATTTAATACCCGTTACGGGCATTATGAGTATACCGTAATGCCGTTTGGGCTTTGTAACGCCCCGGCCGTCTTCCAAGACTTGATCAATGAAGTTCTTAGAGAATTCCAACATGAATGTGTAATTGTATATTTGGATGATATACTAATCCATTCTAGAGACATTAATTCACATCATAGACAAGTCAGAAAGGTATTACAGAAACTTTTACAACATGGATTGTATTGTAAATTGGAAAAATGTAGCTTTGACCAGTCTCAGGTAACTTTCTTAGGTTACGTAATTTCCAAAGACGGGTTTATGATGGACCCGACCAAACTAAAATCGATTTTAGATTGGCCTTTACCTAAGGGACTCAAAGCCATACAAAGATTTCTTGGATTTTCTAATTATTACAGACGTTTTATTAAAGGGTACTCCTCTGTTATCGCTCCTATCACTAATATGACCAAACAAGGAGCCGATACCAAAACCTGGTCTACTGAGGCTTTATCTGCTTTCGAAACGCTCAAACAGTCTTTTGCCTCAGCACCTGTATTAGTTCATCCTGATACCTCTCTACCCTTTTTACTTGAAGTTGATGCGTCTGAAACAGGGATAGGCGCAGTGTTGTCCCAAAGACAAAGTTTAGATAAGCCGCTGCACCCTTGCGGTTTTTTTTCCAAGAAACTATCACACACTGAAAGGAGATATGACATTGGTGATAGAGAACTTTTAGCTATCATTATGGCATTAAAGGAATGGAGACATTTGTTAGAGGGCACCGTCCTCCCAGTTACTATCTTGACTGACCACAAAAATTTATCGTATATGGGGGAGGCCAAAAGATTATCTGCCAGGCAGGCACGTTGGTCTATGTTCCTTACACACTTTAATTATATGCTTACTTACAGGCCTGGTTCTAAGAACACTAAGGCAGACGCTTTGTCACGCCAGCACGAACCTATCACCTCTACAGAGGACACTTTGTTCCCTATTATTCCTGAAGTCAATATTATTGCCAACACCAATGTCAAAATACACTCTCCATTGCTCGCTGATATTATGAACGAACAATCTCTTGCTCCCGAACGTACTCCTGTGGGCCGCTTGTTCGTGTCCCCCAAATTCCAAGTGGACATTATTCGCTGTTTCCACGATAGCAAGTTCGCTGGTCACCCCGGCATCCACAAAACTTACTGCCTGATCTCCAAAGACTTCTGGTGGCCCGGATTACGTAGGGATGTGGAAGACTTTGTCAAGGCTTGCAATGTTTGTGTCAGGAATAAACTTCCGCGGGATCTCCCTTGTGGTTTATTGCAGCCCTTAGTCGCTCCCAACAAACCTTGGGCTTGTTTGGCTATGGATTTTATTGTTGATCTACCAGCTTCCAATAGGCATACAGTTATCCTCACGGTCCTTGACAGGTTTACTAAAATGGCTCATTTCGTTCCCTTGCCTAAACTTCCGTCCTCCCCCGAACTGGCCGTGATATTTGCTAGAGAAATTTTCCGTTTACATGGTATTCCCAATGAGATTGTGTCAGACAGGGGTTCCCAATTTATTTCCCGTTTTTGGAGATCCTTCTGTTCACAGTTGGGCATCAAACTGAATTTTTCTTCGGCCTATCATCCTCAATCTAACGGAGCAGCCGAACGCACTAACCAAAAAATTGAGCAATATCTACGTTGTTTTGTTTCTGAACACCAGGATGACTGGGTCGGTCTGATTCCTTGGGCGGAGTTTGCTCACAACAACCTTGTTTGTGGTTCCACTCATAATAGCCCCTTTTTCTTGAACTATGGCTTTAACCCTACTGTTCTTCCGTCGGTGTCTCCTTCCCAGGGTATACCGTCGGTTGATATTCATATAGCCAACCTGAGAAAGTTGTGGGATCAGACTCGACAAATTCTTGAACGTAGTTCCGCGGTGTTTAAGTCACATGCTGATAGGCGTAGACGTCCTGCTCCTATTTTTTCTCCGGGGGATAGGGTCTGGTTGTGTACCAGACACATTCGCCTGAAAGTTCCTTCCTTGAAGTTTGCTCCTCGTTACATTGGTCCTTACAGGGTACTGAGGAGGATCAACCCGGTTTCTTATTTGCTGGATCTACCTCCTACTCTACGCATCCCTAACTCTTTTCATGTGTCGTTATTGAAACCTCTTGTTTGTAACAGATTTTCCTCCCGCTCTGCTCCTCCATCCTCGGTCCGTGTGGATGGTCAGGAGGAATATATCATCAAGTCCATCCTTGATTCTCGTATTTCTAGGGGGAAGCTGCAATACCTCATAGACTGGAAAGGCTATGGTCCAGAAGAGAGGTCTTGGGTTCCTGGTATAGACGTGCATGCTCCTCGTCTTCTTCGGGCCTTCCACGTTCGTTTTCCTTCTAAGCCAGGTCCCATCCGCCCGGTGGGCGTTTCTAGAAGGGGGGGTACTGTCAGGGTACCTGTTGGTGATGTATCCAGGGAGGACATCCTTTCTGCTTAGGGCCTCCCTGCCCCTAGCATTTCGGCCCGTTTTCGCGCCGGCCGCGCTAGCTCCTCCCCTTTTATGACGCGACGGCTAGCGTCGACGTCATGACGTCGGCATTTGCATAAAGTGCCGGGAACCGCTATTCCGGACCTTTTTGGGGGCGTGGTCTCTATTTAGGTACAGGGTATTTAAAGGAAACCTTTACTACTGCTCATTGCCCTGTCGTGGTTCTAGCTTGCTAGTCACTCAGCGCGTTCTTTATCTTGTGTTTCCGGTTTTGACCCTTGCTTGTCTTTGTCCTGTTGTCCTCTCCTCTCCTTTGACTCGGCTTGTATCTCGCTTACCTGTCCTCCGGCTCCCTCGACCTCGGCTTACCTTTTGACTATTCTTGCTTTGTCCTACGTTAGTCCGGCCATTCTAAGGTCCGTTATACGTATTCTCATTCTGTGCGCATTTGCGGGGATCCTGTCACTTTCCTCTGACAGGCCGAAGCCCATGTGTCGCAGCGTCTCAGCCAAAAAGACCCAGTCGACCCGGTCAAACGCCTTTTCGGCGTCAGTCGATAGGAGGACCGTAGTTTTCTGGGCCTTACCAGCCACGTGTATAATGTTAAGCGCTCTTATGGTGTCGTCCCTCGCCTCCCTGCCCGGAATGAAGCCCACCTGGTCCGGGTGGACAAGATCCGGCATGATCCTCATGGATAGGGCCTTAGTAAAAAGCTTCAAGTCCGCGTTTAATAGCGAGATAGGCCGATAACTTGCACAATTAGCGGGGTCCTTGCCTTCTTTGGGGATGACCGTGATTGTAGCCGCTAGGGAGTCCGCGGGGAAGCTCCCCGTGTCCCGTAAGGAGTTCAGACCCATCAAAAGGCGCGGTAGGAGCGTGTCCTGGAACGTTCGGAGATAGGCGAGCGGAAAGCCATCTGGTCCTGGGGCCCTATGTGGTTTGGACCGTTTCAAGGCTGCGTTGAGCTCCTCCAGCGTCAGGGGGCACTCCATTTCTTCGGCAAGCTCCGGTGACAGTCTGCGGGTTACGTTGGTATCTAGATATTCGGCGATTCCCCTCCGCCTGTGCTGTTCTGAGGCTTCTCGGGTACCTGTCCGTGAGTTGTAGAGGTCCGTCTAGTAGGCCCGAAAGGCTCCCATGATTCCAGTAGGCATGCTGTGGATCCTACCCTCTCGGGTACATATCTTATGAATGTGAGATGATCTCCTCTGTTTCCGGATCATTCTGGCCAAGAGTTTGCCGCACTTATTAGAGTACTCGTAAAAAAACCGGGCCGACTTCCTTAGGGTGAGTAAGTGTCCCTGGGAGAGGTGGTCCCGGAGTGCCTTCCGTGCATTCGTCAATTGGAGGTATGTGTCATCGTCTACAGTCTGTTTGTGCGTGTTCTCCAGCGTTGCTACCGTCTTCAGGAGTTCTGCTATACGGTGCGCTTTCTCCTTCTTACGCTTGGTACCTATGGAGATAAAGTGTCCCCTCAAAACACATTTGTGCGCCTCCCATACCATTAGTGGTGCCACATCCGGGGAATCATTGTCTGCAAAATATTGGGTAAGGAGTTGTTGGGCTGTGGAGCGCGCCTCGAGGTCCGACAGTAACGTCTCATTGAGCCTCCATTGACGGTCTGCTGGTTTGAATAGAGGCGAGCGCATCTGCACCGTGACCGGGGCATGGTCCAGGTGGCACGTGGTCCCTATTGCGGCGCCCTGGAGTTGTGTCAGGAATTCCTGGGGCAGAAAGATGTAGTCAATACGGCTATACTGCTTATGTGTAGGGGAATAATAGGTATAATCCCTCTCTTCAGGGTGGGTAACCCTCCAGCTGTCGACCAACCCTACCGAGTTAAGGGCCCGTCTGGCCTTGTGAAGACAGTGTGTGGGTATGGCGCTAGAGCCCTTCGAGGAATCCACCCGCGGGTCCAACAGCAGATTCAGGTCACCCGCCAGAACCACAAATCCCTCCCTAAATCGTTCTAGTTTCGCTAACGTTTTGGCTAGGAAGGTGTGTTGTGCTCGGTTCGGGCTATAGACACAGGCGAACGTGTAGGCGTGGTCCGCTATGGTACCCTTGAGGAATAGGTATCTCCCGCCTGGGTCTGTGAGTAATTCTTTGTGTTGGTACGGGATCAAATGTGAGAAAAGGATTGCGACGCCCGTCTTCTTGGCGTCTGGGTGACATGCATAGTATCCTTGTGGAAATCGGTTGTTTCCGAGCTTGGGGTGGGCCCCACTCACGAAGTGCGTCTCCTGCAGGAACGCCACGGACACCCTCTCCGCCCAGAGCTGACGCAGCAACTGGGAGCGTTTCTCCGGGATATTAAGGCCCCTGGCATTGTGCGACCACAGCTTTAGCTGCGCCGGGCGCACCCGAGACCCGGTCTCCGCCCCCTCACGTCCCCCAGCCCGACCCACCACCGGGGCCGCCATAGGCACCAGTGTCCACCCGCGACCCGGGAGCGAGGCGGGGGAGGGGGCGCGGGAGTCAGAGCCGAGCTCCACCCGCAAGTGCAGTTAGGAAATGCAACGTCCGACCTTGGTCCGGGGTAACGTCTAGTAGTCCCTTACCTACTGACCGTCTAGACTCCGGCCCTTATATACAACTAAGGTCTGTTGCGTGGGGTGTGGTATAAACCACTTGTGTCGCCTGTCGCTCGTATATGTAGTGTCCGTCTGTGACCGGCCCCTCAGTCTCCCCCAACCCGCTGGTGGGAGTGTCCGTCGCCTGTAATCCCTGGGAGTAAAGGGGGTCCCTGCCCCGGGGTCCCCGCCGTCCCCCACTAGGGAACCTCCCCCTCCGTTTGCCTTGCTGCCCTCGGACTCTACATGACGGGCCTCCTCCCCCCTTTCCCCCCAGAGGTCCCCCGGGCTCTGGTACCGCTTGTGACCTATTGGTTACTTAAATTTCCTCTTGAATGGCTAGGCTTCTTCGCCGCCCTATGACCCTAAATGGGCCCCCCGCTGATCTTCAATCTGGTACCCCAACATCTGTCCTCCACGTGTATTATCGAACCAAAACATTAACACTTAACAACTGGGCCTAACCTGTACTGCGAGCGCTGCTCTAAGACACCTTCTTTGGTCTGCCCCGGCATCTTGTCTCTGGACCCCCTTTATGAGCTCCCATGTCCCTGCCCCGTGGAGAATTGTAAATTGTGGTGTAGTAGGTTTTGTTTTTTGTTTTTTTTTTCTCCCCCCCCCCTTAACTTCTTGTATGCCCTCCTCTCTCACTCTCGCCTCTTCCTGGCCTCGTGTAGCTGGGAACCCCTGCCACAAATAGCCAAAGGCCCCCCCAGGCCCGCCCCTCCCCATCTAAACCTATCCCCCGCAAAGTCTCCAACTGTCCAGCCGGGCACCCAGGTGAACCCCCCGAGGTTCAGCAGACCCCCCCCCTCATCCCCTGCTATGGAGCATTCCCCCCTGCGGAGTCCCAAAAGCTGAATGCGTACATGGCCCGTCCCCAACCCCGGACTGTTCCGTCCCACCCCCCGAGGCTACCCCCCTCCCAAACTTTACCGGAGCCCACCTGCTACCGGGGCGGGGGGGGACCCCACAGAACTGGGTCCGGGGGCAGCCCCCCCAGCCCCGATCTTACCCAATCGGGGGGCCGCATGCGGCTCTGCTACCAGGCTCCAGGGTGGGCATTCAGCTGTACGTCGGCGCCCCCCTCACCGGGGTCTCAGTCTCTGCAGGTCCACCTGGGTGTCGTGTACGGCCGCATAGGTCAGCTCGTCCCATACCCCCCTGAGTCCAGAGTCCCCAATTTCCCTGTCAGGTGCCGGGGGAGTCCAGGTGTCTGTTCACTCTTCTGGACCTCCCGGGCCGCGCCGGCGAGGTCCCAATGATGCTGCCGCTGAGAGAGTTTCTGCCGGGACATCAGGGCCCGTCGGACGGGCCGGCGGGCACTCCAGAATCCAATTCGGCACCACTACATGCGGGAGGCCCGCTGCCTGTAGAAATCTCGGAACTTCATTGGGCCAGCGTAGGATGTGCCACTGATTATCCACTTTGGCCTGGAGGCTGAATGGGAACCCCCATTTATACGGTATGCGCTTCTCCTGCAACAAGCTTGTGATGGGTTTTAAAGCTCTGCGGGCATCCAGGGTCAGCGAGGAAAGGTCGTGATAGAGGGAGATTTGTGCGTCGCCATATTGAATGAACCGCTGAGATCTGGCAGCCCGCATAATGGCCTCCTTTAGTGGGAAAGACTGTAAGCAGCAGATGAGGTCCCTAGGGAGACCATCTCTCCGCGGGGCTCGGAGTGCCCTGTGCGCTCTCTCAAAGCCGAACTCCACCGGTGCCTCGTCGCCTAGAATGTGGTGGAAGAGCCCCGTGAGGAGCTCCCTGGGTGATTCCCCTTCCGACTCCGGCATACCTCGCACGCGGATGTTGTTTCGGCGGCCCCTGTTATCGAGGTCTTCCACCTGGCGTCGGAGGTCCAGGATGATGTTCCCCTGTCGAGAAGCCGCCAGATCTGCTGATTGTAGGCGGTGAGAGGTTTGTAGGTGATCTTCCTCCAGGCTGTCCACCCTCTGCTCCAGCACTGCTAGGTCCCTCCTCATTGCCACGACCTCCTCTCGTATTGCCGCCCGGAGTTCCGCCACCATCGCTGCCTTATCACTGCGAGTCAGCATATTCGCAGAGATCGCTGTCAAGTCAGCTGACATTTGGCTCAATGTATCCCCACCCGGGGAACCTCTGGAGGAGCCATTTCCGCCACTCGAGCCCGGGGACCCGGGCGCCATCTTGTCTGGTTCCCGCGCTCCGCCAAGAATCTGCGGGGTGGAGAGATAGTCGTCCATGGGGCCCGGGGTATAATGCGTCGGGGCATGGGATGGCCTTGGGGTAACCCCTCGCTTAGTTTTCCCCATGATTGCGGTGATTTCGCTTCGTTAACCGGGCGTTTGGCGAGTTGGGGCCTAGGAGCACTCGTCAACTACGTCCTACTCCATGTACAGCTCGCCCCGCCCCCTTCCCGGATTTCCTTCTTGATAAGTTTTACTTTCGCGGTAGGAAGACTGAGCGTTCCGTGTACTGCGTCTATATCGAAGCCCAAAAACTCGAGTGTGAAGGTTGTAGGATCGATTTGTCCCAATTGATTAGGAAACCTAGGTTTTGCAAAAGGGTCACTGTCCAGAATAGGTGTTGATTCAGTAGGTGTGTGTCTTGAGAACACTCGCTTCATATTATGTTGTGCCTTATCTAGTGCCGTAAATGTGTTTACGTAATTACCCAGGGTCTTAACAAAATTGTCTCAGAATAAGCGACCTTTTGCCTGTGTTCCAGGCTCAGAGATTGCCAAATGCACTAGTTTTGGCTCGATTTTCATCAATATGGCTTTACGCCTTTCTGTGGCCAAAGCGGTGTTGGCATTTCCTATTAGGCATATGCCCCTCTGAATCCAGCCTCTGATGGCCATCAAGTCAATTGGGGTCCCCCCAGTAAGGGCCGCTTCGACCATATCGAAGATTTTAGCTATAGGCCCGAGTATGTCCAGGATCTTGTCCTGGCAGTGTTTTAAGGAGTAGTCCAAACCCTTCTTGGCCCTCCAACCTGACTTACCCAGGAATTGGGCGACCTTGGGATCCACTTCAGGGGTCACGCAAGCCATGTCTGGGACAGTGGGCCTTGGGCATTCCGCCCTCAGTTTGCTTCTTGTGGCCTTGTCGAGGGGTTTTCTGACCCTAGTCGCAATATAAACGGCCACATGAGTTGTGGGGTACCACTCCGCTGAACGCGGATTATGCAAGGTGTCGGGATCAAAAAGGGGTTCCCCTTGGGGGTCTAATACAGCGGACTCATCCGTCTCGCGCTCCGCGTCTAAAGCTGGAGGCGCGGTGTCGCTGCGTTCGGGGGACGAATTGTCTGAATTAATTGGGTCGATGTCATCGGACCCATCTGATACCTCCTCTGAGTCCGAGTCGGAGTCGGACGGATCAGATAGGGCTTTTGCCCTCTTCCAAGTCCGCACCGTTTTTGCCCGGCGGGGGGCTCTTTTACGTGGGAGCACCACGTCATCAATTTCAACAGGGCGCAACCTGTCCGTCTTACTGGTTCTGGAGGTAGCACCTGACAGATGGTGCGATTTGCACGTAGCCTTGCGGCCGCTAGGGACCATAGGCTTGCTATCAGTGGATATAGGGGGTGCCGAGCCCGGGTTGTGACCGGATGCCCTAATAGCAGAGGAAATAGAGTGGGACAGGGTGTCCGACATCGCCCCCATGGCAGTAAAAATGGCCTGTGTAACAGACCTACTCATCGTGGCATCCAGGAGCGCCTGGAACTCCTCTGAGTTCACGTGCTCCTGAGATGCGTCCCCAACTCCCCCAGTGACAGCAGCGTCTGTAGACAAGGCTGTCTTATCACGCTTGCTGGGTTTAGTAGGGGTGGGAGGGGGTGCAACTGTCTGTCTGTTTCTCAGCAGGGGACTGCATAGTGATCAGGAATGTGCACAGTAACAGTAGAGGGAGGCACTGAAATAAACCGTCACTATTGGACAAAATGCACACTTTCAGCACTGCAGAGGTTAATAAAACCAGCAGTATAGGGCAAGTGGCTGAGCACTTGAGTGAAATTAAAGGCAGGCACAGTTATAAAGAGGCACAAAGTATTTTTGGCACATATAATATGGCAGCTTACCGAGTGTTCCCTCAGGAATGACTCCTAGGGGACACTGGTAAGCTGCCCAACACTTCCCTCACCCAATCAGCTCGCGCCCCTCCCTGTCAGAGTGGCGCGGACCGCGGGCGAAAAGAGCGGCAAAATTGCCCTCAGTTAAGATGGCCGCCGCGATGCGCGAGTGCGGACCGCGCATGCGCGAGCGGCAGAAACAGCCGCCCGTCCGGCGGTGAAACTGCTCGTTCCGGGCCGGGGGGGGCGGGGGGGGGTGGGGATAGGATGCCTGAGTGACCCCCACCCGGGGAAGTGGAATGAGGGACGGGTTATAAACAACCCGAAAACGGCAGTGCAGGATGGGGCTTGCCTCAGGGAGGAGGCAAGCACCCTGCACTGGGAAACAGAGTAAAACAAACAGTAGTCAAATACACATAAAAATTGAATATTAGACAAAGAAAAACTGATATTTAAAATGAACAGTAGAAAAACAATAAGAATATGAATCAGGAGAAAACTGAACAACACAATATTTGAGGAGCTGAAAATATGTGGTACTTAGCTGAGGCAGCAGCAAAGAAAGAGGAAGTAGTTTACCTCACATGAAGGGATATAGTACAAGGACTGATCCTATTGGTTAATGGATATGGAATGTTATATGGTTAACCCTTAAGGGTATTTGTTTTCTCTTTTTGTTATTGCTATATTAAAAAATATCAATATCCTTTCTTTGCTGCTGAGGAATAAAGAAAGAGATAAAGCCTAATAAGAGCCTCCGTGTCCTTTAATAAAATTAAAGTTGTTCCTATGTTGGGGAGGATTAGGCTGAAGCTATTGGGTGAAGGGGCTCTTGAGATCAAAAGATAAGAGGTGCTGATCTGAGAGATGTAATGGAGTAGGTTAAGGGTACTGCCAGCTACGTGTGTGGGAGAAGTAGCCCACTTGGATAGTCTGCGAGAACAAGAAAAATAATTTTTGAGGCTACAGAGATCCGAGGAGGGGTCATTGGAATGTTGAGGTCCCCGAGCATTATGGATAAAATATTATGGATTTAATAACTGGACCTAGACCACTTCATTAAGTTGAAGTAGCCTGGGTAACTATTGTGGTCTATTGGCTGTCTGGATTGACTGCTACCTAGTAAGCAGTCACTGAGTGAAATTTCAGAGACCTTAGAGTCCCACAAGAAGTGGCACCTATGCCATATGTTTGCATTTGCTTTCCTATACCATTACCCGAAGTTTCATGTAGATATTTTTCATTTGTATGCAATCCTTGAAATGCCCATAAATTGTTAACAGACCTAGGGCATTTACATTGCTAAACCCAATTCTAAACATTGTGTACTAAATCTGGGTGTTTCTACTTCGTATACCCCATAGGCTAAGTACCTGTTAATGGTGTTAGGGAGGAACTTGATGCCATTTTTAAAATGTATGTATTCTCTTCCCACCCCCCCAGGCAACAGAGATATTTGACGCTATTCTTGAAGGATACCCAAAGAGCAAGAAACAATTCTTTGTAAGTGAATTAACCATGTTTTATGTCTTTTGTTTTTTTTTTTATCTTCACATCCTCTGTATTACACAAGAATTGCATTTTTAGGAGCTATATCTCACTGAGAGATTAATGTATTTTTCATATTTAGTGGGAAATTCTCACTTCCCAGAATTTTGTATTCTATTTACTTATTCCCTATTTCAAGGAACACTCCAAGCACTATAACCACTACAGATTGCTGTGGTTAGCTGTTCTAGAACGCTTTGACTTCTTACCTCGGGTCTACTATGGGCTGATCTTAATCACATAAGCCAGAGAGACTGTTCTGTCTATTTAAATACAGCTGACCCACTCAACTATCTGTAGTGGTTATGATGCTTGGAGTGTTCCTTTAACAAGATCTGAGAATTGAGGAATATTTAGCTATACTTAACGTAATTTTCTTTTCCTGCTGCTATCCATGGCAGCATGACAATCGGGTTAGCTCTGCCTACTTGGCTGCATAGGATAGAAAAATAAAGCTATAAATACCCCTCATACTATATAGGCTTTCAAATCTTAATTCCAAGCTTCTAAAAAATAATGTAGGGATGCAATGCATATATCCAGGAAAAGAAAATTACAGTACGTATGGCAACGTTTTTTCCTTAATTCTCGTACCTTGTTAAAGAAACACGCCAATCATCATAACCGCTGCTTGGTGTCAGATGGGCTTAATCTAACCACGCTAATCATCTGATAGGAGGGATATAGAAACAAACAACAAATAAGTCTTCAAAATCAGAAATCTGTTAAAAGGAATAACATCCTCTGTATGTAGAATGTATGGAACTTATCTAAATGGGCAATAAGGTTCTTCTCACAGAGTGTCCAAACCGTGCGATAGGTGAGCTGAGAACAAAACCTATCCGTTGCACTCAAAAATAGCGAGACCATGGCTGTGCAAACGGCAGGACTGCAGATCCACAACAGCCATGCTGACTTACCAGCTTTAGAAATGGCAAATCACAATGGAAACTGGAGCTCTACAACACCCAGGGATACTTCAATCACCCACTCCTGGGATAGACCATAACCCTCAGTTATACAGACATGGAAGAAAACCAAGTTAGGAAATTAATAAGAAAAAATGTTATGACATGGAAAACCTCCCACTCATTGTCTAATGCAGGAGGTACCCAAAATTTGTATTTAATAGAAAGAATGGGAGAAGAATTAGGGAAAAAAAGAGCCCACATCAAAATACTATAATTTAATATTAATTTGCAATTTTTATAGCGCTTTTCTCCCTGTGAGACTTAAAGCACTTTCCAAATATACAAATATAAGTTTCTGAAGGTCAGCTTAGCGTACTAAAGGCCTGATGGAAGACTTGAGTCTTTAGGTTTTTTTTGTTTGTTTTTTCTTCTCTGATTGCGCACGGTAAAGAGTTCCAGAAGGTAGTGGCAGCGTGGCTGAATGCCCTGGAACCTGAGTCTTTCTTTATTCTTGGCACTGACAGGAAGGATTTGCTGGTTGACTGAAGTGAACGGGATGGAATGTAGGGTGTCAGGAACTCTTTCAGCTACTGTGGGCCTTGATTGTTTAAGGCTTTGAAGGATAGCAGGCCAATTTTAAAATATGTACGCCATTTAATTGGAAGTCATGCAGGAGTGGAGAACAGGTGTTATGTGGCAGGAGCGAGTTTGATTGGTCGGTAGTCTGTTTGCTGCATTTTGTACAGTCTGAAGGCGATTGAGTGCTTTTTCTGGGAGGCCCAAGTAAAGTACATTGCAGTAATTTAGCCAAGAAGATACAAATGCATGGATTCATGTTGGCTTATCATCCGGTGGAATTAAGTGTTGTATCCTGGATATGTTTTTCAGATGAAAGTAGGCAGATTTTATTACGGAGGAAATCTGCTGTTTAAATGATCGTCCAGAGTCAATCAGTACTCCGAGGTTTCGTACCTTTTGATGAACAAACTATTTCAGAGCCTCCAAGCTCCAGGCCAGTTGGGTGAGCATGGGTATTTTTGTTGCCCGGGGTCCCCTCACCAAGAGTAACTCTGTTTTGTTCAGGTTCACTTTAAGACCACTAGCATTCATCCATTCTATGAGGTCTGCTAAGTAACTGTTTATGTGGCATGTTGGGTCTGTGGTATCTGGAGCAAAGGAGAAGTAGAGTTGTGTGTCATCCGTGTAACAATGATACCTTAGGCCATGTCGCCTAATGATGTCCCCTAGTGGTAGCAAGTAAATTGCGAATAGCATGGGAGACCAGATGGATCCTTGTGGAACTCCGCAGGTCAGTTCTGTTGGTGCTGATGAGCTTGATCCTGATGTTACTCTCTGTGATCTACCAGTGAGGAAAGATTTTTAACTAGTTAAGGACTGTGCCTCCTAGACCACAGATGTGCTGCAAGTGCTCTATGAAAATCCTATAGTCAATGGTGTCAAATGCAGCTGAGAGATCCAAGAGGATTAGGGTGGAGTAATCACCTTTTGTCTCTCTCCACAAGGAAATCATTTAGCTCTCGGACTAGCGCTGTTTTCGTGCTGTGGTGGCATCTGAAACCTGACTGGAAAGGATCAAATATGTTCAAGCTTGGTAGATGGGCCTCCAGTTGAATTGCCACTACTTTTTAAATTATTTTACCCAGAAATGGAAGGTTGGAAACTGGTCTGTAATTAGCAATGCAGTCTGGGTCTAATAAAAGTTTCTTCAGGAGGATTTTACCACAGCTTTTTAGAGGATCTGGGAAGTCTCCAGTTTTTAGTGAACACTGCACTATTTTTGTGACGGCTGGGACGAGTGTTTCAATGCATGCAGATATAAGCGGAGTTGGAGCAGGGTCTAAGTCACATGTAGTAGGGTGTAACTTTTGCATGGGTCTTTTAACTCCCTCTAAATCCACATTTGTAAAAGTGGACCATAAATTGGGGCAATCTGGCATTCCATTGTAGTGGTTCTGGTGTGTAACGGTTTGACCTGTTGTGATAGAGGCTCGGATTGAGGAAATCCTGTCTCTGAAGAAGATCGCAAATGCTTCACACTTATCTTGAGAAAAGTTGGTGGGGATATGCGTGTATGCTGGTTTGCAGAGCCTTTCTACTGTGCAAAATTTGCCTGGGTCTATTGTGGTAGAGTGCAATTTCGCGTGATAAAAATGAATTTATTCTGAGTTATCTTGATTGATATTCATTTAGATGTTTGGTAAGAGCATCTTTATCTTCTTGATCATGTGTCCTGTACCACTTTCTCTCGAGTTTACGGCCTGTTCTCTTCATTTCTCTGATAGTGCTATCAAACCACTGTGCATTGTTGTGGGTTTTGACAGTGCTTATGTGTGTTGTTGCAAGGTCTTTCATGGTTTTGTTGTAGAGTCGGACTAAGGAGCTGGAGTTTTCACAGGTGCCCACTTAGATCCATCATATTATTATTATTAATTTATTTATATAGCGCCAACAAATTCCGTAGCGCTGTACAATGGGTGGACTAACAGACACATAATTGAGATCACACCACTGACGTACAGGAACAGAGGGGGTTGAGGGCACTGCTCAATGAGCTTACATGCTAGAGGGGTTCGAAGGTATCTGTTCCTTGTAGTAAGATGGTCCAGTGGAAGTATATTTCAACCCGTTGTGTATCAGTTTAGTAATGCCATCCGCTCAATTTCGGTAAATCCAATTGTGTGATATGTGGAGTCGATATTGGTCATTGAAATATTTGTGATGAATTATGAGTGTAAGGAGGTTAAAATTAAGATAATTCCTGGAGAGGTCAGGAGCCTGAGTAAAGGGTGTCAGCAAGCAGGGGCACCTGAAGATATCTTATTAACCTAATTACTTATTAAGATGTCAAGTATCCAAAATTATTATTATTATTATTAAAATAAAAAAAAAAAATAGTAGAAAGGACCGCACTCCAGGGTCTTTGTGATGGCTTTCAAATACAATTTAACTTTTCCTTAATCCAATAAAAGTCAACGTTTCAGCGGGTGTGTTTGTAGTCGGGGCAATATGGCCGAACAGAGAAATCTTAGCATAATACAATCCTAACATCCATAAGTATGCACCAGTCGGTTGTGGTGTGCAGTAGGCCTGTAATAAAAGTTGGCCCACCTTAGAGGGTGTTATAAATAGAGGGAGTGGTGGGAGGGTTGACTCGCCAGACCAGCAACGGTAAGGTGGGAGTGGATTGGCAGCCCTTTTAAAGGTGAACCAAGCCCCTCCCACAACTCCAGGCCAAGCCTTCAAATTTGTAGTCGGGGCAATATGGCCAAACAGAGAAATCTTAGCATAATACAATCATAACATCCATAAGTATGCACTAGTCGGTTGTGGTGTGCTGGAACCGACAAAGCAGTAGGCCTGTCATAAAAGTGGGCAAAAAGAAAATAACCAGAAAACAATTCGTGAACCAACTTCGTTTATTGAGATAAGTCACAAAAAGCTTGTCTTAATTCTTTAACAGGATTGGGTATGTAGAGTGTGTAGGCGGAGGATTTCCAGCGTCCCATAGCCTTAATAATATGAGCGGGTACGTGGTTAGCGGATGCGGAAGATGCTGCTCCTATACGGAAAGAGTGACCTGAAAATTGATTGGGGTTTAGGCTGAGCCTGGTCAACAGAAGTCGTATGTATAGCATGCATTTAGCTGTGGTCAGAGTGTGTCCATGCAGTTCAAACAAAGGCTGTTGAGGTTGTTTTTGGACTGAAAGTGAATAAGTGTCCAAAACTTTAACTGGGCACCATATATTGTGAGTAGGGTACAGCGGAATATGAATAGTGTGTCCATCGGTGCTGGTTTTGGATTGTCTTAGAGAGAGAATGTAATGGTCGGTATGTTTCTGTAAATCATTGGTTCTAAGGTAGTCATGTGCGGTGATGGTTGTGGTTGTGAATTCGCTAGGCCGGAGGAACCCGTAAAAAGCGAGATATAGTGCTGTTTTGATTATGTTATTGGTCATGGGTTCAAAAGGAGATGAATCTAATAGGTTGGATAGAGAGTGGATGATGTTGTTGTTGTTGTTGTCGTCGTCTATGGGTAGTCTTTGTGAGGGAACATGTGTATCTAATTTTTTAATGCCTTTAAGTAATGTTTTTATTTGGTATGATGTCAAAAAACCCGTAGTGTTAGGTTGTTGGATAAGCATATGGTGTTGGATGCCGGTAAGGTACAGTTTAATAGTATTAAGGGATAGTTTAAGGTTAATGTGGCAAAAAGAGGTAAAAACCCAAAATCGTTTCTAATGCAAACATGTCGTGAATGTGAAACTCGGTGATACATTTTTTTTTTTTTTTTTTGAATACGTGAAAAGCCCTATCATAAAGTGTCCCTAGTGTTTTCTGAGAGTGCCATATGAGAAATGTGACGTGCGTGATCTAACAAGGTCTTTAATCCATTATCATATCTTGGAATAGAGGTGCAGGTGTCGCTCGTCTGGAAGAGTTTGGTAGTGACGAGAGGAAAGCCTGTAAACGAAACAGAGACAAGTGATCAGCAGAGGTGTGTACCCCAAAATGTGTATGCATGTTATAAAGAATTGGCAAGTGGCCGCTACCCATGTGAGATGCCTTAGTAGTCTCATAATGACCAGTGATGCCGATCGGCCTTTATTGACAATATGGCATGTAGCCATATTATCTGAGTAGCACCTGACTGTGTGGCCAGACCAATATGGTCCCCAAGCAATGGCTGTCGTTTGGGTACAACTCGAATAAAGCCGAGGTGTCAGAGAATTTGGGTAGTGATTTGACTTCGGTCGGCCAAGGACCCCAAAGCCATTGATCACACCAGGTGGCGGCAAAGCCTGTGTTAGCTGCGGCATCTGTCCATAGTGTAGGTGATGTGTCGGAGGGGGGTGGTATAAACATGGTTCGCCCGTTCCAAGAGGTGAGAAAAACCCACCACATGCGTAAATCTGAAGTTGTGTGTACATCTAACGTGATATGTGAAGTGTCCAAGGAAAACAGTGGAAACAAGGATAACAGGTGGTATATAAAAGATCTACCTTGGGGTATGATCCTCATGTCAAAATTGAGCGATCCAAGCAGTGATTGGAGTTCTTTGCAATGACCTTGTAGCAGGTATTGTTCAATACTTGCCAGGGTATGCTCAATCTTGTCCTGAGGTAGACTGGCGTGCATGTTTATCGTGTCTAGTTGTATGTCCAAAAATTGCATGTAGGCATCTGGACCCAAAGTTTTGTGAGGAGAGACAGGAATGTTAAGAGATTCAAACAGTGCAAACAAGTGATTCAAACTACTGGGTGGAAGAGTGTTATTCTCAATCAAGAGGAAATCGTCCAGATAGTGGATAACCGAAGGGCACTTGCACACATTTAGTAACAACCAACATAAAGCCTCTGCAAACGTGTCAAATATACGTGGACTGCTTTTGGAGCCAAAAGTTAGTCTGGTGAAGAAATAATACCTCCCTTGCCACTTAATGCTGTGTAGATGCCACAGGGAAGGATGTATGGGTAGTAGCTTAAAGGCGTTTACCACGTCGGTTTTACTCAGCCATGCTCCAGTACCCGCTTGAAGAATGGCCCCTATGGCATGGTCGATAGTGGCGTGGTGTAGTGAAAATTCTTCAGAAGGTATTAGAGAGTTAAGGCTGGGGACAGTGGAGGAGTGTGGTGCAGATAAATCAATTATCCGTCTGGGTTTGAGTGAGGTCTTCCCTGTGACCACCCCTATAGGATTGGTTCTCCAAGACGTGAAGGGTGGGGAAAAGAATGGGCCCAAAAGAAACCCTTGTTCCAACTCAGTTGAGATAAGAGTGTTAACCAACTGTGGATCGTCTAATGTGGAATGTAGGTTGTCGCATTCCAGTGTACCGGAGGGTAAATGGACCAACCCTTTAGGAAAGTTAGGGGTAGATTGGTTCTGTTCGATCTCAGCTGTGTTTGGGCAGAGATTTGTGTGATGTGCTGTAGATGCGCATACTGCACAAGCTGGAGGCCTGAGGCCTGCAAAATGCCTGCAGAATAACTCAGTGTCCAATTTGCTCCAATTAATGCTTCAATTGAACTGATCCAGAGCTGCAGCCACCTTTGCAGAAAAGGAACAGTGGTAATCGTAAAAAGCGGTACCACCGTATTTGTGCCCCAGGTCCACCATCTTGTGCTCTGCTCTTTTCCCTGGGTATACTGAGCAGTAAACATCCCTATAAATCCCAAAACCCAGTACAAATTCAGGGATTGACAATTTTTTGTTCAGCCTTGGGTCTCTAGCCCTTAGTACGACTGATATATCCCCATATGCAAAAGTCCTATTCTCTAGGACATCCTGGGAGGCTATAAGCAATGACACCAGGTTGACATCCTTGCCTTCCAGAATGTTCTTTTTAAGGTGAGATGGAACCATGTGTGAATGATTAATAGCTTCACTAAGCGACACTGATTCCAATCAATTACCAGTTATGTCAGCAAGAGGGTGACTGGCAACAATTGGGTTTGTAGCGGTCTGTTTAGTACCAATTGCTTCCAATTTATCCAGTCTATCGTTAATTGTGCTGATGGATGACATAAGAGAAGTCATTGTGGCACGAAACGTTGGCAATTGTGTGCAACTAGGGCCTTCCACTGCATCAGAGTTGTCAGTAGCCGTATTTAAGTCTAAACAACTCTGCCTTCTTAGTAGTAGCTGGGAAAGAGATGCAGCGTCTTCTAAGTTCTGCAGTGAGACATGGGATGGTCCATGATCTGAGAGATGAAGGACTAGCAACATCTGTTCCAGGAACAGAGGTACCAGGCCTAGCGGGTGTGCAGGGTAGCGAGAGTTCCTCAGGGATATCAGGATTATTTGACATAACTGAAAAATATAAGGTAGCTTTAATCAATCACTCTGTTATGTTTGATTGGGTGGGTACTGGTAAGGCTAGCTAAATACCAAGCGGCGAAACAATTACACTTCATGATGGTGACAGATGAGTCCCTGCTAATTGCCAAGTGGCTTGAGAGGCGCCACCTATGCGTGGGCCCGAGGGGAACGTATGAGGCCATCGAACGTTGTGGCGGGGTGTTGGCCTCTCGGTGGCAGTTAAAGCATAAGATAGAATGGGAGTGATAGGTGAGGCCCTCTCTATGCAACAATGCGAGACAGCTAGCTATGATTTGGCCCGAGGGGTGTATTCCTCAGAGGATGAGGGTGTTGGTCTCGCGGGACCACTAGCCTATGGATTAAGACCAGAAATCTTTCCTAATTGGGTCACGTAACCTAGGACCAGTACCCCTTAGAACATGGTGGGGGGGGAATGGGTTCTGGCGTAGTACCTGATATGTGAGTCAGGTTGCGCTGTCGAGGTAGAAGTAACCAGTGACTGTAAGAGTCTTGAGATGATTACCTGTGGAAATGAGATTTGATATATGAACGTCTGACTGAAACGTAGTGGTATGGCCAGATTGTGGGCCCTAAAAACAAGAACCTACCCAACACTGCAGAGGGTAGATTTAACGACAATGATGACGGTTTTCGTGCTTGTAAAAGCTACCGTTCAATGGAAAATAACCTAAAAGAGTAAAATACATGCTTAACTAATTTAATTTGTATCATTGGTCTTTGAAATTAAAAGCATAATTAAATATCAACCAACCTATAAGAAATAATTGATACAAGTGTCAGAATTCACAATTCCAAGTACGAACCACTGGTATGACTCTGTGGGGGGGGGGGAATCAGGAAATCAGGACCCATCATCCTGGTTTAAAAAATTCCAATTTCATTAATAGATTTTATAAAAGTGACTGCAATAACGTTTGTAACCAGTAGGGGCAAAATCCCCATGGAGTACCGGCTGAATTCGTGGTTATACGTGAGTTTGTGTAGTTGCCGAAGAACTATGTAGAGTGTAGAAACAAACGAATAGATACACCATAAGTGACATTCGAAAACCAAACCGATTGATGTTATACGTATATAACCGAATTATATCGTTCGTTAGTTTTAGAACAAGTGAACGTGCGATTAGCTGAGGGAATTTTAAGGCGAATGCCATAATGATTAAAAGAAAACAAACCGAATGCCGGTTTGAACCGAACGGGGCTCCTGACTTATGGTTTTCGTGAAGAAGAAGTAACGAGCGGGCTGTGCGGACGCCGGCAACGGGAAGGAGAGCCAGGGAAGCACCGGACCAGGAGACCATGAGGGAACAGGTAAGGAAAAATCCAAGATGGCGGTCTGAACCGGAAGTAAATGTTTGACTCGCCAGACCAGCAACGGTAAGGTGGGAGTGGATTGGCAGCCCTTTTAAAGGTGAACCAAGCCCCTCCCACAACTCCAGGCTAAGCCTTCAAATATATATAAAACAGGAGACTAATCTAACTCAAGGAAAATATTACACATTTTGGAAAATGAAATGCAACCGGTGTGTTTTCAATATACAAGGAGCACATGTAAATGGGTTGTAGAGTTATGTCACAGAACTACAGGGAGTGAGGGGATCAGATGAAACAAAGATAGATTCAAACCTCGGACCACCTATACCAGCAATCTTTAATAACCAACTGGGACAGGCTGACAAAAGTTATAAAGAAGCATTATGGACACATAATAGAACGTCCACACAACAACAACCACCACCAGCCAGGGTATCGACACAAGAACTGATGCATCACCTTGGATTCCATGCATCCTATCCACATCATCCAGCAAACAGTGCTGATCCCCTGAAGTGAGGCTCGAGGTGGAACGCATTGTGGCACGCACGCCGTCCTCACTGGCGATCAGAATTTGAAAGATAGGATCACGAACAATATCCAAATACATCCGTTCCTGGTAATAAGGTTGCTCTGTATCTTTTACCCTAAATTGACTGGTTTTTATAAGGTGGACTCATTTTTAATTATATTTTTTAACTATCTTGGAATAAATTTGTGTTTTTTTTTATTGCTTACAGCAACCAGTTCCATGTACTGGCTCTGCTAGATTATAACATACATTGATTTTTTTTTTTTTTCCTGTTAATTGGTACAGATATAACAATTTTATTCATTTTTGCTACCTCCTTTCACTCCTAAGTATGAGTTTCAGCTATTACAGGGTTTTAATTTTTTTAAGCATATATAAAGTTAGTGCATCTAATGGAAACACCCTTACAATGTGTAATGATTACCCAAATTTCAGATCTGTCAGGTTAGGGAGTGTCTATAAACTTGTAGCAGTTTGGAGGTTTAAGTCATAGATTAGTGAGTAAGCTGTCTGTTGCTGATCTTTGCACCATTTTACAGGAAGAAGTTGGGGTGGAAACAGACGAAGATTACAACGTGACTATACCAGATGTGTGACATACTGACAGTTCATCCGACAAGAGTTGAATAGCTCCACTTTTGAATGTTGTAAAATATTTTGTACAGAGAGGTTAAGTGAAACCAAAGCAGACCATGGACCTGTGGTTTTTATAATTTCCATGACCATTTTGAAAGAAATGCAGAGAAGTTGATTTCTTCTTCTGTTTAAGACTTTTTTTTTTTTTTTGGCTATGAAGATTCCAACCCATCTGGAAATATAGTGAATTCAAGAGTTCCTTAATTGTTTAATATATTTTCAACAAGGCTTCTAAAATGTACAACACTCACGTACACACTTATGTATTCATGACATGCTTCATTTTTAAAATCAAAAAGCAATTAAGATTCAAAATTTTAAAATGTAAAGTATTCACTGCTTGAAATGTTTTGATAATTGACCAATGTACAGGTGGAAAATGTGGCTTGAGTGAATAGTTTCACCATAAAATTACTATTTGGATGAATGGATTAAAGCCCATACTATGGATCATCCTAATTCATAGGTCCACATTCATATGGGTTAGATGTAGTCTTAACACTACCACCAGAAGCTGTTTAAATTAAAAGCTTGTTGCCCTGGAGTAAATGAAGCAGGTACCCACCCCCAAATTACAGAGTTGGCAACCTACAATACCTAGATTGCCCTTTAAACTAAATCCATACACGAGATTTTAACTTTGCCAATGTCTTCTGAAGATTAGTATCTCCCATTACAGGAACAGGGAATCTTACACGAACAAGAGACTTTTTGTACTGAGTTTAGTTTTGTGTTGACTGTATATATAGTCTCTAAATTTTTTACTAATCTACACTGACTGTAAAATAAATGTTACCTGTTGCTGCTCTAATTTAAGTATACCTAACAATACCTCTGTACAAAATGATATGAGCTGCAAAACACCACGGAAATGGGTTTAGTCTGTAAACTGAAAAAAAACTAAAACCGTTGCACTGGAAAGTTCTTCCAATCTTAGCCTAAATTTTGCAATTCAAATTTCAGTTTTGCCCAACTCACTACTCACACCCATTTAATTCAAATGTTTTGAATACAATGAAAATACATTGGGTAAACAATTTTATTGAAAAAGAATTCAGTACATAAAAAAGCAAGAATTTTTCACTTTTTGAATAACCTTGCTTGTAGAAATCATAAGCACCATCTGTGTAATACAATTTGAGCTGAAAGAGTGCATGTATTTGCTTTCATGAGATGCACATTAACTTTTTCAGAATAAATCCACTGCAGAACGGACATGAACCTTAAAGGGACCTGTAGAACAGCAGGGTTCAGACTGTCACCATCATTTTATATTTCAAAAGAAAAGCAACATTTATTTGTGTTTGAATATACAAGCAGTGTTTTCTGTCACCACTTGTGTGTATTTTTGCATTACTCCTTAAGGACAAAAATATAGCTTACCCGATCGCTGCTGTTCCCCCGCCGGTGATCGGTGTTGCCCCGGTCTGGGGGGGGGGGGTCTGCCTGACAGTCCCCCTAGGCAAATTAGGCCCCCGCGGGCCATGTGATCGTTTTGAAAGAGCAATCACATGGCTGCAATAGGCGTCCATAGTGCTGCCTGGCTAAATTGACAGGCATCTCCCTGCATATATATATAATATAATATAATTAAGTAAATACATGTAAAAATTTTATATATACCTGTATATGCAATTTTATTAATCTAACTAAGTCCATAGAATTTGAATAGCTAGCACTGTATTTAACCTTGTAACTTTCCATGACAACCTAAAACCTGTATTTGGGGGGGGGGGGTTCTGTTTTACTTGGGAAACTTCGCTGAACACAAATATTAGTGCTTTAAAACCGTAAAACATATCACAGTGATGATAGTCAGTGAAAGTGAAGTTTTTCATACACAAACGGCACTTTCACTGATATCATTGTTGCGATGCGTTTTACTGTTTTGAAACACTAATATGTGTTCAGCAAAGTCTCCCAAGTATAACAGTACCCAGTTACAGGGTCAAATATAAGGCTTGATTTTCCAATTTTTTTTCACATTGAAATTTGCCAGATTGGTTATGTTGCCTTTGAGAGCGTATGGTAGCCCAGGAATGAGAATTACTCCCATGATGGAATACCAATTACAAAAGAAGACAACTCAAGGTCATTTTTACTTTTTTTTATTTTTTATTTATTTTTTTAGTAGCCACTTTGTCACAAACACTGGCTAAAGTTAGCATTCATAGTTGTTTTTTGCATTTTTAACACACAAATATAAATGCTAACTTTGGCCAGTGTTTGTGACTAAGTGGCTACTAAAAAAAGACTGGACATAACGCACATTGAATACCCAGGGTTGTCTACTTTAACCCCTTAAGGACACAACTTCTGGAATAAAAGGGAATTGTGATGGAAGATTTCCATCATGTGTCCTTAAGGGATTAAAAAAAATATATATATATAGTGTGTGTGTGTGTGTGTGTGTGTGTGTGTGTGTATATATATATATATATATATATATATATATATATATATATATATATATATATATACATGTGAGGTGTGATTCAGAGATTTATAACAATGTCACTATTGATACGTTTTAAAAATGTATATTTTGAACCAGCAATGTCCTACTTGTACTTATAGCCCTATAACTCGCACACAAAAAAAAGCTAAGAACATGTTAACATTGGGTATTTCTAAACTCAGGACAAAATTTTGAAACTATTTAGCGCGGGTGTTTTTTGGCGGTTGTAGATGCGTAACAAATTTTGGGGTCAAATTTTAGAAAAGGTGTAGGTTTTTTTTAAGTTTAAAGTAATGGTATCTTTAGAAAGAACTATATGTGTGTATACAGTAAATGAGCAAGAGGAAAATTACAGCTAAAACCAAACACCGCAGAAATGTAAATACAGCCCTGGTCCTTATCCGTAACAAAACTGAAAAACTGTCTGGTCACTAAGGGGTTAATATATCTGTTTAGTTCCACTAGGTCAGGGATAGGTAAACTTCGGCACTCCATGTGTTGTGAACTTATTCTTCCATAATAAATGCTTTTATAGCCAGAATACTGGCAGAGCATCAGGGGAGATGTAGTGAACAACATCTGGAGTGTTGAAAGCTGCCTATCCCTGCACTAGTTGGGTAATACCTCTGTAATAGGTAGCTTATGCTTTAAAGGGGTAGTCTAAGCACTATAACCCAATGCTCAATGGAGACACTTTTTACATTGCTGCCATTTTTAACATTTTTAACATAATTTCATAGTAGTAAGCTACTAGTGCCTTCAGGGTCCTTACACAAATACCTAGAAGCAAGATTAGACTGATTTATTTTTTCTATTTTTATCATATCTACTGTATGTGACAAAATATTTTTGCTTTTATACTAGCATTTCAGATACTGTGCAAAATACTGTGTACTGTCTAAAGCTTTTCATTTACCAAATGTATTTATAAAGGGTGATATGCATATATGCATCCCTTGCTTCAAATACACGTTATACTAAAATTGTGCCTGATGTTTAAAGGATCACTATAGTGTCAGGAAAACAAACTCTTTTTCCTGACACTATATAATCCTTAGGTCTCCCCCTCCCGCTGGGCTGACGGGGTTTAAACCCATTCAGCCACTTATCTTTATCCAGCGCTGGGCTCCCTTGGCATTAGTGACCTCTCCTCCCCCTCCTACGACAGCTCCCGAGTGGAGCTGAATGCGCATACGCAGCCAGAGCCGTGCGCGCATTAAAAACGCCCATAGGAAAGCATTTCTCAATGCTTTCTTATGGACGTTCTGCGTGCTCAATGCGATTCTCGCATTGAGAGTCAGGGAAGCACCGCTAGCGGCTGTCAGGAAGACAGCCACTAGAGGCTGGATTAACCCTGCAATGTAAACATAGCAGTTTCTCTGAAACTGCTATGTTTACAGCTCCAGGGTTAAAACCTAGAGTGGTCCTTTAAGGGATTAAAGCATTAGTTCTTCACCATTAGGTGCATTATTATTTTTTTTGTCCACATTTAGATATAATTCATTGGCTGAAACGGATGCACTCAACCCATGGGTTCCGTCCAAACATGGACAGAATTGATATTGCTAATCCATTACTACTTGAGCAGTAACTGAAGAGGAACTGGGCTATGGACACCTGGGAACTCAGCTGGGTGTTAAACAGTTTAACTGTTTAATTTTAAACAGTGCTATGGCACCCCTCAATGCAGTGGCCAGGTTGCTTGGAAAGGCTTTTAAGTTAGCGTGTGTCACTTTCTTCAAACATATACACGTGGTCAATTTTAGCGCAATATGAAAAAAGGACAAACTCAAATCAACCCTCCTCGCGTTGCCGTCCTCTAGTTAGATAAGGGGTGAAACATCTACTTGTCAGTAATTGACTCACCTTGCATTATAGATTCGCAGTCTTATGCATAAACATTTTTCAGTGCTTGAGGGGAAGAAAAAAAAAAAAATATATATATATATATCCCCTTTAAACTGACTTTGCAGTGGGCCCAGATCCTTTTAATTACTGTATATTTACACATGAAAGCAAGCTATATAGTTTGTTAGACTCACTGTCCCTTTTTATTAACTTGACATATATGTGTTTGCAAAATTCATTGGTTAGCAAAGGAATGCAGATTAAACAGGAGAAGGCACAAGTATGTGAGCACTAATCAGCTTGGCTCCACTCTTTACCATTAATACATACAGAAACCCAGTCAATCTGGTTCTATCAAATGCAGTTTCTTCAAACAGAAATTATGTTTTGACAAATCTTTACTAAGCTTGGTAAGGGCTCTTCTAAGGGTGAATAATGTTTGAAGAAACTCCTTTTACTTGAACCAGGGTTCCTAGTTTGTATCTGTTTTATTTACTCAGATAAATAATTTCACTGACAAATCTTTTATAACAGAACAGATTACATGAAAGTCATAAAGGCAGCCACAGTATATTCCTGAGCAGAATGATAGGATTTACATATAAATGTAGCAGATTTCAAGGCGCTCTGTTTCACATATCAACTAAATCCATTTCATAAAATATTCTAGCAATTGTGGCTTACACAAAAAAAGGTGTACGCATAGGATAGAGAAGGAATCCATAATTATTCTACTATAACCTTTTTAAACTTCAAGCATAAACACCAATTCCGCGCCCCATATATATCTTTCTTTTCTGGTGGTTCTGTTATTTGGAATGGCATTAAAACAAGGGTCAGCAACCTTATAAGACCACCCAGGATGCCATAGGGGTAAGCAAAAAACTGCATGTGTATCTGAGAGGGTGCATGTGTGGGTCAATGAGCATGAATTGATTCCTTTGAGATATTTTTTGTCTTCTTTAAAATAATGTTAAGAGTGGTTTTTATTTTTTAAATAAAAGTGGTTTCCAAGATTATGATTGTACTTATTATGAAGGTGTGTGTGTGTGTATATATTTAAAAAGATGTCTATATATTATAAGCATACTTTTAAAAAGTAAATTTAGAATATATACACACATAATGCACAAAGACACCACGTACACAAAGATCAAATGTAACAGGTGCTTCATGTAACTCATAGGGTTATTCACTAAACTTTGAATTGTGGGAAATGAAAATCTAAATTACATAATTTAGTCTTAAATAGTTTGTTTGGAAAAATTGCTATTCAGACTTTAATTTACAAAAATTCGTAGTTTAGTTAATAAACCTGCTTGTCTCCCAGGGAGGTTTATTATTGTAGAGCAGGCACTTCCCTACCCACAAAGCCGGTGCCTACTCTGCCAAAATATATGATTAAGGATGAGCGGTTTGTGTAGCAAGGGAGCTATGTACGTAAAGGACCACTATAGTGCCAGGAAAACATACTCGTTTTCCTGGCCCCCTCCCGCTGGGCTCTAGGGGTAGGAAAGGGATAAACACATACCTTTTCTCCACCGCCGGGCTCCCTCGGCGGTGGGGATTCTCCGCCTCCTTTCCCGTCATCGGGTGAATGCGCATGCGCGCATCCGCATTAAGCCAGTCCATAGGAAAGCATTCTCAATGCTTTCCTATGGACGTTGGCGTCTTCTCACTGTGAAAATCACAGTGAGAAGCGCCTCTTGTGGCTGTCAATGAGACAGCCACTAGAGGCTGGATTAACCCATTTCTAGCAGTTTCTAGGTTAACCCTAGATGGGCCTGGCACCCAGACCACTTCATTAAGCTGAAGTGGTCTGGGTGCCTATATTGGACCTTTAATGTGCTTTTCCTGCACAGCTTCCTTTCTTAATATTGATCTTTTAGTTGTTTAGTAGATAGCACCCTTAATTTGGTACCTTTCATTATGTATAGCTACCCCACATAATGATACCAAGTTAGGAGGCCATCTACTATTATCTTCATATTTTTAGCTTTGGGGGTTCGCCATTCATTTGCAGACATGTCATGTAGAAAAAGGTTGCTGACCCCTGCCTTAACCCCTTAAGGACACATGACGTGTGACATGTCACGATTCCCTTTTATTCCAGAAGTTTGGTCCTTGAGGGGTTAAACTGTAGTGGCATTTGTAAGAAGTCACATACATACACACAATGTCAGATGTTCAAGTACAGCCCAACATATAGCTTGGTTAGATTAGAATATTAACTATAGATATTATTGGTTTGTGCTGATCTAAAGACAAATTCAGATTACAGAGTCACTTTAACAGGAATATTCAAACTTTCATTAACTATCAAGACAGAGCCTTCACCAATATGGGACAGTATATCTGCATCTTTCTATAATCCAAATGCTATTTGGATAAAAAGCCCCTTTGGCTGTAGGGAAAACACAAAGACAAATATATACATCTTAAAAAGACTTCAACTACTAATATTAAATAACACACAGTGATCAGAAGTATATTTCCAGGGAAATCTGTGCTGTTTTTGCGTCAATTATGAGAAGAAAAAAAAAAAAAGTTTCTTTACAGAAGTAGCAGAGAAATGACAAGGCCCATGTGGCACAAAGTGAGGTCCAAGAGCTGGCCAGTATATATTGATGACAATCTCTATAATAGAGGAGATAACAGGCCTTGAGGAATGGCACCACTAAGCAGACACTGGCCATGTTTACTTATACTGCTCAGCTGACAGGCATATGCCCCATTTTGTAATACAAATAACATCAGCTCTGCGTCACTTTAAAGTCATCTGTTTCGAGAGCCGCGGTATGTTGTGCTGGTAACCTCTTGAACGTGCAAGTAATTTCTTCCTAATAAAGCGGATGCTTCAACTGATGCAGAACTCTCATTACGATACCATGCAGTGTCTGATAAAAGAAATTAAACATTTTACATTTACAAGTGTTACACAGATTGAAAAGTCACAAAAGATGTGTGCCAAAACATATGTCTATCTCCTGCACAAAACATAACCTAAAATGTTTGGCAACATTCTTGCACTGGGCTTTGCTGTGATAAAAAGTACAAAGTGGCCTATGCCACAGGACATTATTATTATTATTATTGCCATTTATATAGCATCAACAGATTCCGTAGCATATACCAAGAGACCCAACTTCATCTCTTGAAACAGCAAATCCAGTCTTTTTAAAAAGCAGAAATGTAATTATACCCCTAGGCTTTTACTGAGAAACAGTGAAGGACTCTGTGGATGTGTGTTGTATACCTGTGGCTTGCAGTGTTCTTCGATCCAGCTAAAGACACATGCTGACAACTCCTGAAAACTATTTACAGAGATTGAGGCATTAAACGTCTGAAACAGTGAGTCCATGATACCCTGAAATACACTGAACTTCACTTGGTCGGACAACTGGTCAGTGCCTTCATTAGGGTTGCTCTGATGAGCCTTGACAATCTGTTCATAATTTCTGAAAGACAAGAGTTATTAACAGGCATTACTGAGAAAATAAGTCTATCGAAAGCTACAACAGTGTTACAGAATCCAATCTGAGCATCAGTAAACCTTTTTTTTTTATATATGTAAAAACAGGAAGCATTTTTTTTGTCTTTATTTATATATGTCAAAACAGGAATTTGTTTATTATTATTTATTTATATATGTCAAAACAGGAAGTTTTTTTTACTTTTTCTCTCTCTCTATTTATATATGTCAAAACAGAAACTTTTTTTTCTCTCTTTATTTATATATGTAAAAACAGGAAGCATTTTTCCCCCTCTCTTTATTTATGTAAGTCAAAACAGGAAGCACTGCCATCTAGTGGTGGTGAGATGCTTCCTGCAATGACCAAATATGGACATTCAATTACCATTTCCTGCTGCTACACCTGTCTCCAATATGGTAAATTGGAGGCATATATAGGTGGGTCAGCAAATGGGAGGATATACTGCACTTAAAAAAAGACCCTAGAGGGTCGCGTTGTGCTAGCTGCTGTGTCAGCAATTTCTGCTTTTATTATTTTATACCAAATAAATGTTTATTTTAACACTTCACCTTACCTGGTTCCTGAGTTCCTGCTAAGAAAAACTTATTACAAACATCTAAGAGAAGGATCAGATCCAGTGTATCCCTTGGTGGATGAAATACCTTTAGAGTCCAGAGCCTAACTTATGTGGCTCTGGAAAGTGTGAGTGAACCTTTTTTATTCTCCACATATTGTAAATAGATTTCAACAGTATACACTATGTTGTTTTCTTGTATATAGTTTATATAGGGTCCACAGTTACTGTCTGTTGCTGAAAATAGGACCTATACAAGATTTTAAAGGTAAAATATTCCACTGTTTGTGCTTTCGGCCTTTTTTTTTTTTTTTCTGTTCACAACTCCTTATTGACTATTCCCATAATTCTACAACTTTTGTAAAACATAAATCACGTTAAAACGCACTAGCAAGTCTCTTTGTATAGAAATGTACAACTTCAGTTAAAGGAGTCTCCTGGTGCCCTTTCCTGGTATAAGTAGTCAAATCGTGTAACAACTGGCTTTCGACTTAGCGGTGTCCTGCTTGGCACCTGCCACATCACCTACTGTTGGAGGCTCCTGCAACTAAGTTAAACTCGGCCATGCAGGGTTGCAGCTTGCATAAGAAATGAAAGCATATACCTCCCGCACTATCTGTTGTTAATACTTTTGTTTGCTTATATATTTGTCCGCTCTCCCAACCCGAGCTCTGGGACTGCATTATCGTTTCAGGGTCCCATAGCCCAAATGGCTGTCGTGACCAATTTCTCATGATGTGAAACAATAAATACTATAAATACCACTTAACAGGGGCTGGGCACTGGGCAGATGCAGACACTGTCCTGATCTGGACCAGACGCCCTCCCACTCCTACTACCCACATGCAACGGTATATTCATCAAATTGCATAATGGGCACCAGTGACCCGATGCAGCCCTAACGACCTAGCACAGAGATCCAGCTTATCTATACATCTGGTCCACGGCTGGTGTCAGGTTTAATGCTCATGAAAAGTGCCCAGGCCAGAGACTAGCATAAACCCATAGTTTCCAATAGGATCTTTACTATCCTATCCCACCCAAGTTAGAGCTTGTTCTACACTACAGCAACCCAGGATCGATTTGGGTCCTGTGTTTACTGCAAAGAGCGAATGATTCCTCTGTTACCTTTGTTATCTTCAATGTAATGCCATACTGTGAATGTCATGTTACACCATTCTATCACTTAATGTATGCCTGTAATTATCACAATAAAATAAAGAAACGAAACCAAATATTATCAATTGAACAGGAAGGATGATTTTTGACTTCCCTTAAACTCCAGAAAGCAAATTAGCCTTCCTGGGCAGTGACATAGTTTGTGTGTATATGTGTACTTAATACATGATCTTACGATTTCATTATCTTCAAGGCCATAACTTCTTTCCGTAATGTGGATACTTCCTCTTCCTGTTTCTTCTTCTCTTTGTGCAGAAACTGGATATAATCTATAGCTACGAAAGACAGATGAGAAATCTGTTCTTAAGAATTGCCACATATGCAAGTTCAAATGTTCAGCGACCCAGTGGGTGATCTAAGAAATTGAGGAAGAGAAATTGGTAGGAAGAGGGGGAGGCAGGCAAAAAAACTTACTCTTCTGCAGAACAACAGCCTTGCTCAGTTTTTGAGTTCCGATACAGCAGTCTTGCTGCTGGCAAGTTGGCACAATGGTCTGCAAGTCGTCATACCCTTTCTGAATAATAAGCAGAACAGTAAACCATTTGGTGAAATTAGCAAAAGTGACTTAATCGTATCAATATGAAGCATTTCATGGAATGTCCCCTGTATAATCATACAAATAAATAAAACCTTGATTGCACTTGGTAAATCTGGAAAATATTCCACTTCCACCTCCTTCGTCCAACTCTTTAGCCCAGAAAAGCTAGAGGTTACCTTTATTTGATCACAAGTGGTGCTGCAAGCGGCGTTCAACAAGGAATGGGACATAGACGCAGCAGTCTGTTACTTTATTTGAATCCTACTGTTCTGCTTTGTAGCACAACTCTGTTGTAATGTCAGCAATGTCATTATGTGCATCGCTTGACACCACCTCTTCATAGCTCGCCAGTCCATATTCAGAGGAAAGGAGCTCGTGCCAGCTTCCCTACCTGCAGCTCCATCAAACTCTATATAGTCCTCAGCCTGCCACATAAATGACTGGCACTGATGGTCCATTATCAAAATGCTGATTTCTCAGAAATGCTAAGTAAGGTGGACCTGTCATGATAGCAAATGTATACAAATTTTATTTAATTCAAAGATAACTCAATTTAAAAACATGGTCCCTCCACCTGTCAATCAAACATTGGCACATACACCTATGTGTTCATAATGGTGCAAAGGAAAACGAGTATCTGTCTGAATGATGTGGAGACCTTTCAAATGCTAAGGCATAAATTTATGAAAATGTCCCAACAAAGTCAACTAGGCATACATACACTTCAAATCCAGGATTTTACACATCGTATATTCTTAAATTCCTACCTTAATGGCATCCCTTCTTTTCTGCTCGGCTTGCGTGTGCGCCCGCCTGCGCCTGTCTTTGTAGGCATCTTTCAGACTCTCCTGACGATAATCACTGTCCTCGTCATCTGAGGTTGGGGAAGAAGCATTGTCGATCATGCAGCGTGCTACGGGCGAGGGGACACATACATGGATGCCATTGTCACACCCAGTAAAGTTGCACCATCCCTCACCTTTCCATATTTATGGATTCTATGAAGTTATCCTTTAAACCAGTACATTTTGCATGCTTTCATTATTGGGCCAAAAATCTATATGATTAGTGTGCCAGAGTAACACACAATAATAAAAACGAGACAAAACAAAGCTCTATTCTAATGAACCACACCAAAAGGTTAGGATTTCTTTAAATACCTGGCAATCAATTTAACATAATATTGAAGAGAGAGGGGGGAAAAAAAAAAAAAGGAGTACAAATCGGGTCACTCTGAATTATTGCACATTGTCAACATGCAAAGAGTACTCTCAGCTATAAGAGTGGCTCAGAATTGCAGCGTTTTTTACAAAATGCTGCAACAAAAACATCCCCTCAGAGCTGTCAATCAGGCAGCCAAAAATGCTTGTTCTGGCTGCTTGATATACATTTTATCTAACTTGTGGACACATACTGCATACACAAACTTGGTATGAGTTCTTTTTCCTCCCTAGAGAAAGAGCCAAACTGCACATCATGGCTCTGTAGATAGGGACGTAGAGCCTGGATCACTAAACAATGAACGGGGCTATGTGTAAAGATACAGCAGCAATATTGAGTAACAGGCTAGATTAGACAGTTTTGGAAATAACAAGCTAAAATTCTAATAAAACATAGATGCAGTCTTTACCTGTATTAGGGACTGAAGAAGCACTGGTTGAGCCAATGCTGTTTGCTCTGGACACTATACTACCCTTCCGCTCCATAGTATAACCTGTTAAAGAGAAAGAGATAGGTATGCTGGAAAGTAATAGGGGCTATATATAGTATTGTCTAATACAATATCTTGTTTTGAATAGAAAACAGACAACAAATTATTTTTTTTGTTTGTTTTTGTGTCTGCACCAAATCTGATTTGGCAAATTATTTTTTTTTTACATTTTAGCATATATATCATATGACTTTTGTCCAATCCAGTGCTTCTCATAGAGATGCATGACAGCTATTGTCCGAATCCCCAATCCAATGCTTCTCACAGAGAAGCATTACACATATACACGGCATCTGGTGCCTGTATACTTTACAAACTGTCTTGGAACATCAAACATAATAAACTGCTCAATCTATTTTAGTCAAAACCCATTAATGCCTGTAAAATGGCCATTAGTAGTGTGGAAATTGCAAATGTAATAAAGTTCAGTCACAGGTTTAATTTGCAGTGCTGCACTGGCTGCATCTATGCCCCACAATCACCTTATAAAGATGTAGTGATTTTTCTGCTTACACAGTCATTAACTACATAATGCATTAGAAAAAAATTGGTCCATTCTGGTTTGGAGTTCATTTTTGTTCACATTTGTGGCAATAATAATGTGTACATAATTAGTGGAGCTTTTGAAAAGTCATACAGTTTATTTTTGGTAGTTACAGGCCACAAAGTCAAGGAGTAAATACAATATCAACGTGGAATGACTTTAGATTTTGGTATGTTTGTCTTCTAAGCCATCACAGAAAACAAAATTGCCATACAAAAGTTTATATTTATATAAAGTATACTTAAGAGTAGTGATGTCCCGAACGGTTCGTCGCGGACGGCGAACATAAACATAAACTTTGACCCTGTACCTCACAGTCAGCAGACACATTCCAGCCAATCAGCAGCAGACCCTCCCTCCCACCTCCTGGACAGCTCACTAAGAATGCAGCTTCACAATGAATGTAAAATGGATGCTGTCCAGGAGGTGGGAGGGTCTGGGAGGGAGGGTCTGCTGCTGATTGGCTGGAATGTGTCTGCTGACTGTGAGGTACAGTGTCAAAGTTTATGTTTGTTTGCCGTCCGCGGCGAACCGTTCGGGACATCACTAGTTAAGAGTATTTTGGCACTGTAGCTATTTAACTTCCAATCTATAAAAAAAAAAAAAAATTAAGTACATGTGTTTTTTTTGGTTTTTTTTAACATTCGCAGATATACACTAGTCTGTGTTACACCAATGTGTATTTCGTAAACCTGTTGTGTACTCTGTACAAAACATATTTTATTTAGCTACATCTTCTGAATAAACAATACACTCAATTTATGCCTTTACAACTATGCTGTGAAGCTACAATGCCATTTAAAAGACCCGACTATTAAAGTTTTTACAGTTAGAATTTTGATAGATGGATTTGATGGGGCATTGTAGCTTATTGAGAGTTCAAATTACTACATTTGTAAATGTAGACATCAGTGGGTATGCCATATGTGTATAGTTTGAGCCTTAACCCCTTAAGGACACATGACATGTGTGACATGTAATGATTCCCTTTTATTCCAGAAGTTTGGTCCTTAAGGGGTTAAAGTACATCCATTTTCACCATTTTCTTTTAAAGTTTATGGTATTTTATTTTCGCTTTTACATGCACAATTTAGCGGTTTATTTTGTAAGCTTGTTGTGCTACTGTAATTGAAATCACTAAATATTACTCAGCTATATCTCTTGAATACAGAATGACTCCCTTTGCACACCTTTTGTGTAACAATACCAGGCTTGATTAATAACCTGCACAGTAAAGTGTTTTTTTTGGGGGGAGGGGGATTTAAGCTGCAAATCTTTTAGGGTAGGACAACCATGATGGAATAATTCGGTCATTCATAGAAAGGGAGGGTTTAAGGTAAACAATGCATGTTTACAAATAAAAAATAAGCAGGCTGAGGAAAAACAAGCAGTCTAATATTCCAAAATATATTTAGTGGGAAACGTTTCCAAAACTCACTGGTGCTTCAATTCACATTGTGGAGTGGTGTTATACACATAAGTATTGAATAATAAATAATACATTTCGTCTCTATCACTGACAGGCAGAATCTGCATGTAGACCATTTCCTCACCCAATGTCTACTAACACCAACACCCTCAATTTACAGTAAGAGGTTCTGCTTTTTCGGTCACTTGTTCCATTAAAGATGCAAGGATTACGTTTCCTAGTCTCCAAATGACATACATGACATACATGAAATATTAGTTTGGAATATCAGATCTCCATATTTTGTGAAACACAAGAGTTCTCTGTGGTATCAGGCTTTGCCTGAAATGTGCATGATATGTTTGCATTTGCATGCTGGTAAAATTAATCAATTAATAGATCATAACTCCTTTCTTTCATTAATTGATTTTATTTCAGCAGTATACGAATACTGCACATGACCAGGCCTGTGTTCCATGGTCAGCCTTGGAGCATGGCTTATTCATGTTATTCCCATTGGAATATGTCTACCAGATCTGACAACTTTTGATCAGTATCTACAATAGAAAGTAAAGGATAAATAACCTTCTGTCAGGACTTACCGGTTTCTGCCATATTGTCGCTGTATGTATTCTCAGACTGATGGACCATAACGGTGAATAAAAAAGAAAACAGGAACATTGATAAACATGTATAAATGTTAAATCAGACAGCAGACTGAGTGAAATCAAATTCTGAGAATTCTAATAAATAACTGCTACCTAATACAGTAAAATTATACTATACTATACCCTGTATTGGCAGTTTGTAACTGCTGGTAGTTTATGTAGCATATTCACATAAATTCGTATTTTCCGCAAATTTAAACATACTAATTTTTTTTTCTCATTTCTTTTGTTATAGCTTCAAAATGTACACACATTGAAAAGTGCTTGATTAGACACATAAACAAGAAGTTAGTAAGTAACCCTGTTTAAATAATGTTTTGTAATTCCTTATCAGGCATTAGCAACCCCCCACCTCTATAAACCTGCTAAATAAGCATTAACTTACCTGGAATCGACCACCAATCAAAGTTTTCCTCACTATTTTCCATACCCTTATCCAATGTTACTGCTTTTTTCTCTGTGGACCAATTAAATGCCTATCATAAAAAAAAGCATTTGATTGGACTTTTCTCACCAGCTCACAGCGCATGTGTGCACTCTGAACCATAGACATAGAATGTCTATGCTCTGAACCATTGAGGGTGTGGGGGGTAAATAAGGAAGGGAGGGAATTATTAAAAAGAAAATAACTGTCATTGGAGGGACACAGGGAGGGAGAGCAGAAAGGAAAGGAGACCAAAAGTGCAAATAAAAAAGTGCAGTTTTTGCACAAAGACTCCTTGCTCCATGAACACTTCTAAAAGCAGAAGTGGTCATGATGGTTGAACTAACCCTTCAAAAGAAAAAAAAAAATACTAATAAATGCATATTTTTAATATTAACTTTGTTAAGTGCATTAAAAAAAAAATATTTTTCAATTTAGACTTTTTCCCTTTAAGTTAGACTGCCTACATTAATGGTCTAGCATCACCATATCCTAACTCTTTTAAGCAGGACCCTTGATTGGCTGGGGTAATTTAACTGAACAGCAATTTGTGAAATCAAACTGCATTAGACTTAGAAATGTTATTTTTAATCATCTTTTGTTTTATGTATTAGAAAATATTGTATGTTAGAAAGAGGAATAGTTGCCTATCTAGAACCTGTCAAGAAGGCTCTGTTAAAATTGCAATTGTAGTTGCACCTGAAATCTTCATTGCATTTTTCATACAATTACGCTATTGGTATATTTTTATGGTTTACATGTCAATGGACGATTCTCAAACTCCTGCCAACATTAAACATTAAAAGGAGACTGGAACCAATACCACTTCATCTTAATAAGGTGATTTTGATGCAGATGATCCATTTTTTCAAACAATGTAAAACATTGCCATTGTTGCCATATTAATTAGTCCAATAGCACGCATCTAAGGGGTATCAAACTGACAACCACTATGAGCTCTTCCTCATGAAGACCTCACAAAATCGAAAGTCTTCATGTTTTGCGCCATAATGCTCCACAGGCTGACACCGAACACATTAGATTCAATGCTTCTTAATGAGAAGGATCCGACTGGCAGAGTGTGTTTGCCTCGCAGTCAGCAAGTGTTATTTAATATATTATCATTATAAACTATTTTTTAAATTAGTGTTTTGTTTTGTTTTTTTTTTAAATATATACATACCGGTATATAAAAACACACACACAGTATTGAATTATTACATCATTTTGTACTGTACTGAAAGTGCTCCATCTCATTACTAAATTACAACTACAACTTCTAAAATTTTGCCAGTAGGATCATAATTCACTGAAACATGGAGTTTAATGAATACAACCAAGCTGTATTGTGTTAGCATTAATTCACTTTAAACAGCTTAGTTAGTGAAGAACATCTATATCTCTTGCAACAAAGCTAAAGTATTCTCCTCTAGCTTGGCAAGGGCTTAGGTGATTCTGTTTTACATTATTATTATTATTATTATTATTGCGCCAACAAATTCCGCAGAGCTTTACAATGGGTGGACGAACAGACATTATTATTATGATATTTCAGACATGTAGTTGTAACCAGACAAGTTGGACACAGAGTAACAGAGGGGTTGAGGGCCCTGCTCAAACTGACCATGGCAAGTTATATTATCATTTTATAATTTTATAGCACCAGCAAAATTCTGTAGTGCTGTACAATGGGTATATGTAATCAAATAACTGTTGTTACAATTTCCTATTAACTGTGGCAATAGCACAGAACGGAAAGTGTAGTACGTATTTAAAGGGACAGTACAAGCACCATAACCACTCCGTCATAATGTCCCCGAGCTGTATTACATGTAGGTTTTATAGTGATTTAAAAAAAAAATATATATATATATATATATATATATATATATATATATATATAGAAATATGAAGGGGGAGGGTGCAGTAATGTAAACAATCGAAAGAACAATCTGAAGTTCTATTTAATTTTTTTAACGCTGGACTGTTCTTTTAAAGCTATACTGATTAACAAGTATATAGATACACAAACCTAAAAATTAAAGCTCCCCTCCCCGTAAGACTACAACCCCCATAATGCTTTGTCAGCCTTATGCATCAAGGGATTTGTAGTTCTACAGCTGTTAAGCAATATGTCTCTTGTCTCCCATGGTGTGAGGAGATACAGTGAGCAATATTTTGGCAATTACAGTGCATTAAATAGCACAATACGTGGAAGTATACGTAGAATCTTATAAAAGCAAAAACGCAAATCTAATAACCAGGTCAATATAGTGCAATAATAACAACAACTGTTAAATTGTTGGGGATGATGGGGATTTACGTCCTTAAATAAACAGTGAAAGGCCCTGTCTTCCTTATCAAACCCCGGCCTCCTCTAACTCCCCATGCCCCGGCCTGACTAATCGTCAGCATCCCCGAGCTGTCCTATGAGGTCCCCCTTACTTTGCTCCATGAGTCCTCGGGTAGAGCAGACGCAGCTCCGGCTTCCGACATCCTTTTCCCAGGCTGTGAGAAGGCCTTAGGGTGGCCAGCGAGAGGGCGCCCTCTAGTGTAGGGAGAGGGCAGGACAGAGCGATGAGGAAGAGGTCTGGCTCTGAGGAATAAATGTATTTTGTTGGCAGTACTGAGTATTCTAATGCTGGGAAAGTTCTAAGTATTCACATTGTATATGAGCAGCTTACCTGTAAATTTTTATTTTTTTGTTTGTTACTTATTTGTATTGAAGGATAGCACTGTGATATGCTGTAGGGAAGTATGTTACTGTGGAAAATAAATTAATCTCTGTAAGAAGAAAATCAATGAATCAGTCAATAACTCCAAAAGGGGTGATATTCCAGTCTGTGTAATATAGATTCTAAAACAGTACAATGCACTATTATGTAACTATGAACTATGTAATATCATAGTATGTAATATTTTAGTAGTGCACAACACACGCACTAGAAAGATACAAGATAATATAGCTGCAAAGAAGCTTCATGAGTTAAAAAACAAACACATAGAAAAAACCCAAACCACTCAGGAATAACTCCAAGGTCTGTATACTGAAGCTCCCAGCCAGAGAGAGGCCACATTATATTATAATCCTGCCCTAATGGCTGTAATTTGAGGTACGGATGGTTCCATGGTTAAGCAGACCCTTTTTGTTTGTTTTTGGTACACATATTCCATGGTGTATCCTGCTCCGGCTACAGATTTATATCTGCTTTCATTGACATACTAAGGGTGTTTGATGGGGCAGTCCAGTATGGGCAACTAGCAAGAAGTGGGTACTGTGTGGACAGTGCCCCCAGCTGCAATATGTCACTGGTTGTAATGTCTTCAGCTGCCTGTCTGCCAACTCCCACTGGATGTCTGAATACAGGTCAGTACAAACCGCTAGATGATAACTTGTTCGTTAGCAGGAATATACAACAAACAAGAGATCATCCATTGACACTGGAAGTAATGTGTTTATGCTTACAGCAGAGAAAAGGGTTATTTACAATGAGAAACATACATTTGAGGAATTCTTTCAAATTCTATAGATATTTATTTAATTTTAAAGGCCTGGATGATTTTTGGGGAAAAACTAATTTTCAAGGATATAAGTATATGAACAGGTTGTTGATCCAAGGTGAAACTGGTCGCACTTATGGAGTGAATTAAGAATTTTTTTCCCTTTCTGTTGCATAGTTATCAAATCAAATAGTTTATAATATCCCTTTAATCCCCCTCCTAATCCTGTAGCACTCCCCCCACCCCCCACAACAATGCCACACTCATTTTATCGCACTAACCTACCCCTAATTCTGTCGCATTTACCTTCTCTCGCACTGTCACACTCACCTCTCAGCCATATCGCACTCATCGTTTATCACTCTGTCATACTCACCTCTTTCAACATGCCACACTCACCCTATCACATTAACCCCTCTAATCCTGTTACACTCATCCACCCCCAACCATGCCACACTAACACTGTCAAATAATCCTCCCCTAATCCTGTCACACTCTCCCCCAACCATGCCACACTCACCCTGTCACCTAATCTGTCACACTCAACCCCCTCACTCTGCCACACTATCCCTGTCACATTAACCCCCCTTAAAGGGACACAATAGGCACCCAGACCACATCCAGAGAAACTACAATGTTTACATTGCAGCATTAAGTCTGCCTCCAGTAACTGTCTACCAGACAGCCACTAGAGGAGCTTCCTGGATGCTAACAGACTTTTGATCCGCTGACGCTGGACGTCTTCATGCTCTGAAGACATCCAGCGTCAGCTAATTCTCCATACGAAAGTATTGATTCAATGCTTTCCTATGGGGAGGCCTAATGCGCACAACACTCACCTCGCATGCCCAGACATCCTAAGTCTCCCCCAGACATCCCAAGTTTTGCATGCGGCTCCCTGACACCCTCATATCATGTATAATATCCTGGAAATCACACACACAACCTGACATACAATGTATATCAGATTGTGTGTGTTGATTACCAGGATATTACACATGATATGAGCCTCCCTTCCCTCATACTAAGCAGGGGCTGGTGTGGTGCCGGCACTTTAAGAGCCGACTATTAGCCACTTCCTCCCTGCCTCACAGAGAGCCGCACAGGAGGACTGGAGGCAGCATGGAGTCTGCAGAGCCACACAGCAACATGGAGGGAGAAGAGAGGCTGGAGTGAGCTGCCACTGCATGCTCACTCCCATCAGCCTCAGCCAGGACCAGAGCATCAAGCAAGCCACCCTCAAGGAGACAAAGGTAAGCTAACAGGAGTGTACCTAAATGTTTGTGTCAGTAGGTCTGTGTATCTGTGTATCTGTTGTGTCAGTGTGTGTATCTGTATGTCAGTGTGTGTATCTGTCTGAGTGTGTATCTGTATGTCAATGTGTGTTTGTGTCAGGGTGTATCTGTGTGTATGTGTGTATCTGTATGTCAGTGTGTGTATCTGTGTGTTTGTGTCAGTGTGTGTCTGTATGTCAGTGTGTGTAACTGAGTGTGTCAGTGTGTGTATCTGTGTGTTTGTGTCAGTGTGTATTTGTATGTCAGTGTGTGTATCTGTATTTTATTGTGTGTATCTGTATCTATGCGTGTGTGTGTGTATCTGAGTGTTTGTGTCAGTGTGTGTGTATCTGTATGTCAGCGTGTGTCAGTGTGTATCTCTCTGTGTGTGTATTTGTCAGTGTGTGCATCTGAGTGTATGTATCAGTGTGCATATCTGAGTGTGTGTTTCAATGTGTGTATCTGTGTGTCATGGTGTATCCAAGTGTGTATGTGCCAGTGCGTGTATCTGTGTGTCAAGGTGTTCATACATGTTTGCGGGTTATCTGTGTCTGTGTGGGGGGAGGGTGCGAACGCCTAGGGGTGAGAAGGGTGGCTCCGTAGCTGGTGAAACCACCTACCTGTAATGCATTTTTGCAAGTTGGGATGTCTGCATGCCCATTAGCGCCTGCTTGTCGAGGGACATCGGAAGGAGGTGGAGCCAAGTCCCAGCGCCGATGGACATGTTTTAACCCTTTATTGAGTGGGGGAGAAGTCACATTCACCTGCTCTCGCCCTGTCACACTCACTCTTCAAACCATGCCACATTCACCCAAACTATGAACAATAGTACAATGGAAAATAGGACAACCTCTAGAAGAGCTCTCTGACTCTCTCCTGTCGCTCTGTTCTGCCTTAGATATCTATGCCACTGGAATAAAAAAACATTTCTTCAATGCCAACATTAGCAAACATATAAATACGTGGAGCATCCCTTTAATAAATACATATTTCACTTATTTGCTGGTAGCACTCAAAGAAAGAAGCCTTTAAGGGTCACTGTGGGCAACCAGACCATTTCAGCTCATTGAACTCCCATCACCCTTAACCCTGCAGTGGTAATTATTGCAATAATTACCTCTGAGGGTTAACTCCTCTAGTGGCTGTCTACCAGACAGCCACTAGAGGGACTTCTGGAATTGAAACTGACTTTTGGTCCGTTATCTGACGCTGGACGTCCTCACGCTATGCATGAGGAACTTCAGCGTGAGGTTTTCCCCATAGGAAAGCATGAAATAGCCTTTTGCAAACTTTTAATAAACTCTACAAAAATAAGCTCTAAAAATAAAAACGATAAAAAATTACAACAAAAGCAAATTGAGGCATAGATCTCTCCCAGATACTGATATTTTCCATCGTGGCCTATATGTAACAGATATATACTGTCTTTGATATATCCAGAGCCAACATTTCTTCCTACATCTATTCAATGTAAGGCTGTACTGCAGTCATGCGTTTTATACTAGGAGAACAAAGGTAAATCATTAAATCAGATCTGCAAACAGGCCCTTCTGTTGCTTAGCCAAGCAGAACATTGTGGACTTTGAGGTCTACAAACTGCGTATATTTCTTTCTTGGAAATAAAACAATAGAGGGATAGAAACTTGGTGTTCCTTGATTTGTCACTATTTCTTTTCAAAAATTTTTTATTAAAGTTTTAAAATTTTGTATAACAAGTAACAATAATACAAACATTGTATTAGGGGTAGGAAAAGAAGGAAATGGAACGGGTATCCATCCATCATTGAAATAAGCATAACAATGTATATGGCAAAATTTTTTACATCAATGCACTTTAACAATAAATATATCAAAGACCATAAACTGTTTTGATTTTTTCTTCCCAATTATATTTTAATATTAGAAAACCATGCATATTAGCTCTATGCGATAATTCGTGTGCCTTGTTTTCTAGAATCAAATTAAAAACTTAATGGCACATTTTGGGACTTCCAATGTCTAGGTAAACAGGATGTAGCAGCAGTCAGAATGTGGCCTATGATTATTTTATCTGATCTATTAACGGACTCCGGGAGTTTTTTAAATAAGGCTAGTAACGAAGTTAAGATGCTAATGGTTCTGTTCACTTTAATAATTAGATCATGAATCATTTTCCAATAATTAGTTAATTTGGGGCAAAACCACCAGATATGGGCCATATTGCCCACACCCCCACAGTCTTTCCAACACCAGTCAGAATACATATTGTTCATGTTATGTAATCTAGATGGAACCAGGTACCAGCGATATAAAATTTTATAATGATTTTCAAAATGGTCGATGCAATACGAAATACCTTTTAAACCTTTAAAAAAAACGAACCATTCTTCTAAATCGTACTGTGCACCCAACTCCGTATCCCATGACAACATATGTTTTAATTTAACTAAGGGCTTGGCATTATAAAACAAATAACATAAGGATATCATACCTTTACTAGCGGGGCTGTATAAAAAAACTTTCTCTAAAGGAGATATCCCAAGTGATTTATAGTTTTTATCTGTTTCAGATACCTGGTATAGTTCTTTCAATTTGTCAATGATTAGCATACATTCCAGTTCACATACATTTAATAATCCATACTTAAGCTTCAATTCTTCCAAAGAAAGAATAGCATTGCCATAAAAAAAATTATCCAGACTAGTTATAGAGCAGTGATGGCGAATCTTTTTGAGCCCGAGTGCCCAAACCGTAATACATGCCAATTGTTTTCCCTCAAAGTGCCAAAACGGCATTTAAACCTGAATACTGAGGTTTAAGTTTAGAAAAAACAACTCATACAGTTGTCCGAACTAATTAACATCTCTGTGTGTGTATTAAACAGTTTGTGTGTGTGCTCGGCAGTCTGTCTGTATGTGTATTTAGCAGTCTGTCTGTGTACTTAGCAGTCTGTCTGTATTTAGCAGACTGCTGAGTACACAGTCTGCTGAATACACACACAGACTGCTAAATACACACACACAAACAGACTGCTAAATACACACACACACACACACACAGACAGACTGCTAAATACACACACAGACAGACTGCTGAGTGTACACACACAGACAGACTGCTGAGTGTACACACACAGACAGACTGCTGAGTGTACACACACAGACAGACTGCTGAGTGTACACACACAGACAGACTGCTGAGTGTACACACACTGTTTGAGGGGTACAGTGTATGTGTTTGTGTGTGGAGTGATGTGTGTGGGTGGGGTGATGTGTCTGTGTGTGTGTCTTTTTGTGGGGTGATATGTGTAGGGCAGGGGTGCTGTGTGTATGTCGTCCCCCCTCTCCCCCTCCTGTTTTCTTTCCCCCCATCCCTCCCTCATTTTTTTTCTCCCATCCCACACTCAGTTTTCTCCCCCCATCTCTCCCTCAGTTTTCTCCCCAATCTCTCCCTCAGTCTCCCCCCATCTCTCCCTCAGTCTCCCCCCATCTCTCCCTCAGTCTCCCCCCCAATCTCTCCCTCAGTCTCCCCCCCCAATCTCTCCCTCAGTCTCCCCAATCTCTCCCTCAGGTCTCCCCATCTCTCCCTCAGTCTCCCCAATCTCTCCCTCAGTCACCACCCCAATCTCTCCCTCAGTCTCCCCCAATCTCTCCTCAGTCTCCCAATCTCTCCCTCAGTCTCCCCCAATCTCTCCCAGTTCTCCCCAATCTCCCCAGTCTCCCCCAATCTCTCGTCTCCCCTCCATCTCTCCCTCAGTCTCCTCCCAATCTCTCCTCAGTCTTCTCTCCTCAGTCTCCCCATCTCTCCCTCAGTCTCCCCAAATCTCTCCCTCAGTCTCCCCTCCTCTCCCTCAGTCTCCCCTCCTCTCCCTCAGTCTCCCCATCTCTCCCTCAGTCTCCCCAATCTCTCCCTCAGTCTCCCCCATGTCCTCTCCTCAGTCTCCCCCAATCTCTCCCTCAGTCTCCCCAATCTCTTTCTCCCTCAGGTCTCCCCCCAATCTCTCCCTCAGGTTCTCCCCCCCCCCTTGAGCTCCTACCTTGTAGCGTGGCCGAGCGCGGAGCTCAGTCTCCTGTACCCGGCGGACAGGAAGTGCTCTCTCAGTGAGCACTTCATTTCCGTCCGCCCGGGTACAGGAAACATAAGTTCCTCTACCGCGGTGCGCTCGGCCACGCTACACAGAGTGCCTGGCAGGAGGGAGCGCTATGCACTGCAGCACTCCATACAGGAGCTACAACAGCAGAACCAGCAACTTGAACGTCGCATGGCAGCGCAAGAAGATTCCAGGCAGCAAAACAATATCAAGATCAGGGGAGTCCCTGAGGAGATATCGGAGGCTGACCTGCCAAAAGTTATGGGGCACTTACTGCCAGCGATTCTGACAAACAGTCAAACCACAATACCTGCCCCAGAGGAGGTCTTCAGGGTCCCTAAACCTGCGAATGCTTCGGCCGCAGCCTCAAGAGATGTGATAATCACTCTCCGCAAACGCAAAGAAAAAGCAACAATTCTAGCAGCCCTATGGGGAAGAACCCCCCTCCACTTTGAGGCCAGGAACCTGACATTCTACCAGGACCTACCTGGGGGCACCCTGGCCTGGCGTAGGTCACTCAAGCCGATCACCTCCGTGCTCCAGTCCCACAACATCGAGTATCGCTGGCGGTCTCCAATGGCACTAGCGGTGAAACAAGGGACGACCACGCATATCCTCCAAGACATACACAACGCGCAGGCCTTACTGCAGACTCTGGGCCTGCCATTTGAATCCCTCACCCAAGTGTAGTTAACCAACAATACTCCTTCGACCCATGCCTGGACACTGGGCAAGGCTACATCGTTCACTCCCCGAGACTCCACGCCGATCACCTACGCAGCGGTCACCTCCTAGGAGCGACACCACACACACTCCGGGGGAACCTGACACAACGTCAGGCACTGGGAAGGTAAATACGAATAAGCCGGGACCATCCACAGTACCCCACAGCTGCCCGACCAACAATCCGACTAACCTCAACAGTAATATGGACGGTCAACGCTGACCCCATGACACCGATGGCTGCAGCTTTACCCTATTCCCGACCAATATGGACTCTATAGGGCTCAAAGCAGAAAAACAACACGGGACTATATATTACTCTGGGACACCTTTACCCATATTCTCAAAAGCATAATAAGATCTATGTTTACTGCCAGCCACTCACAAGAGAACCACTCCCAGAGACATCACCACTTAATTTTTAATCGTCAGCATCCCCGAGCTGTCCTATGAGGTCCCCCTTACTTTGCTCCATGAGTCCTCGGGTAGAGCAGACGCAGCTCCGGCTTCCGACATCCTTTTCCCAGGCTGTGAGAAGGCCTTAGGGTGGCCAGCGAGAGGGCGCCCTCTAGTGTAGGGAGAGGGCAGGACAGAGCGATGAGGAAGAGGTCTGGCTCTGAGGAATAAATGTATTTTGTTGGCAGTACTGAGTATTCTAATGCTGGGAAAGTTCTAAGTATTCACATTGTATATGAGCAGCTTACCTGTAAATTTTTATTTTTTTGTTTGTTACTTATTTGTATTGAAGGATAGCACTGTGATATGCTGTAGGGAAGTATGTTACTGTGGAAAATAAATTAATCTCTGTAAGAAGAAAATCAATGAATCAGTCAATAACTCCAAAAGGGGTGATATTCCAGTCTGTGTAATATAGATTCTAAAACAGTACAATGCACTATTATGTAACTATGAACTATGTAATATCATAGTATGTAATATTTTAGTAGTGCACAACACACGCACTAGAAAGATACAAGATAATATAGCTGCAAAGAAGCTTCATGAGTTAAAAAACAAACACATAGAAAAAACCCAAACCACTCAGGAATAACTCCAAGGTCTGTATACTGAAGCTCCCAGCCAGAGAGAGGCCACATTATATTATAATCCTGCCCTAATGGCTGTAATTTGAGGTACGGATGGTTCCATGGTTAAGCAGACCCTTTTTGTTTGTTTTTGGTACACATATTCCATGGTGTATCCTGCTCCGGCTACAGATTTATATCTGCTTTCATTGACATACTAAGGGTGTTTGATGGGGCAGTCCAGTATGGGCAACTAGCAAGAAGTGGGTACTGTGTGGACAGTGCCCCCAGCTGCAATATGTCACTGGTTGTAATGTCTTCAGCTGCCTGTCTGCCAACTCCCACTGGATGTCTGAATACAGGTCAGTACAAACCGCTAGATGATAACTTGTTCGTTAGCAGGACTATACAACAAACAAGAGATCATCCATTGACACTGGAAGTAATGTGTTTATGCTTACAGCAGAGAAAAGGGTTATTTACAATGAGAAACATACATTTGAGGAATTCTTTCAAATTCTATAGATATTTATTTAATTTTAAAGGCCTGGATGATTTTTGGGGAAAAACTAATTTTCAAGGATATAAGTATATGAACAGGTTGTTGATCCAAGGTGAAACTGGTCGCACTTATGGAGTGAATTAAGAATTTTTTTCCCTTTCTGTTGCATAGTTATCAAATCAAATAGTTTATAATATCCCTTTAATCCCCCTCCTAATCCTGTAGCACTCCCCCCACCCCCCACAACAATGCCACACTCATTTTATCGCACTAACCTACCCCTAATTCTGTCGCATTTACCTTCTCTCGCACTGTCACACTCACCTCTCAGCCATATCGCACTCATCGTTTATCACTCTGTCATACTCACCTCTTTCAACATGCCACACTCACCCTATCACATTAACCCCTCTAATCCTGTTACACTCATCCACCCCCAACCATGCCACACTAACACTGTCAAATAATCCTCCCCTAATCCTGTCACACTCTCCCCCAACCATGCCACACTCACCCTGTCACCTAATCTGTCACACTCAACCCCCTCACTCTGCCACACTATCCCTGTCACATTAACCCCCCTTAAAGGGACACAATAGGCACCCAGACCACATCCAGAGAAACTACAATGTTTACATTGCAGCATTAAGTCTGCCTCCAGTAACTGTCTACCAGACAGCCACTAGAGGAGCTTCCTGGATGCTAACAGACTTTTGATCCGCTGACGCTGGACGTCTTCATGCTCTGAAGACATCCAGCGTCAGCTAATTCTCCATACGAAAGTATTGATTCAATGCTTTCCTATGGGGAGGCCTAATGCGCACAACACTCACCTCGCATGCCCAGACATCGCAAGTCTCCCCCAGACATCCCAAGTTTTGCATGCGGCTCCCTGACACCCTCATATCATGTATAATATCCTGGAAATCACACACACAACCTGACATACAATGTATATCAGATTGTGTGTGTTGATTACCAGGATATTACACATGATATGAGCCTCCCTTCCCTCATACTAAGCAGGGGCTGGTGTGGTGCCGGCACTTTAAGAGCCGACTATTAGCCACTTCCTCCCTGCCTCACAGAGAGCCGCACAGGAGGACTGGAGGGAGGAGGCAGCATGGAGTCTGCAGAGCCACACAGCAACATGGAGGGAGAAGAGAGGCTGGAGTGAGCTGCCACTGCATGCTCACTCCCATCAGCCTCAGCCAGGACCAGAGCATCAAGCAAGCCACCCTCAAGGAGACAAAGGTAAGCTAACAGGAGTGTACCTAAATGTTTGTGTCAGTAGGTCTGTGTATCTGTGTATCTGTTGTGTCAGTGTGTGTATCTGTATGTCAGTGTGTGTATCTGTCTGAGTGTGTATCTGTATGTCAATGTGTGTTTGTGTCAGGGTGTATCTGTGTGTATGTGTGTATCTGTATGTCAGTGTGTGTATCTGTGTGTTTGTGTCAGTGTGTGTCTGTATGTCAGTGTGTGTAACTGAGTGTGTCAGTGTGTGTATCTGTGTGTTTGTGTCAGTGTGTATTTGTATGTCAGTGTGTGTATCTGTATTTTATTGTGTGTATCTGTATCTATGCGTGTGTGTGTGTATCTGAGTGTTTGTGTCAGTGTGTGTGTATCTGTATGTCAGCGTGTGTCAGTGTGTATCTCTCTGTGTGTGTATTTGTCAGTGTGTGCATCTGAGTGTATGTATCAGTGTGCATATCTGAGTGTGTGTTTCAATGTGTGTATCTGTGTGTCATGGTGTATCCAAGTGTGTATGTGCCAGTGCGTGTATCTGTGTGTCAAGGTGTTCATACATGTTTGCGGGTTATCTGTGTCTGTGTGGGGGGAGGGTGCGAACGCCTAGGGGTGAGAAGGGTGGCTCCGTAGCTGGTGAAACCACCTACCTGTAATGCATTTTTGCAAGTTGGGATGTCTGCATGCCCATTAGCGCCTGCTTGTCGAGGGACATCGGAAGGAGGTGGAGCCAAGTCCCAGCGCCGATGGACATGTTTTAACCCTTTATTGAGTGGGGAGAAGTCACATTCACCTGCTCTCGCCCTGTCACACTCACTCTTCAAACCATGCCACATTCACCCAAACTATGAACAATAGTACAATGGAAAATAGGACAACCTCTAGAAGAGCTCTCTGACTCTCTCCTGTCGCTCTGTTCTGCCTTAGATATCTATGCCACTGGAATAAAAAAACATTTCTTCAATGCCAACATTAGCAAACATATAAATACGTGGAGCATCCCTTTAATAAATACATATTTCACTTATTTGCTGGTAGCACTCAAAGAAAGAAGCCTTTAAGGGTCACTGTGGGCAACCAGACCATTTCAGCTCATTGAACTCCCATCACCCTTAACCCTGCAGTGGTAATTATTGCAATAATTACCTCTGAGGGTTAACTCCTCTAGTGGCTGTCTACCAGACAGCCACTAGAGGGACTTCTGGAATTGAAACTGACTTTTGGTCCGTTATCTGACGCTGGACGTCCTCACGCTATGCATGAGGAACTTCAGCGTGAGGTTTTCCCCATAGGAAAGCATGAAATAGCCTTTTGCAAACTTTTAATAAACTCTACAAAAATAAGCTCTAAAAATAAAAACGATAAAAAATTACAACAAAAGCAAATTGAGGCATAGATCTCTCCCAGATACTGATATTTTCCATCGTGGCCTATATGTAACAGATATATACTGTCTTTGATATATCCAGAGCCAACATTTCTTCCTACATCTATTCAATGTAAGGCTGTACTGCAGTCATGCGTTTTATACTAGGAGAACAAAGGTAAATCATTAAATCAGATCTGCAAACAGGCCCTTCTGTTGCTTAGCCAAGCAGAACATTGTGGACTTTGAGGTCTACAAACTGCGTATATTTCTTTCTTGGAAATAAAACAATAGAGGGATAGAAACTTGGTGTTCCTTGATTTGTCACTATTTCTTTTCAAAAATTTTTTATTAAAGTTTTAAAATTTTGTATAACAAGTAACAATAATACAAACATTGTATTAGGGGTAGGAAAAGAAGGAAATGGAACGGGTATCCATCCATCATTGAAATAAGCATAACAATGTATATGGCAAAATTTTTTACATCAATGCACTTTAACAATAAATATATCAAAGACCATAAACTGTTTTGATTTTTTCTTCCCAATTATATTTTAATATTAGAAAACCATGCATATTAGCTCTATGCGATAATTCGTGTGCCTTGTTTTCTAGAATCAAATTAAAAACTTAATGGCACATTTTGGGACTTCCAATGTCTAGGTAAACAGGATGTAGCAGCAGTCAGAATGTGGCCTATGATTATTTTATCTGATCTATTAACGGACTCCGGGAGTTTTTTAAATAAGGCTAGTAACGAAGTTAAGATGCTAATGGTTCTGTTCACTTTAATAATTAGATCATGAATCATTTTCCAATAATTAGTTAATTTGGGGCAAAACCACCAGATATGGGCCATATTGCCCACACCCCCACAGTCTTTCCAACACCAGTCAGAATACATATTGTTCATGTTATGTAATCTAGATGGAACCAGGTACCAGCGATATAAAATTTTATAATGATTTTCAAAATGGTCGATGCAATACGAAATACCTTTTAAACCTTTAAAAAAAACGAACCATTCTTCTAAATCGTACTGTGCACCCAACTCCGTATCCCATGACAACATATGTTTTAATTTAACTAAGGGCTTGGCATTATAAAACAAATAACATAAGGATATCATACCTTTACTAGCGGGGCTGTATAAAAAAACTTTCTCTAAAGGAGATATCCCAAGTGATTTATAGTTTTTATCTGTTTCAGATACCTGGTATAGTTCTTTCAATTTGTCAATGATTAGCATACATTCCAGTTCACATACATTTAATAATCCATACTTAAGCTTCAATTCTTCCAAAGAAAGAATAGCATTGCCATAAAAAAAATTATCCAGACTAGTTATAGAGCAGTGATGGCGAATCTTTTTGAGCCCGAGTGCCCAAACCGTAATACATGCCAATTGTTTTCCCTCAAAGTGCCAAAACGGCATTTAAACCTGAATACTGAGGTTTAAGTTTAGAAAAAACAACTCATAC